AAGGGAGAATTTCGAAGCCTAACAATAATGGATGGTATGGACATAGTAATTGGAGAGCCGTAATGAGCAAATGGCTAAACGAAGGCCAAGGTCAAAATATAAGTGGTGAGGATACTCTAATGAAACGCTTACAAAATGACAAAAGGACCAGCCATCATTTGGAGACATTGCTACGCCTCAATAGCCCCCCAATGCGCCTTAAAAAAAATCAGCTAGGAAATGGATTAAAAATAAATGACTGGAAAAAAATATGTAAGTCTATAAATACATTTTACTTATCTTGCTTATTTACAAAAAAAAAAAATGTATTTGCCTGAAATCCCTAATCAGTGTGGGAAATATTCTGACTTTATCTTTTGCTTCCTTTACATTGGTTCACTACTAGGATTTTTTAGCATTTTTGCTCTGAAAAAACTCCCAAGTTATGGACGAAAGGCAGATTCGGAAGATAATGAGAACCCACCCTCTAACCAGAACCAACTTCATTGAAGTTTTATCAATTGATGAAGTAGAGATACCCCGAAAACTTCCAGCATCATACATAATTAATACAGATCCCTCGACTAAACCTGGTAGTCATTGGACCGCACTTTTTTTTCAGCAATCTCTTGAAAAACCCCTCTTTTTCGATTCCTTTGCATGCCCCCCTCCCCATCAGATTTCTAATATTTTTCCGAATGTAATCAAATGGACAATCCCTGTTCAAGGCATTTTTTCGGATGTTTGTGGACATTATTGTATTTTGTTTATCTATCTACACAGTCTTGGTTTATCAAACCACGAAATTGCTTTGAAACTCTCAAAAATCGATGATAAAAACATGAAATCAATAATTAAATCTATATTAACAATAGAACAATAAATAAGATATAGTGACAAGTATCGGCAAAACTTGTTGTATATTTTCAAAAAAAAAATACGTTATTGTTTCAATTGTTTATTAACGAATCAAATAACAGAAATAAGCTCCAAGGGGTACGCATTGTAAGAATTTCCCTCGCGAATTTGTAGGCAGTTTAAGGTGAAATAAGTGATTACTTTTCGATGTTTGACGTAGTAGAATTGCCTCAGATTGATGTCGAGATACCCATTATATGCAGGATATCGGTTGGACCCCAAGACCGTAAAATTAACGAACGTGACTGGCAGGGGTCTAGGAACTCCATAATTAGTCATCAGTTTTAGGTTTTTAATTTCCTTTAAAATCTCGGCTCTGGAGTGACGGTCAAAGATGAGTTCCTTCAGTCCTAAGACATCAATTTCGTATTTTTCACACAAATATTGGAGAAGAGTAGGCATTATTGCAGGCAAATTAGAAAAAAATTTATTGATCCGAGAAAAAACAAAAAGTTACGACAAAGTGAATAACAAAAGGCGAAGACTGCGTGGGGCTTTTATAGATATATTTATTTGGAAGAGGCCTCCAGCTTTGGAAGAATTTTGTGAAGACAAATTCGAAAGTCCGTGTCATATTTTGCCCCAGTCATGACCAGTTTACCAGAAGTGAAGACCAACACTGTGATTTTTGGGCGTAATAGTCGCATGTTTAGACCCGGAAAAATCTCAGGTTCATAAAAACATTGAACGCGGTCCAAGTCATACAGCTTTGTTAAGTTAATCTTTTTTCCAAAATTAAATGAAGAAACAATATTTTGCACTTGGAACTTGCTGTATTTTACATCGAAATCCAAATACTTTTTGACGTCCTCAAATGATTGCCTTTAAAAGTTTTTTGTCGTTCTAAACAGTTTCCTTACCTGCTCTGGGTGACATTTTTACAGCCCGTTGACACCATTTTGCCGGACTTGAATACCAAGACAGTAGAGTAGCCCATTTTTATAATAACCGCACCAAATTTTTCAGGGTTATATTTTACTTCCGGATGTCCTTGTTTAATCTTTAACAAATCGACTTTGCCATCTTAAAACATTTTATTATTTTTATAATTTTTTTCTTACTCGAGGATACTGTAGCAATAATATTTTGAATAATATAACGACCTTCCATGACCTAAGCAAAAAAATAGACTAAGCTGAAATATCGGTGGACAAATTTCTTTGAGAGTCGATCATAAGGCACGAGTCCATTTCGGACTCTACAATAAGAATATAACCCTCAGAGGGTACGGGCTTCGAAAATCGAATATTGACGCTTGTGGCACCTCTTCTTATTAGATCAAAAGAATTCATATCTTCTTGATTTGTAGTCATGTTGAATACATAAATTGCATGGCCTTCTTTGAACATCTCCCGGGTGATACAGTTGGAATGGCTTGAGAAAGCGAAACTTAAATTATCTTGGAGATCATAGTATGCCCTGAGATAACAGTTAGTTTCATAATTCAGCTCGTAAGGAGCGTTGGGATAATTGAGCCCTCCAGCTGATAAAGTTATTGACCTCACGTGTGCATTAATGAAATTAAAAGGTGATTTTTTCGACTCTGAGTTAAACGAATTATTGCTAACGATACCCAAGACTACTCTTCGGGGAACCTGTTCAGTGAATAAGGTAGTAGAAAATTCGGTCTGGTTTGGAGAAATGAAGTAGTGTTTCATTTCTGAGCGCTTCATTGGATACATAGCAGGATTTTTTAGAAGGGTGTTGTTTAACCCCACATTTACTCCATCATTTAGCTCGAGACTCTTTGTGTAAAATTTACAATCTGTTATTACGAGCCGATAATCATTTTCATCATGAATTTCAAGACAAAACGCCTCTCTGTGAGGCATGATTTCGACTTCGAGCTGTAAAAAAAACTTTTTGGACATTTGCTTTAGAACGTTACCTGCATATGATTGAGTAAATACAAAGGTTGTTGGAATAAATTGGCAAATATTTTTGTAATAAATTGGGCTTTTCCATCCAAAAACAATGAACGGCGTGATTTAAAACCTGAATCTTCGCTGTTATCAATTTTCTCGGAAAATTTCCACCCAATACATCCAAGATGTGTTTCCAACGAATCTCGAGGGAATGTCAGAATACAATCCCAATACGTTTTGAAACTCTGCATAGAATTTGAATTGTAAATTTCTTGGCCATTTAACAAAATTTTCATATTTGCTATATATGTGGCTCCTAACCCCTGGATTACACTAACTTTGTCGGTGTCTTCAATTTTCACCCATTTATCATCGTCGCTTTTTTTCTGGAGTTTAAATGTAGTCATTAGATATGATTTGCTGAGATCCAAGTATCCGGATCCTGAGTCTATCCGGAAACGGTATGGAGCAGTTTCGATAGGATTCAATGTCAGATTCTCATTGTATTGAGATCGACAGGCAGAGATATTAGTTTCAGGTAGATTGAATAAGTTTAAGGCTGAGGTTACAGTCTCCGAACTTTTGGCATCAATTTTCTTCATGATTTATCAACATTTAATTAGAGTTTATTAGAGTATTTATAGACATAACGCTTATTTTCAAGTAATTTAATTTATTGGCGTATTGGACCCAAGGCATCATTTCTTTTCTTGATATTTCTCTTAACTTTTTTCACACCTCCTCCATGCTGTAAATAACGGTTCGTATTCTTTCGCAAAATATTTTTGGCTCCTTTCTTCAAATTATTTGAGAGGGCGTCGCGAACACTTGACTCGCGGGACAAGTCGTCTAATATTCTCCCTCCAGTGGCCAATGTTTCTTTTCCAATATCTTGTCCAACTGATTTTAAGACTGGTGATAAAAACCTCCAAAAAGAACTTAATACATTACCCAGTCCGCGACCATTTTGGGGTCTTCCAAATCCTCGTTGTAAAATTTGGCCCTCAAAGAAATTTCCACCTCCAACTTGAAAAAAATTATATGTTTTTGATGTATCAAAATTTACATGTACCATTTTTATCTATAAATAGATACTAATATAGCTCTCTATTTGCACATATTTATAAACTTTTTGTAGCTATGACTGAAAATTTACTTATGAATGATCTTATGCTGGATGATTGTTTGTGTCCACCTCAACACAGGTGCTTTCGATTCAAAAGTTTTGATCCGCCTCGATTTTGTCTCCCTTCATGGTTCAATCCATCGCTTACAATGGATCAGAATTTTAGCATGGTTACATTAACAACTCTTCATGTTGTCTTTACTGTATTCCTGGCCCTTACCGCTATAATACTTGCTGGCTTTATATACAAAAAACCTACTCAACGGAAAGTGTCTTTCAAACCCCTAAAAGTCCCAGTTACAGTAATTTGTGTTGAATATTGTATATAGTATTTTTTTTAAATAAAACCCAATTATATCTTCATTCTAAATTTCAAACATGAGTTTACATATTTCCTTAACATTAAAAACAAAAAAAAATCGGTATCCACAATACTTTTGTATAAAATGACCGCAAAAATTTTTCAAAAGCGTGGGGGCGAACCGAACTCCCGGAAAAAATATTTTCCCAAAAGGTTGGAATGCATTTTTGAAGGGGGAAGGTCGATTCTTTTCTAAAATCAGAATAGGCTAATGAACGTTTTTTCTTCTATTTACTTGATGGTAAGGAAAAAAAACATACGTACAGATAAAATAAAAAAAATGAGATTAATGTTTAAAATTTATATCCAAAAGGGTAAATGGTAACCTTATCAGGCCCTATTATTCCCTTGTTGTTAGTGGGGGTGTAAAATTTTGTCTGTTTTTTTGTGAAAACGCTTCCTCGTTTCATGGATGGCTTCAGCATTCGGCGTTGGGTCTTCTCAATATTAAAAGGACTTCGGTGGAGAGTCAAATTTTTTAACCTCTCAAAATTCAGTTGAGCACTTGTAGTTGAATCCAATGTAATACCGCGAATTTTCTGTAGATACTCAATCTCTCCATTAGCTTTTTTTAGTTTTAATCCGTATTGTTTAGGTCCTGGTCCACAGTATTCCAAAATCTCGGCATTTGGTAGCTCGTCCTTCATTTCCCCCAACATATCAGACGATTTGATAGGACACCTGCCTTCCGGATAAGCCAAGATTAGAGAGTCTGTAAGTGTTTTAAAAATTGTTTTTTCATTTTTTTAGACTAACCTGTATCCAAATAGAGGATCTTGGCACCTCCTTCAGTAGCCTTCTTCATCTGTCTAAACAGATGTAATCTTGCAGCGGCTGTTGTATATATAGCTATATATATATTGTTGAATTCCAAATCTTCCAAAAAATCTTCTTTGGTCTTTACATGAATGGCACATGTGTTGCTGTTTAATATGACGGTTCTTTGAACTTCCAATGTCTCATTGCTCATAATAGTATGATAGTCCTCTTCATTTCGACAGAAATTAAGCTGCAAAGCACAGAGAAGAACAAAATTATTATCTTTGATTAACCTACTTTTGCGAGAGAAGATCTTTGACAGAATTTACCCCAAAAGGAGTTCAAAAAAATCTTGTTGTTATATCGCTTGGCTTTGTTGGGCTTCCAATCTTCAACCTCCAATTCGATTCCAAATCCATCTTTGTACGCCTTCAAAAACTGATCAAAATCGGCTGAAGTTTTGAGATAATTTGGAATTTCTGAGGCCAACATTTTCTCTCGGTAAAATTTCCGTATTGGCTCTTTGAATAAATTTTCCGAAAATTCATCGAATACTATTTTCTCGTAGATTCGAATAACACGATAACCATTCCTTAAGGCTTCTTCCAATTCAATATGAGCCAGAGTGCATGACCAGCCTCTTTCCAAATCAGAATGTTTACAGGTAGCCTCCTCATAACTAACAAAATTGGAATTTGCAAATTTTTTTGCGCACTTCTGACACAAGGTGTATAATATCGACTTTTCGATCTGAAAAAATGTAGAAAAAAGTTTTTTTGAAACTAAAAAAGAAGTAAACTGAGGAAAGTGCTTACCTTCAAAGGTATTACAGGTATAAACAAGTCATCTGGAGGTATAATAAAAACTTTGTAGAGGCCTTTCTCAAACCCCATATCCTCGGGACATGTCCAATTACAATCCTGATTTAATGCAACGATTCGTGGTTCCCCCACAGGCATTGGTACCATAAATAAAATAAAAGGATAAAGCGAATTCACGTCGAGATATCCCATTACATAATTCCCTTCTTTTTTGAAGTAGAGGCATAGAGAAGCGGTTCTTCCACCAAAGAATGCATCTCTTGGGTGTGCTGGTCCTGCATTCTCCAATTCATTTTTGAAAAAATCATCCATTTCCTTATTAATCTTGAGTTCTTCATTGATCTCGTGTTCCCAAAACGTAATGACAACATAACCAGCATTTTCCAGAGCCTTGGTTCTCTCTGTTGAATCCTTGAAGGATGCTTTTTGAGTCTTCCTTGATCCCATTATTTTCAGTGGGTCTTTGTTACAGGTAGGGCAACCATGGTAGTAGCATCCATTAAATTCTACTACCAGATTGCCCTCCTTAACAAATCCATCGGCGCTGAATTTCTTTCGTTTTCCTCCAATCAGAAGCTCCAATTTCTTTTCACCTTCGGGAGAGTCTCGAAATTGCAATGAAGGGAGGAAGTTCTTTTTCAAATATCTGAGAAATTTGAGAGCTACGGCTGACTGATTGATCTGGTTGCCAAATTTGCTTTCATTTTGGATAACAAGCGTGTTTTCCGGTAGATATGATTGACGGTAATCACGCATAACAGCACTTGCTAGAGTAATCGAGTGGTACCATATATCTTCAAATTCTTTGCCTTTCAGTTCTCTCATTGCTTTGCGATGTTCACATACTGCATGGGCCAAAATTTTCACATCCGATTCACAATAAGCGAGCAATTCTTGTTTGAAATCAAATATTTTTTTGTCCGTAGTTCTATACCATTCTTCAAGTTTTTCTCTCTTCTTAGGCATCATTTCCTCAACCCTGGAAATGTGTTTTTAAAAGATTCGTTCGTATAATATGTCTTCTCAAAGCTTTGATCGTATAAGGTGTCTTTTTTTCGGCAGAAAAAATGCAAAAAAAAAATGCCAGCGAAAAAAGACGCGTCTGTTTAATGCGTTTTATTTGCTAAGAGATTTCTCATCAAAATTCTGCTCTTAAGGTATGTATTTTCACCATTTTTTGTTTTTATGTTTTTAGGAAAAAGACTCACATATATTCCTTCAAGCTGGGGTATGGTCCAACATATTCATAATTCTCCTCTCTATTAAATTCGTGAGGGAAATCACCCTTCTTCTTTATCCCAGACTCTCCTTCTTCTAATGGATATATTGAAGGTAACTCAGACAGTGCGCAATTCAGATGATTTATGCTATCTCGAAAATGTAGGCATCCAAATTCTTTGCCTCCACTTAAGGTTAGATCATAGATTCGCTCGCCATTAGTTATAATCGTGGGAACTCGCGATTCTAAACGGGTAAAATACATTTTTTGAAAAAAAAGTTTTTTTCTGTGCAAAAAAAACTTACGATTTTCAGCCAAGATATGTTTTATGATTAGGTGTAAATCATAGCGGCCGGAGTTATGCGCGATACAAATTGTTGTTTTAGATGGTTCAGTGATTGATTTCACATAATCATAAAAATTTCGGGCGGGGTTTTCAGAATTACCTAAAAAATAAATTTTATTTACATTTATCATACCATGAGGGATACTCCAAAATTTCTTCTCTGATCCACAGTTTTCGCACTGCCCCATTTTCCATGCCCCATCGGTCATACATTTTTGGCACATAACTTGGCAGCATGCCATGTTAACATTATGCTTGCGGATATCATCGGCCACCACCTCTGTCTGAGTGCATTCAAAGTCGTAGATAACCATTTTATATTCGGGTTCTTGGTCTGGGATGTCAATCCGAGGAATAAAGCATCTATGACCTATTGGCCTTTTTCGTCTGCATGGAATACAATATTTAGTTCCACATGTATGCCCAATTCGCTTTCTGTACTTGGATTTGCATTCCTGGCAAGTTGCGTATCTCGTGCACATTTTTTTGCAATGTTCTTCAAAGCATTCAGTTGTTTGAAAATATGTCGAACAGCTTGAGCAATATACCAATGTTTCTAGAGAACCTTTGCAGGGGTACTCGGGGCCTTTCCTTCCACAATTCCCGCATTTTTGTATGCATCTCGCACTGTGAAGAGCATCACGGTCGTAGGTACAGTTACATTGATAACACATCTTTCTTCCACCGAAATAATTAGAGGAAGTTACGATCGCCTCAAAGTGATTGTGGATAGCATCATAGGCAATAGGTAGAATCGTTTTGGCCTCACGTAAATTTCCAGATGTAAATATATGAGGGTCCTTGAAGTTCCTTGTCCCATGAATTACTATGACGTGTGGAGCGTTGGAGGCATCTTCTTTATCGAGGTAGGACTGTAGTAACCTTACTGTCGGCTCCATCTCCAAATCATGTGCAGGATCAAGGGGAGTCCCAAATCCTTCAATGTCTTCGCCACGCTCTCCTTGAAAATTCGACTGTTGGTGTTGCACATTTGATGTGCGGTGCGCGATTTATTTCCATAGCGCTCAGTCCCGTGGTATAGCTTGCAAATTAAGATGGCCAATGGTAAACATAATCGACGTCTTTCTCTGTATTGAAACACACCAGTTTCTTGATTATATCCTGTGGCGCCATCAGTGCGATGCCCTCCTCTGATTCCTCCAGTCCGATCTCCATTTCGCAAATTCCTCGACAGATATGCAGTCATCAAAATCTCAAACGGTCTCCCCAATAAATTGACTTGTCTGTGAGACTGTTGAACTTTAGACAAAGCCGTGAATAATAGATCTGGAGAAAAGTTTCCAACGTTCTGCATTCCTGTGTACACAGTTTTTCCCAATAGACCTCCTTGAAGTGATAGGTTTATGCGCATTATATCGCGGCCTGGTTTTGTCCTTTGAACTGTAAAAATAAGATTCATTTTTTCCCGTCTTAACATACCTTCAGATGCCATGTCTTCGAACATTTGATTAATTATTCTTCTGAAGGTATATTCCAAATTGTCAATTTGACTCGCTTCGGACATTTTGTAACTAACTGCGAGACGTAGTTCAGGGAATGTTTCATTTTGTACGAAGTTTTTGGCTATGAGAGTGAGTCCACTACAGAAAAGATTAGACATTCTTATTTTTTCTTACTTTCCACCTCCTACTTGATTGGAGAGTTCCTCTGGATCACTGGTATCTGCATCATATGCATCATCATATCCACTATTTGAGTTATTTTCAGAATCTTCCGTGTCAAGTTCCGATTCATCGTCCGAGTCCGATAGTTCCAATTCTTTCATCAAAACTTCTCTGTAGTTTATTCCTTCATTCTTATCAGGTTCGGATTCGGTTTCCGAAAGAGCCAGATCTTTAGCCAATATATCTTCGTCCATCTCTTCTTCAACTTCTGTATCACTCATGGCCAAGTCGTTCTCAAGTATCCAATCACTGTTCTCCATTTCGACCTCTACATCTTCTGAACCCTCTAATTCTTCTTTCCATTTATACTCCATTTCAATTCTGGCCTTCATCGCTTTCAGCTTACTTTCGGGTTTCCCTCTGGCATGCCCATCCTTTTTAATCTCACTATTTTCAGGTTCATCAAAACTCCATGGCAAATATAAAACTTCATGCAGCATTTCTGGCACATAAAACCTCCAGCCTCTGTCATAATCCTGTTTTTGGTCTTGGTGGACAATGCATACGGCTGTAATAATATTTACCGATTAAACTATTAATGGTTACACAGAAGTATATTTAAAATGGAAAAAATCTTACATCTTGCATCATCAGCACTCGTCTTTTCAACGAAAGTGGTGGCAAAATCACCAACATCAGTAAGGTATTCTTGAAGAAATTGCTCTGCAATAAAAATATCTTTGATAAACAGATTTTTTTAAAAGGTTTACTTTATGTTAAACAAAAGGTTTCACTCACCAAAATCTGTCCTTCCTTTAAGATAATTTAGCAGCCCTTCTGAAGTCTTCAATCCCCCTTCATAGTCTTGCTTCTGGTCTTGAAGGACGAGGCATTCAGCTGTAGAAGATTAACATATTAAAATATTACTAATACGTTGAAGTAATATAGATTTTAAAATTAGCAAAAAAAAAAAAAATCTCCTACATCTTGCGTCATATGTGTTTGTATCTTCAAAACAGTTGACAAAATCACCAATGTCAGTAAGGTAATCTTGAAGAAATTTCTCTGCAATATAAAATGGGTTAAAAAAAAAATTTTTTTTTTGTAAGTTTACATTATGCGATAAACAGCTTGTTTTAAAAGTTCACTTTATGTTAAATAAAAGGTTTCACTCACCAAAATCTGCCCTTCCTTTAAAATATTGCAGCAATCCTTCTGAAGCCCTAATTTCGGACGCACCTTTTTCTTCAAGATATTCCAAAACTCCGTTGATAATATTCGTTTCGGATTCATCAGCTAAATTATAAAAAAGGTCGTATTATTAAATAAAAGTACATACATTCAGAATCCGCTTCACCATCCAAGTATAACTCTGACTCCTCTACTAAAAAATAAAAAAATCATTAGAAAAATCACATCAAATGAATGAAAATAAACATCAGTTAAAAACATACACTCAAAAGGAATGGCATGCCAATCCTCAGAGATTGTTGGGAGATCCAACAGGGAGCTAGACGCCTCCAGTAGAAACTGTTCAACCTTGTTTAGGTCAATGCGCCGAGATTTGGAAGGTTGATGGTTTGGTTCGTTACTTGGACGTTTCATCGTTAACGCTCACAAAATAAGCCGAGTTTGATCTATAAATATGCCGAAAAAAGTTCACCAGTGCACTGTAAAAAGCCGTAAAAAAAAATGTCATCGTCTTTCTTTATTGTACTACCCAGCTCAGACACCTCTTTTACAACAAATTCTACCTCTTCCTTTTCGGTAATTCTTCCAAAACCATTGAATTTTGATGGGACTTATGTTTGTGGTCTACAGTCCCTCATCTACCCGCATTCTTGGCCATCTATAGGATCCCTGGATGACCAATATATTAGATTATATGGGCACTTTGACCGTACAGTTTTAGTACCTATTCCTAAGAGCAACCATGAAAATATCACCCAACTGGTCGATTTTCTTAATCGTACCCTCGAAACAGGACTTCCTGATTATAAAGGCAAAACGCGCCGCAAACGATCAGCATCTACTGAAAACAATAGTCTCTCCCTGCGCGAGAAATTATCAAAAACTGACCTGAGTGTCCCCCAATTACAAAAACACGACATTCCTTTGAATCCAAATGTCATTCCGATCGAAGAGATCGCTGGTGGTCCAAAAAATACGATAGTTGAAGAAGTGCTGAATCCAAGGCCCATTATTGAAGGAGATTTGATATTTAAATATGATGAGAATAAGCAAAGAATTACTCTGAAAATTAACCGTGACGCAATTAAGAAAGTTGAATTTTCATCTCAACTACTGTATACTCTCGGATTCAGTGAGAATGATATTTTAATTAATGGATGTACAGCTAAATATGCTTGCGATCTCTCTGGAGGTCTCAAACATTTAGCAGTTTACGTTGAGGGCCTAACAGAAAATGTCATAGTTGGAAAATTTTGCTCTCCGTTGCTGAGAATCGTTACTGTTCGAGGTAAAACTGGCGATGTCATTGACCAGCTTTATGATGCTCCATTATGGGTTAATGTAATTGCAAAGAGTGTTTCCATTATAAATGTGCAGATCCGAACCTTGGATGGCCGATTAGTTCCTTTTGCTTGGGGAAATTGTATTTTAACTATTACTTTTCGTAAAACCATATCTTTTTAAATGTCTAAGTTTATTAAACTTTTTACTGATCTTCGATGTCCATATTCTTTTACTGGACCCTCCACGCTTTATAAACAACAGAAAGGGAAGAATCGAACCAGTTATGATAAAATTCGGAGGGAGTTGGCTAAAGAAAAAAGTTACTCTCTACATAAACCGCGTCGTCTTCGAATTAAGAGACTTAAGACTATCCCCCGAGGCTGGATGACGGATCTTCAGGTTGATTTAGCCGATTTTAGAAACCTTAGCCCTCACAACCAAGGACATAATTATTGCTTAGTTGGAGTTGATGTGATGTCTAGACGATTTTTTGCAGCTCCTCTCAAATCCAAGAAATTTAACGATGTTAAAAAAGGGTTCAAGGAAATTTTCTCTCAAATGCCACAGTTACCCTTAGTAATTTTTAGTGACAAAGGAAAAGAATTTGAAAGTCGGGAGATCTTGAGTTTTTTCAAATCTCTTAATATTCAAAAACATCACGGGGAAAATATCGAAACAAAGGCTTCGATTGCCGAAAGAGCTATAAAAACAATTAAAACGCGTCTCAATAAGTATTTTACGGCTTTCGGGACTTTGAATTGGATTGATGTCCTTCCTACAATTGTTAATGGGATTAATAACTCCATATGCCGCACTGCCAATTCGGCTCCTATGGATATAACAGCAGAAAATTGGTTACCCATTTGGAAAAAGTTATACAGTAATGTTTCCGATCCTGGAAATTACATCTTTAAAGTTGGAGACTATGTTAGACTACTTAAGCCAGATACTGCCTTCAGAAAGGGCTTTAGACCTCAGTTCACAAATGAAATCTTCGTGATTGCGGAGTGTTTGGGAACATCACCTCCGACTTTTGTAGTCGCCGACTTAAATGGTGAAAAAATTGTTGGCCGATTCTATTCCGAAGAACTGTCTTTAGCTTCATAGAACAAATAAAGAAACTATTCTCACAAATGTGTTGACAAGGATCCCTATCTCAGCTAAGTAATTGTCTATAAAAGAATCCAAGATACATATTTCAATAAAAAATTTTTTTTATCTTTCTCAAGAATACAAAAGGAAAAAATTAGCCAAATACTAAAAAAATAACAACAAATATGGTAATAAGGAATTTAGTCAATAACCTTGGGGTTTTCTTGAAGTAATTTAAAAAAATTTTTCAAATACCAAAAATAATATAAAAAAGGAACTTCAAAGAAACTAATAAACCTCTTCCTCTTCGATGATTTCATTTTTGATGTCATGGAGGCCCATGTCTCTTGGGTTCTGAGGCTCAGCGGAGCTAGGTTCAGGTTGACACTCTTGGACACTCGGGCATGGCTTTGGATTAAACGTTTCTTCTTCTTCCTCGACTTCTTCCACTGGTTCTTTCTTAATTTTCTTAGGGACAAATTCAATCTTGAAATTGGGTTTGTTCTAAAACATTCTTTTTAAGAAGATTGAAAATAACAATAAATATGTAATTAATCTATAAAAAATGAAAAAAAATTTACCTTTTGTGGGGATTTCGGTTGCTTGGCCTTGGGATCGAATATGATATCAAACTTGAAGTCAGGCAAGGGGTTTAGAAAATACGTGAGCGATGGCTTTTCGCTTCTCTTGGCGTTCTCTACCGTGGCGATTGTGCCGACCCGAACGTTCTCCAACTTGTCACATTGGGGCCCCTGCACTCTCAATACATAACTCACGTCACGAGAGTCCTTCATAATCACAGAGATGGTGTTAAAACCATTGAAGTTACTCTTTTTCACATGAACTACTCTCTTGGATACTTCATTATCCAGATGAGGGGCCATTTTTCTTTCTTCGATTTGTAAAATGATTTTTACCTTATCAGGCTTGCGCTTTATAAGGGCGATCAATAATATCACCTCTACAATGAAAAAAATCAGTCCCGCCTTCTCTGAATAATAATTATCAAGATCCATGATGCTGATTTTTGGGGATTTTTTCTTCTTTAATAGAATAGCCTACCCTTAACATTTTTTTTGTCATAATATAAGCTCCTCCTACCATTTTTTATATCTTTATATTAGCATTATGTAGATAAGAAATGTTCACTTTTTTCTGAGGGGGTGTTTTTTTTACAAATGCTTTTTTATGCTAATTATGGGGTTGAATTCGGAATTTTTTCGCGCTCTGTTTTTTTACCTTTTTTCATGTCGATTTTGGGGGATTTTTACTGTTTTTGTTTTGTGCGGCTTTCTCCGTCCCCCTTTTTTTAAAATTTTCTGTACAATATTTTTTATGACCATATATGCCTATAAAAGCTCTGGCCCTCATTTTTGAGGCCCTAAGCTCCGCCCTCTCATAACATATCCGCAGAATTTGTGGGATTTTTACCTATAAAAGGTCTGGCCCTCATTTTTGAGGCCCTTAGCTCCGCCCCTCTCATATCTGCAGAATTTGTGGGATTTTTACCCAATTCTCGAGGGGGGCACTAGCTTCTTTAAGACATACCGCCAAAATACTACAGTAATCCTACGGAGTCATTTAAAAAACACATTAAAGTTGTAACATATCTGCAGATTTTGTGGGATTTTTACCCAATTCTCGGATCTTCTTTAAGACATACCGCCCAGAAAAAAAATACAGTAATCCATCGGAATAATTAAAAAAGCACATTAAAAACCCACATACAAAAAAACATACACCCTCCAAAAAAAAAGTTATAAATATGATAATCACGCACCGCCCCCCTCCCCCCTCAAAAAAAAGTCCTACAGTATCCCTCCGATCATTTTTTTTCATAACACCACAAAATCGGCAAAAAAAAAAGTTGCCGATTTTGTGGTTACATTACTACTTGTCTCTACCGTAAAGGATAATGTTTCCACAAAAAATCAAACTTCTGCCCTGAAGAAGGACGAGACCTCAGGATCAGGTCGAACCGGGCCCCCTTAAGTCCGGAAACGCCTTTCCAAAACCCGCCAAAGCCCCAAAAACCCAGCCCCTTTTGTGTCTGACCCGGCCACCGGGCGTGTCTCTGCGTCCGTTTCATATTTTGTATGTAGGTAATTTGATCTTGTTTACAGTGCACTTAAAAATCACACCTTCTCAGACTTGTTACATCTTATTTCTTATTACAAATAAACATTACCAGCTTTCTGGAAAGTCATCGTTCTGAAATCTGTGAGAAATCAGAGGTTTTCTGTGACGTCCCGAAATGGGCCAGAAAATTTATTGTTATTTTTAGAACCGGAAAAATAAACGCCAAATGATTGTTCATATCTTCTTCAAGAAATGTGTGGAAAGTACATTACCCAAAACAGAGGAAATTTTATGTATGGAGAAGTAGTGCAGAATCATAAACTAGTTTAAATCTTCATAGATAATTAGCTGTTTTGCCTATATTTATTGTAGGTAAAACAGTATAACATAGAGATAAAATATGTATAAAGATCTATTGTTAACTGTTAACCCCTGAGTGATCAAAGAAGGAGTCGGGGTATGGTCCCATAATTACTATGCTACGCTCAGAACTTTAGTGCAACAAACCCCCCAATTTATCGCCCCTTCCAAGTCAAGTTTTTTACCAAAGTAACAACGTATGTATCTCCCACCCACTCACCGTTCCGGCCCGCATACCCTGCGGGCCCGCACTGCACTCGGATTGATTCGTTTTTCGCGGATTTACACGGGGGAATTCGGGGCTAATGCGGATGAAGTCATCGGGGTCCACGTAATTTACGAATACTTTGTGGTGCTTGCAACTACTCCTGTCCTTAATACGACTTTTAAAACAGCTTTTGCACTCCCCTCAATAGACGTTTTGATAAATAAAAACAATAAGAAACAGCGGCAAAAAAGTAATAAATTGTGTTAGGTTGCTGGCAACGATAAATAAACCGTTCGGAAAGTCGCTGCAGTGATTTCGGGGACATTTACTGTGAGAAAACAATAAAAGTTTACATTGCACTGTGCAATTTTTGATTTCTTGCACAGTGCAATAGACTTTTAATTTTTCGGGTTTTGTTAGCTTTTTCTGCACAGTGCAAATGCCAAAAAATGCCCTAGCGACTTTGCAAACGAACTTGTAATATATGTACAGTGGCGGACCTGATCCACTGGCAAAAAATGTACCATTTTGGATCCGGGAAGTATCAAAAATGGAGCAAAATACCTCCCTCTCCAAGTAAAAAACTCCAATTTGAAAAGCGCGCCCGCTATTTTTGTGAGGGAAAGCGTTTTTAGAAAACGGAGTTTCTAAAACTCCATTTTAAAACGGAGTTTTTTTTTATTGTAGTGGGAGGTATTTTGCCACATTTTTGATATAGTTTCCGGATGCAAAATCATAAGTTTTTTGCCAGTGGATCAGGTCCCTCATGGGGAGATATTGTGGATTCGTAGCGCCTTGGAATCGCCAATCATTGCTTGTGACGTCTCGCCGCGGCAAGCAGTTTAGTACACGACTTTGAGGAGGTGAGGAATTTTGCTACGACAAAGCCACATTATTTCCCCGACAGGCTAATATTAGCAGGAAGTGTTTTCGATGGCGTATAAATATAGCATGGAGGAAACTGATGTGAATGGAATACTAATCCAGCCCACGGTAAACAGTCTCCGAAAAAAGCCATCGTTGAATGTGCAAGTCTCGTATTTCGATTGTCATTGAGGATCGTTGAAAAACAAATTCAGCTTGCAACTAGTCGATATTTCATAGTCTCTTCTCGGCATGTCTCAAACCAGGGATCTGAAGTCTAATGAAGTTAGCGGAAAAACCGGAACTATTTATTTACTTGACCCGTTTATATGGCTCACTAAACAAGCAGAACTTCTGGCAAGAAGTTGTCGTCAGTGTACGGAGAGTACTACTACAATGAGGGACCGGATCCAATGGCAATAAACGTCTCATTTTGCATCCCGGAAGAGACCAAAATGTCTCCAAACCCTTCCCTTCTCTAAGCTAAAAAACCCCGCTTTGAAGAGCCCGCCTTGAAGGAAAGGGCGCGCTTTTCAAAGCGGAGTTTTCTAGCTTAGAGAGGGGGAGAGTTTGGAGTCATTTTGGTCCCTTCCGGGATGCAAAATGAGACGTTTTTTGCCATTGGATCAGGTCCCTCACTGTAGCGTCAAAAAGGCTTGGGAATTTTCGGCGACTCTTTCCAACAGCAACAGAATTAATTTGTCCTATAATTGTGTCGCTGTTTGAAACCCCCATTTCGCACCGTGCATCCTAAAAAAGTGAGTTTGCACAGTGCAACTTCGTTTTTTGCCCTACTTTGCACGCGATTCCCATTGTTTCCGAGCGATAATTCAACGTTGACTACGATTTTGCGTTCTGAACCGATTCCGGGGCCGCCAGGAATTTCCAGGACTTTTTTGCCGCGAATAAAAATAGGCATGACTTATTTCTCGGTAGTAGAAAAAGATTGCCCGACAGGCAAAAACTACTTTTGGGATTTTAATTTCTACTTGTATTCGCATAAATTGTAGGAAATTTTTGTGTTTCTAGTCTATTCTGAAAGTCGCTGGAGTGATTTTGGCGACGAGAACTGTGCAGAAAAAGTTAGAGTGTGAGCGACAACCCAAAAAAGCCTATTGGTGCAAAAAGCAAGAAATTGCACAGTGCAAAGTGAACTTTTGTTTTCGCACAGTGCATGTTTCTAAGGTTGCTCTAGCGACTTTGCTAACGGAATAGTAATCATTTCTCGATGATATGCATGAGGTTTTTAGCGACTGAAGCCAACAGAAGGAAAATTTTGATAAAAAATTCAAAATCATCATTTTGAAATTTCTTGAACCTTTTGATCTTCAAAGGTCAAATTTCAACTACATATTTACGTCTTGAATTTTCCTAAAATTCCAAATTTTCCCCGAATTTTCTTTATTTGTCATCCATTTCCATCACTCTCATCACCATCATCGACGTACTCTCATTTGGACTACATCTTGTCGCCGCGCTGTCATCGCGCCCCCACACATTCGTTCGCTGACGCCAGACGGTGTCAAATCACTTGCTTTTCCAATAAAATTTAAACAAAAAAAAAAAATTTTTTTTTATGTCGCCGACTCCGCCCACTTTTTGTCGGATTTTTGGGGCGGAGGGCCACACGTTTAATTTGGAAACGTTTCGCGGGAATGTACGGTGGACCGGGGATGCCGGGGCTTGTTTTCAACCCATTTTTTGCTCGTTTCGCCCGCGGCAATTTAAATAACCATGTGAGATTTTAAAGGTTAATTGGCAAAATTTAGGTAAGGATTGGGTGTGGGAGACAAAAATTTTGTTTTTATTTGCGCTTTTGGATAGTAGTAGATGTGAAAGTGGATGAAGGGAAAAAATAAAATTATAGGGCAAGGGAGAGTGGGCGAAAAATTGAAAAAATTAGAGTTTTTGGGGGAAAAATCAAAAAATCCCGAATAAAAAATGAAAAAATCGGTGTGAATTTTTTTATTACTACTGTAACAAACCCATTAAGCGAAGCTCTAAATTTAAAAAATTGTTTTAAAATACGTAGCATTCGTTTTTATTGAAATTTTATTCCTGCACTGTGCGGCTCAAAGATTTTACTGTAAAATCTCAAAATACTGGTAAAATCGAAAAATTTCTTGTCTGGAATCTCTGTTCTTACTGTAATTCAGTTGTCTACAACGCAAATAAATTTTTAAAATACGAGACATCCATGGCTGCCTATATTTTTTTCTGCACTGTGCAGCTCAAAAATGTTGCTGTAAAATCGCAAAATACTGGTAAATCAAAATTTTTTCTTTCTAGAATTTTTATTCTTACTCTAATTTAGCTGTCTGCAACGAAAAAATTTTTTAACATACGACAATTGACGCAATATAATCATTTTTTATTTCTGCACTGTGCAGCTCAAAAATGTTGCTGTAAAATCGCAAAATACTGGTAAATCAAAAATTTGTTTGTCTAAAATATCTGTCCTTACTCTAATTTAGCTGTCTGCAACGCAAAAAATTTTTAAAATACGACAAATGATCTAATATAATCATTTTTTCTTTCTGCACTGTGCAGTAGAAAACAAATTTTTTTTGCACAGTGCAGAATTTTTTTCTATTTTTAAACAAGAACGAAGGGCAAAGAGGGTAAATAGACTTTTACAAAGCAGTAGGAACCCATTAGCCGTTTCAAATAAGCTAAAAACGCAAGATCTTTGATGTCTTTTTATATTATTCTAGTCAACAAAAAATTTTGAATATTTTTTTTGATATGTATCTGGAAGAAAATGTGCTCTGCGACGAACATAAACATCTCAACGATCTAGGCGTATTTTACAGCCATAACAAACCTCGTATTTATGTTATATCTTGTTCTCTTCGCTTTAATCAAATCTATAATTTACCTCCAAAACCTTTTGCTATATTTACCGTTAAATATTACAATATTTCCCTGTAATTACTGGCTGATTACTTTTCAACTCCCATGAAAACTCAATTTATATTATCTATGGCATATTAAAAATTTTACTTTTATATCATGGACACTTTTTGATGACTAAGGTAATATAAAGGTGTTCCAAAAGACTTTTTTGGCGTCTTGATGGGAGGTACAAGGCTTAGGCAAAATTTCTAAAGGATTGTAGGTTTGTAAAATACGTCAGGTCATGGTGTGACTTCAAATTTCCTAATTTTGCGAGCAAGTAATAAATAATATATGTTATACAAGGTAAAGTTAGGCCAATTTTTTCAGTAAAATTATCCTTGATCCTCATCTACATATGTTTTATATTTTTTTACAGTACTTTCCCCAAATTTCTTTTATTTTTAAAATACGGGCTTGGCAAACTTGATGTCTGTTTTTTGACATCAAGTGTAATATAACAAATATATTTTTTTTGCAATTTCTTTAGCTCGAATAGTTTTTTATTGTCATTTAATCATCTTCTCTAGCTCTTAGGCAATATTTCTGTTTAATTTTTATTTTTTTTTTAAATACGACTTATTTTTTTTTTATTTTAATGTCAAGTGTAATATAACATCAATTTTAACAATTTTTTCTACAGAATTTTTTTAATTGCTGTTTCAAAATCTTTTTTTATCATAAATAAAATATTTTCCACATTTTTTTTATTTTTAAAATACGAACTTCCCAATTATCTAACTTTTCCCGTTTGATCTCAAGTATAACATAAAATAGCGACCTCCCCGTCATTTTTTATAAACGTACTGTTCACACTTTTCGCTTTGGTCCCAATTCCACACACTTGACTTGATTTACGCACTCCAACAGTGTCTTAAAGTGTGAACGCGCCCATGAACCGGAGGGAATTTGTGTGCACGGTGCGGAGGTTGCTTTATAAACCCATGTTTCAAAGTCCGGATTTCATTGCTAATACTGTTTTTTTGGCCTTGAAAATATTTTTTTGAGAAAGACGAAACTTAGTTTGCCGTATTTTACAAATTTTTCGATTCGTATTTTAGACCGTATTTTACGAAAAAAAAATATTTTTTTTTCGTATTTTACGAAAAAAATATTTTTTTTTGAAAGTGAAATTTGCATTTTTATCAAATTAAAATTTTTTTTCCATTTTCCGCGATGACGTCATTTTTTTTGAATTCAAAAAAAATCCGTATTTTAGGGTAACAAATTTGCATTTCGGTTCCATATCGGCCGAAGACTGAGAGAAAGAGAGCGAACACATCAAAAAAAATAGAAAATGTCCAATCAATGGCTGCTGGTCTGCGTGATGGGTGTGGTTGGGGTCTGCACAGTGCAGGCGGCCTTCTTCCGGGGCCAGCCCTGGAAGGAACTGTTCATTGCAGATGACTCGAGAGCTGATAAAAGTGAGTTGAGCGGGCTCTGAAGTTGCTCTGAATCTTTATTTTGCTTATTTCCCTCAGGGCTTTTGATTAGAATTGATTTTTTTATTTCAATTTGCACAGTGCGCTCAATTTTTGAATTTTTCACTGCACTGTGCAAAAAAGCAAAGAGAAAAATTCGATCGCACTGTGCGGTTGTCGCCAAGTGTCCATGCGACAAATCGCACAGTGCGGAAAACAAAAAAGTTTTGTTTCCCGCACTGTGCGATCAATTTTTGTTTTTGGGACTGCACAGTGCAGATTTTTACGGAAAAAAGGTCCGCACAGTGCAAAATGAAGAAAACAAAAGTTGTAAAATACGCAGTTTCTATTGTATACGTTAAAATCAACCTAGAAACGTCACATTACAAAAGTTTTTTGCAGTTAAAATCATCAATTTTGCCAAGGATAATATAAAAAATTTCTGTTTTTTTGCGTTTTTTCAATTATTTTTGATGAAAAATTACCTAAAATTACTACGAAACTTCGGTAAAATTACTTTTCGTAGCATCTACACGCTTTTTCTCCACCTTTCTCTTACCGTAATCCCTCGATTTCCGGAATCTCCCACTAAAATCATGTGACAAAAAACGGCTGTTATTGCCGTCTAGCTTGATTGATGTCTCCAAAATTACTCGAAAATGTCGCTGAAATACGTATATTGGACTTGGGATCCGTCAATCAGCCAAAACTTTAATTTAATTTATTCGATTTCAGGGTCTGTGGCCTATCTCCCAACGTTGGACGAATTCTCATCATATGGCTCATATTATTACAATTCCCCGGATGAGGTGGACGGCTACAGGCAAGCGAAAAGAGGTATGTTCAATAAAAAAAATTTTTAATTTGAATATTCAAAAAAATTTTTTTTATAAAAGTCTTGCATATTCAAATTTTTTGACGTCCAAAAAATCGCCTAATTTTTTCTGAGCCCTCTAATAATTTTCAATTTTCAACTTTTTCGGAAATTTGCATAATTTCCAAAACTTTGCATAATTTAAAAAAATAAAAAATTTGCATATTCAAATTTTTCAAACGTTAAAAACTATGCTGAAATTTTTTCTAGGGTATGCAAAAACTTGTGAGCCCCTTATTTGCCCTAAAATTATGCTAATTTCCAAAAATTTGCATAATTTAAAAAAATAAAAAATTTGCATATTCAAATTTTTCAAACGCTAAAAAATATCCTGAAATTTCTTCTAGGGCATCTAAAATTTTTTGAGCCTATAATTCGCCCAAAAGTTATGCTAATTTCCAAAAATTTGCATAATTTCTCCCAAAATCTGAATATTCAAATTTCGATTTTCCAGATGATCAGGCAATGCCAGGAGTTCTAAGGTTCGGAAAGCGGGCAGATATCGACAAGAAAGAGATGCCCGGAGTGCTCCGGTTCGGCAAACGAAGTGATGGCGAAGCCGAGAAAAAGGCTGTTCCCGGTAAGTTTTTGATTAAATTTGGCGATTAAATCATACCAATAGGAGCAGAATTTATTTTTCAATCTACTAGTACAAAACTTTTACCAAAACGATCAAAAAATTCAAATTTATGGCCATTTTTTCATCAATTTTTGTCATGGATAATATAACTGATCTCTCAAAATCGCGATTTTTTGGGCCCAATCGCACTTATAAGACGTATAAAGCATATTTTAAATAAAACTACAAAGCGATACGCCGATTTATTGCCAAAAACTCCATAAAATCGGCTTTGTTACACCTTGTCGCGCATTTTTTTGGTCCTCCGAGAGCTATAAAAAAGATATAGCTCACGAAATTGGTTCCATTTAGAATATTAAAATACAAGTTTCGTTGTCCCAAAGCTTTTTGAGCCATTTTTCAAAAAAAATTTCAATTTTTTTATCATGTGTAATATAATTTTTTCTCTAAAAATCCCATTTTCAGGTGTCCTCCGGTTCGGCAAACGCTCAGACATGCCCGGTGTGCTACGGTTCGGCAAACGCGACGGTGCTGAGATGCCAGGAGTCCTCCGTTTCGGCAAAAAATCGGAAATGCCCGGAGTTTTGAGATTCGGGAAACGCTCGGACATGCCCGGAGTGCTGCGTTTCGGCAAGCGCGGAGACATGCCCGGTGTGCTCAGATTCGGCCGGAAATAAAGGCCACCGATTGCGCCCATCCCATTCGTTGTCACTAGGTAAGGGTTTGGAATAGTTTTTTTATCATTGCACGGTACAGTTAATAGGCTGCACAGTGCAGTAAAAAAAATTTGTTGCACTGTGCAGAAAAACTTTGATCCGCACAGTGCAGTAAAAATTCTTATTTGCACTGTGCAAAAAAAGCTTTCAACCGCACAGTGCAAGACAAATTTTGAATCGCACAGTGCAGTATAAAAAATTTGTTGCACTGTGCGAGAGAAATCTTTATTTGCACTGTGCAAAAAAAATGACTGCACAGTGCAACAAAATTTCGAATTGCACAGTGCAGTACAAATTCTTTTTTGCACTGTGCAAGAGAAATCCTGATTTGCACAGTGCAACAGAAATTTTTATTTGCACAGTGCAGTAGAAAAAATTTTCTTTGCACTGTGCAAAAAACACTTTCAACCGCACAGTGCAAGACAAATTTTGAGTCGCACAGTGCAGGTGCAAGAAAATTAAAAAAATTTTTTTTGCACAGTGCAACAAAATTTCGAATTGCACAGTGCAGTACAAATTCTTATTTGCACTGTGCAAGAGAAATCTTGATTTGCACAGTGCAACAGAAATTTTTATTTGCACAGTGCAGTAGAAAAAATTCTTTTTGCACTGTGCAGAAACACTTTGAACCGCACAGTGCAGTACAAATTTTTATTTGCACTGTGCAAAAAAAACTTTCAACCGCACTGTGCAAGACAAATTTTGAATCGCACAGTGCAGGTGCAAGAAAATTTTTGCAGAGTGCAAAGAAATTGACTGTGCAGTAGGAAATTTTATAAAAAAACTGAATTTTTGGCTTGCACAGTGCAGTCAGAAAAAAATGACTGTGCAAAAAATTTCACTCTGCGATGTGCAAACCAAATTTTGAACTGCACAGTGCAACAGAAAAGAAAATTTTGCACTGTGCCAAATTTTGAACCGCACAGTGCAGTCAAAATTTTTTGCCCTGTGAAAAGAAATTTGGCTCCGTCGCACAGTGCAAAGAAATCAGTCGGAAATAATGAAATTTTCGCACTGTGAGGTGGGAAATCACAACACAATAAAATTTGACTGCACTGTGCAGTAAAAAAAATATTAAAAGTAAAATTTTTGGCTTGCACAGTGCTGTGCTGTTAAAAAAATTTTAATGTCTCAAAAACTAATGGTTCAAACTTTTCAGGTCTACAGACTGATCCAATTTCCTCATCTCTTCTTCCACTAACCAAATCACCATCTCCACTTGTAAAATACCCACACACAACGCCCCCTCCTCTTCCTGCAAACCCACGCCCCCCAAAAAACATTTTTGTTACGAAAAAGTACAGTAACCCTGCTGAAACCGCGCCCCGAAGCTGCTCTCAAGAAGAAAACTGAAAACTCGATTCGATCTCGCCACTAAGGAATTGTAATTGTAATTGTTTCGTTGTAAACATCCCATGAATAATAATAATTTTTGATTTGTGATTGTGGGAAGGTTTATTGAAAGGCATTTTTTTTTGAAAATTCGAAAAAAAAAGATTTTTTTAATTTTTGAAAATTTCAAAAAATTTTAAAAAATCAAAATTTTTTTTTCAAAATTTTCATATACATTATAGATAGGCCCAAGATCAATCGCTGAAAATTTTAGCTCGCGCTTTGAAGCCGCAGCCGAGATATTCAAAGATCTTTGCGGGCGAGAGAGTACGGAAAATGAGGAGACAGTCAAAGAAAAACGCCCTTTTAGCCATATCTTTGCCAGTTTTGTACTGAAAAAATTGATTTTTTTGTAGTAACATTACTGTCTGTATTGGAATTAGGAATGAAACCTTTCATGCCCAAATTGGTAAAGAGCTATCATATTTTTTCCAATTTTCGACCTATCGGTCGTTTTTGATCAAAATCCTTCGAGTACTCTGTAAGTTAAGTCCAAAGTTTAAGACGGTAAAAAAGATCTGTGATTTGAGTGACCTTACGAGAATTTGACCCGTATTTTGTCAAAGCAATTTTTCTAGCTGACACAGAATGCCAAGGATTTTCTATTGCTTGAACGCTTTTCCTCATGTTGTCTTCACTTTGTCCTCAACTGAGGAAGTCCGCAATATAGATGCTGTCTGAGTTGAGTAACTTTTGAGCCCGAAAAAGGGCGCCATTGTGACGCAAAAGCGCAGAAAATTTTTATTCGCCAGATATCGCCGGAGGTAAGCGCTTGCGTAAATGTAGACAGAAAAAAATGATTCTAAGCAACAGCGATACAAATGAAAGCAATCAGTTCTACTTATTGAGTTGCCTTGGAGGTGAGACTGTTGTTCAGTCCTTTTCTTTTCAGTTGAGAATTTTAAGGTTTATTTATGGAAGAGCCCGTTTTTTTGCTAACAAAATCATACTTTTCCGCACGAACCTGGCAAAGATATAGCCAAAAAGTTTTTTCTCCGACCGCTCTCCGTCTTTCGCGTCCTCTCTCGGCCGCAAAGATCGCCGAATATCTCGGCGTCCCTATAACCCGAAAGTTTACATTTTAGCGACTTGATTTGTAGCATTCAGTGGCGACCTGATCCAGCGGAAAAAAACGTTGATATTTCCCGGATGCAAAATGGTATGTTTTAGCCACTGGATCAAGTCCGCCACTGTATGACCCATAACAAGTTCCGAAAATGTAAACTTTCGGTTTATAGGGGCCGTCGAGATATTCAGCGGTCTTTACGGTCAAGAGACTACTTTGAACAATTGACTTGTGAGTCGAGACGCTGATTCTTTGCTAACCCTCTTCTCCGGAGCATTTTTTTTATACCGCCGTATAGTCTTTTTATACAGTAAACGTTGTACAACGGAAGGCAAGAGCCCAAAAAATTCTTCGTTATAGAAAGGCGTTGTTGTACGGAATCTACCCAAAAGCGTTGCCTAAAATTGACTCTTGAGATCCTTGAAATTGCTTTTTGTCAGTAGGTTTCGTTGTACCGACAACTGTATTTTTACTGCTGACGGTATTGTTTGTAAAATACGTTCAAAACAGCGTTCGCATACTTTTGCTAAATTTGTGAATAATATTTTGTCAGCACCTTTGCAGATTTCTATCGCAATGACCAGCTTGATGGACGAGATCACCGCCGCCGCTCTGACTGCTTACAAACGGCCCGATTCCGTGAAGGAAAACGAAATCGAAGACCACTCCAAAAATGATGACATTTCACCATCCTCCTCAACCGAGAAAACGAAAAAAATTGTGGCAAAAAAGAAGCCAAGTCTATTGCAGCAGCTTTTCGCTTCGTTGAAGCGCTTCGATCCAACCCCGGAACAACAGAAATGGAGGGAATTCAACGAGAAAAAGAGGAAATTTCTCGCACGGCTACCGACTTTATTCCAGCTGAAAAAGGCCAAAATGCTGTCGGATCGGAAGAAAAATTTGGGATTTTAAGTTTCAACCGTTAAATTTTCCATTTTTAATTTTTGAATAAATTAAATTATCAAAAAAAATTTGCATAAATTTGAATAAATTATTAGTTCAACCCTTCTGATCTCGATGAAAGTCGGCGAAAATCTCAATTATGTTTTTCTAGGACAAATCCATGATTTTTAACTCGCACTGTGCAGAAAAAATCGATATTTTTTGATCGGAAAATTAAAAAATCTCAAAATTTTTTTGTGATTTTTCGAACCACAAAATTAGTCAGCTCTTTCCATGCATAGAGTATGACATTTCAGCAAAAAATAATTTTTTTACAATGCACATACGAAGAGATATAGCCCAAAAGAAATTTTTCTCTGACCGTCTCCTCATTTTGCATGCTCTCTCACCAAGTCGTTGAATATCTCGGCTAGTTTTACAAATTGGGAGTCAAAATTTTTTGAGGTTAATATACGACATGTACGAAGGTAACATACCAAATTTCAAAAAAAAATTTAAAAAAAAATTTTTTAATAAACATTTATTAATAAAAAATATGTTAATAAAAGTATTTTCTAGCGTTTCACAGCAATCTAACAAGCTAAATTAACATAAAAAAAACTATATATAACCGTATTTTATGATATGATTTCAAGCCTCAACCGGTAATTTCAAAGGTCATGTCCAAGAGAAGAGCCGGCTCATCTGATGTTTTGATCACGTAAATTTCGGATATGTCAAAGGTGTCGGGTTCCGAATTATGGACTTCTTTTGTGACTTCGGGGGTTAGTGCGTCGTTGGAGGTGGTGAGTTTGAAGGCTCGAACATTTTTGATATCAGTCAGAAATAATCTGAAACATCATCATGTATAATAAAAAAATTATTTTTTTTGCTAAAATACGATGAATTGGGATACTAGAAAACATCAAAAATATAGACCCATCCCATTCTACCTTCTCAACTCAACGCACAGTGCAAAAATTCAAAAAATCAAAAAGTTTCCGCACTGTGCAAAAATTTTTTTAAAATCTCAAATTTCCATTCAAATCTCCACTCAAAATTAAAATTATAGATTCCACAATAACTTATAAGATCATCAGTGATCAGCACACGTCATTTTTCTTTTTCCAAATTAACCGCACCGTGCAAAAAAAACAAAAAACTTTTTTCCAACTGCACTGTGCAAAAAAATTTTTTTAAAATCACTTTTCAAACGCCCCAAAGTAAAAATTTACTGCCAAAACTATGTTCTTTATCCCTCATTCTCTCTAAATCATCAACTTTTACCATCAAAACAAAAATTTTCCATCTTATTTTGTTCAACTTACACATGTCTGCTCTCTTTTTTCCCTCCAATTTCGATTCCATTTTCGGTCAACCTAACCTCATCGTCTTCCAAAAGGAACGGTTGGATCTCGCGATGGTTCGGATTGAATTCTCTGTTATTAATCAGGCCGTACGTAAAGTTACACGCAAATCCTTTGGTGAGGCGATGGGGGTGGATAACGTCGGCCATTTCTCGGAACAATTTGAAGTGATTGACCAGGGCGTTGTTATGCTAAATTTTGAAATAAAATACGATCGAAAAAATACGGTCACTCACCTCGGAATCAAAGAGGGCAGGAGGGCGGACCACGGGAAGACAGCAGTAAAGTTTGTGGAAAACTCGGTCGAAACTTGAAATCTGAAAAGAAGGCAACATGGAAATTTATCGTATTTTACCACAAATATTTTTTTCTACCAAATTCTCTTTATTTTACCCCATTTAAGTGCCGCATCTGATCAAAAATCAAGAAAAAATCATCAAACCACCTAGTGCAATATAATTTTTTCAAATTTTTGATTCCAAACTCTACAAAAACCGTTTATTCACTCTAAAACATACATTAAATACCATTAGACATCCTTTCCCGTCCAAAAAACCCAAAAAATTTTGAAAAAAATTGCCTAGTGTAATATAATTTTTGTCAAATTTTTGATTCCAAACTTTCCAAAAACCGTTTATTCACTCTAAAACATACTTTAAGTACCATTACACATCCTTTTCCCCTCCAAAAATCCCAAAAATTTTGATAAAGATTGCCTAGTGTAATATAAATTTTATCCAAATTTTCCACCAAAGACCTTCAAAACCTCTCATAACATCGCTAACTCGCATGTAAACAATTTTTCCGCCCCTTAAACAAACCAAAAACTCATAAAAATTGCCTAGTGTAATATAATTTTTTCCTCAAATCTATCCCAAATCCCCACAAACTTCTCATACCTCTTTGAAACACTCGCTAGTCCAGCCTGGAGCAAAAATCGCGGACGAAAAGTTGTGATTTCTTGCTGCTTGAACCGCCTTGTAGGTGTTGAAACCACCGCCTTCAAATGCGCCACGGCCAAAAACATCGACTCCAAAGTAAATGTCATACGTCGACAATGTCGTCTTCTTCCGTTGGACAAACTTTTCAGTCGCTGAAATGCGAAAATTCACAATTTTTTAATCAAAACTCAAAATTTCGGGTCCCACCACGAAGACCCTGAACATCAGGGAAAGTCCAAAATTCTTGTCTAAAATTCAAATTCAAACAAAACAAAAGCAAATACCTTTCAGATGACGTCGATTCCACGTGTAATTCGTAAAGAGACCATCGCATTTCTCGGCGAACACCTGATTATATACATTTAGGCAGTTCTGCCAAGCCAATTTCCCGTCGAAAGTGATGGAATCATACCAAATTACTTGGGAATGCGGTCCAATGCGAGACTTTAGACCAGAACGGAGAGTGTCGAGGAACAAGAGGATGTTCGGGATGTTGCTTGACTACAATATCACCGTATTTTAGGCAATAATAAAAAAATTTGAAAATCGTATTTTGAGATTTTGAAAAACCGATAAGGAACCTAAGAGTTATGAACGAATGACGTATTTTACCCAAAAAAAGACAAAAAAATCGGATTTCATCAAAATCCGACAAAATTTTTAAATAAAGAGAACATCTCGAAAATCGTATTTTAAAAATTTTTACAGATCAAAAAATCCATATCCGGATTATAGAATCGATAAGTGAATTCGTATTTTACCTAAAAACCAAAAAAATAAACCAAAATGAACTTACGTCGACAACATTTTCAATGTTGATCAACCACCCATCGAAGTGCCACTCCTCACACAAGTCAATCATAACATTCGCCAAAGTTGTAGCATTTTCCTGACTGCTAAAAATTTGCTCACAAAACACCTTTCCACTATCAAATTCTGTGATGAAAGTGCCGAGACAAAGAACATCGTGATCATGAGCTTCATTGATCCATCTGACCGTCGGGACGGTGATGAAATGATGGGAAAAGTAGATGAAAATGTCGGTGTACCACCAGAAGGCATAAACAAAGGGCTGACACCTATATTCTTTCAGATCAATCGTGGAGAGCCTGAAAAATTGGAGGTGATAGGGTTGGCTAGTATAATATCGAAAAAAAGAAATGTTGATGGCTAGATATCAAGTGAAGATTCGGCATAAAGGTGTGTCAGACCATGTTACTGCTTTGACAGCAAAAGATTTGATGAAAAACGCAAGTTCTATCGAGCTTTCGGCAATTTAGGCATAACTGATACCATCAAGTGTAATATCGAAAAAATAAAATGTCAGAGGAAAGTAAATTCGTTGGGCCTTTTCAGAAAGATGCGTCAGAAAATAAGGCACCTAATAGGCTATCAAACTTTTGAGCGTTTTAGCTTTTTTGACATTTACGAGCCAGCACATTGCTTTAGGCACGGTCCAGTAAAATATCCGAAAGAAATGTTTTTTATCAAGAATTCAAAAGCTCAGCTCTTTATAAGAGCTTCTTAGACCTTCAAAGCACCTGTATGAAGCAAAATATCCACCAACAACCTTCATCTTCACACCTTTTCACCTCTTTTTCTGCTACAATATATCCAAACCGAAGTATCACCTAAAAATCGAACTCAAAAACGTTTAAAAGCCGTCTTACATGTCCTCATCCAAGTATCCACCTTTCATGTCGTGGCAAACAATTGTTTTTGTCCTTTGTTCATCTGCCAAAACAGTTGTTGGTCGCCAATTTCTGTCGACTTTTGTTGGAATAAAAGGGGTCCGAGAAATCAGCTCCTCAAAATTGTCAAAATAAAGATGCTCGGCATATTCTTCAGTTGTATCTTCCATGTCGAATTAGAATCGACGTTGTTTTTCCAATTTCTTTGTACAAACAATTGTTTATTTTGCAAAAGGAAAAATAATTTTTCACCTGCAACAGAACGCCAAGAATTTTGGCTGGATGCCAAATTTGGACGAATTGGGGAATTTGAAAGCTTCTGAAGGACACTGATATCTCTGTGATAAAATTAAAAGGCCTTTTGCATCATTTTCAGTCATGAATTGCAGGAATTTTTTATTACCTTCATCATGATGATCAATACTTTTTGATCAATTTTTGATGGGAACACATTTTTATTTTTATTAAAAAAGCTGGTAATGACCACTAAACTTTGTATTCTGATAAAAATTTTGTCTACGACATCATTCCAATATTTTATGAGCATCGCAAATCTTACATTGACCATCATTTTGAGTCCCACCACGAAAACTTGAAACCCTTCAAAACCCTCGGAGAACGGCTCAAACATGAGTACAAAGCAAAAAGTTTATTAGATAAATAAAAAATAACGCAAAATAACAATGTTAAAGTCGTCTAAAACTGGGCTAGACCGATTGGAAAGTCGAGGGAAGTTCCTTCGTCCGAAAACGCGGTCAGAGTTGGAGTGCGCGGTCCTGAAATGTCATAAATTTAGTGCTAAGCTTTTGTATGTTACCTTTATAGCCAACACAATGAGTTTTGTAGGTTCTTCTGTATGGATGTCCACCTCTGTCATAGCCCACAACAGCGACGGTGAAGGTGGAAGCGGGGCATTTGAAGGGTCTGAAAAAAATATTATGGCATTTAGAAGTTATTTCAGACTGAATTCTACATTATTAGAGCGAGAAAACCCCAAAAAATTGAGAAATTATATCAGGTGGCCTAGTATAACATACTCAGAACTGATGTAATTCCACGCGCAGTCGTGTCTTCGGACCAACGGAGAAGCAAATGCCAAGGTGTGGGCGTCATGAGTGTAGACTTGAGCATAAGTCAGATGATCCGTGTCCGAATTGGCAATAATTGCATTCACTAAAAAAATCGGGGTATTTTAGATCAAATAAGAATTTTATGATAATCTAATCACTTAAAACGGCTAAAAATTATATCTAGCTAACAGTTTGAGTACGAAGAATGTTTGAAAATCATAAAAAATGAAATTCGCAGCCTGCAGGATTCGAACCTGCGCGGGCAAAGCCCATCAGATTTCGAGTCTGACTCCTTAACCACTCGGACAAAGCTGCACACCCCGAAATGGAAGATTTTGGCGGGAAATTGTTTGTTTAAAAAAATTTTTGAATTGAATTTGAAATTTTTGGACAAAAAATAAGCAAAAAAATGTTTTGTGGTACCCTTACATTACTTTTTCACCATTTTTTCATAGATTATTTTTAACTTACATCCATCTTGAGGGTAGTATTGAGCACTTCTGGAATGTAAACCATTATCCCCTCGAATATCAGTATTGAACCCAATAGCTGGAGCAGTGTTGGCAACTTCTCTGACCGAAACAAAGCACGCTGAGGGCTTGTTTTTGTGATGGATTTGGATGGTCCAAATTCCGGGGATATTGGTCTGAAAATGGGATTTTTTGATGACGTAAAAAAATTTCGAGTCTAAAAAAGACACAGGGACCATATTTGAGCCTTGGAGAAAGTGTTTTTACTATTTTTTCGGTTCTTTTGACTCGTTGGTCATGTTACAGTAACCCAAGTGTAATATACCGATTTGGCTAATAATTGGCCAAAATGAATTTCATAGTGTTCTAAGGAGATTCAGAAAGTTTTAGAGGCTAATCTGCAAAAATACGGGAGAAATTGAGATTTTAATTTTGAAAAATCTCAAAAAATTTGTCGAAAAAGTAAAAAATTTCTTCGAATATGGCCTTTTTTTGATTGACAGTTGGTTTCTAGACCTTTTGAGGGTGTTTTCACTCTTTTTCCGGGCTCTATGACATTTTTTTATGTTACTGTAACCCAAGTGTAATATACCGATTTGGCTGAAACTTTCCAAAAATTAATTTTGGAGTGTTCTAAGGAGATTCAGAAAGTTTTAGAGGCTAATCTGCAAAAGTACAGGAGAAATTGCGCTTTTAATTTTGAAAAATCTCGCAAAAATTTTTCGAAAAAACCAAAATTTTTGTTAAAAATGGCCTTTTCTTTACTGACACTTAATTTTAAGACCCTATGAGAGCCTTTCACACTTTTTCCAGGGTACTGCGACATGTTTTTTATGTTACAGTAACCCAAGTGTAATATACCGATTTGGCTGAAACTTTTCAAAAATTCATTTTGGTGTGTTTTAAAAGAGAGTTTTTTACAACTCGAAGGATGGCCCGGACATTTCGAAAAAACGACCAACTCAGAATCGTTTGATATTTTGCATAGTTGTTGTACTATGATAGCTGAACGTCAGCGCGAATTTTTAGTATCTGAAATTACCGTATACGGGGGTTACGGTAGGTACAATTTTCACAAAGATTGGGTCCGTGTGTAAAAACCCCGAGGAGTAAAAGCACAAAACCTCGCTGTTTTACGTTTTTGACCATGGGGAACATTTTCATAATTGACAACTTTACCGTAGGATGTTGCCTTCGACTACATTGAAAAATACCAAGGTACCATATTGAATGTAACTTTTTTGCAGAGAACTTGTCTCAACTTTTGAAACCTCTCAAAAATACTTTGACATAGGTGTAACAACATATCAAAAATGCGCGAAAATAAAAGGGGTGGTTTTGGAGTTACGGTACTTTGAAGGCAGCCGGTACCGTATATCAAAAAATAATTTTTTCCAAAATCGGTGTAGAAGGCCCGCAAAAATTGCCAAAATACGTTTTCGACCAGGGCGAACATTTTTGTAATTGACACTTTTTTTGTAGGATGTAGTCTTCGCCTACTTCGAAAATGACCCAGATACCATGTGTAATGTAACTCTTCGGCATTCTACTTGTCTCAACTTTTGAAACCTCTCAAAAATACTTTGACATGTATGTAACAACATATCAAAAATACGCGAAAATAAAAGGGGTGGTTTTGGAGTTACGGTACTTTGAAGGCAGCCGTTACCGTATATCAAAAAATAATTTTTTTCAAAATCGGTGTAGAAGAGCAGCAAATCATGCCAAAATACGTTTTCGACCATGGAGAACATTTTTGTAATTAACACTTTTTCTGTAGGATGTCATCTTCGACTACTTGGAAAATGACCAAGGTACCATGTTCAATATAACTTTTCGGCATTTTACTTGTCTCAACTTTTGAAACCTTTCAAAGACACCTTGATATATGTGTAACAACATATCAAAAATTTAGAAAAATAAAAGGGGTGGTTTTGGAGTTATGGCACTTTGAATGTTGGACATACACCTAGATTTATTCTCGGCTAAACTTTACGCAGATTATTTTAAAAACAAGATGTAATGTTTTATGTACATGTATGTTGCACGACCCTCAGAAACTATTTTCACTAGGAAATTCAGAAAAATTAGGCTTAAGCGTACTGTAACATATCGTGCGCATATAATTGGTTACTGTAACAGCAAGATCAGCGATTTCTTATTTTTTTGCAACGATTACCACGGTTTAGACTCGTGTATGTCATACGACGGTGGAATCTTCCAAATTCGGATGTCAGCAGCACAACAAAAGTTTGGTGTACTGTATGATCAAGATTAAAAGTACCATAACTCCAAAACCACCCTTTTTATTTTTCTAAATTTTTGATATGTTGTTACACATATGTCAAGGTGTCTTTGAAAGGTTTCAGAAGTTGAGACAAGTAAAATGCCGAAAAGTTATATTGAACATGGTATCTTGATATTTCTCATACCGGTTGAAGACTGCATCCTACAAAAAAAGTGTCGATTACAAAAATGTTCGCGAGGGTCGAAAACGTATTTTGGCAAGGTTTGCGGGTTTTCTACGTCAAGTTTAGAAAAAAGGAAATTTTGATGTACGGTACCGGCCACATTCAAAGTGCCATAACTCCAAAACCACCCCTTTTATTTTTCTAAATTTTTGATATGTTGTTACATACATGTCAAAGTATTTTTGAGAGGTTTCAAAAGTTGAGACAAGTAGAATGCCGAAAAGTTATATTGACCATGGTACCTTGGTCATTTTCCAAGTAGTCGAAGATGACATCCTACAGAAAAAGTGTTAATTACAAAAAAGTTCTCCATGGTCGAAAACGTATTTTGGCATGATTTGCTGCTCTTCTACACCGATTTTGAAAAAAATTATTTTTTGATATACGGTACCGGCTGCCTTCAAAGTACCGTAACTCCAAAACCACCCCTTTTATTTTCGCGCATTTTTGATATGTTGTTACACCTATGTCAAGGTATTTTTGAGAGGTTTCAAAAGTTGAGACAAGTTCTCTGCAAAAAAGTTACATTCAATATGGTACCTTGGTATTTTTCAATGTAGTCGAAGGCAACATCCTACGGTAAAGTTGTCAATTATGAAAATGTTCCCCATGGTCAAAAACGTAAAACAGCGAGGTTTTGTGCTTTTACTCCTCGGGGTTTTTACACACGAACCCAATCTTTCTAAAAATTGTACCTACCGTAACCCCCGTATACGGTAATTTCAGAAACTAAAAATTCGTACTGACGTTCAGCTATCATAGTACAACAACTATGCAAAATATCGAAAGATTCTAAGTTGGTCGTTTTTTCGAAATGTCCGGCCCTTGTTATGAGAAGCTTCAATCTGTAAAAAACTCTCTTTTAAGCCATTTCTAACAGTTTGAGACTATAAACTGCATAAATTTCCGAGAAATAAAAAATTTTTGATTATATTAGGTTGGACGGAAAGTTTGTACGATTTTTTACTGCTGCTATTTTTTCTTGCGCTGATGGAAAAAGACAAACACAAATATATGGTGTCGGTAGGGGACAGGCATCCCTATCTAGCAGTACAACCTTCAGCCATCTTAAGCATTTACGAACTGAGAACTTAATTTAGACATTTACCCATCTTTGGTCCAAAATTACAAATCCTTGGCTGGTTTGTTTAATAAGGCCTACCAGGAAATTGTTTTGGCACTGCTAAAAAGCCTTCTTCTGTAGCTCTTAATATGCGTAAAGTCGCCGGGGACTAAATCAAAACATAGCCATAAAATTTGACTTTTGCAGGACCAACCCAAGTTTGAATATAACTGCAACCGCCGCTTTGCCGGTGCATTTCTATGTGTAAAACTATGATATGCAGAAACTAAGGACAATCCCTTACACTCAGCTACCCCTCAATAGCCAACTGTTTTGCCGTACGACATAATAGAACTAAATTACTTTTCTCAAAAAATCGTTGGTGAACTGTTGGATCATCCCGTACAATTCTAAAAAGAGCTCATAACATCTTTCCACTCCTCCCTTTCTTGGGTGCAAAATAGAGCCGCTTTATTGCTCTACTACCTCGTGAAACAATGGGCTACCATTGTTGACTGTCACAAAATTACGCGCATTGCTCTACAGCTATAATTTTTGGCAATTTTGTCTCTTTGCGGATAACCCGAGGCATCTGTGATCCGGTTTACTCATGTTGCACGTAAAGGGCTCTCTATGTGCCTTACTGCACCCTATTACAGAGACAGACAATAAGAAATACGCGGAATAATAAGAAAAAGTTTTCATAGGGGGCCTTTGCTGAAGACTTGGTTGAAAGTGTTGCTATTATTTTATCCGACACGCTTTTTTATGATTTCTAATTGTGTTTAACGTAGTCAGAAAGACCACTGGACATTGTCTAAAAAGTTTCAGAGCTTCATCGAAAGCGATCTGGAAACTAGAGTTTGCGTTCTGGACCCTACCCGAAATAGCCGCAAAGCGGAAAACCTCTTATAATTAAGCTCGTTTTGGCGGAGCTAACGATTGGCACGTAGCATATAAATCTTCACACTGTACTCTTGTATATGCTAGGTATTTACGGTGGGCAATCGGTCTTGGCGCGAAAAAAATTAAATTGAAATTTGGGTAAAAAATCGTACGAACTTTCCGTCCAACCTAATATTATCCATCCCAGAAAAAAAAATTTTTTTGCCCCAAAACCCACCTCAATAGTGAATAAAACATTGGTGCCAGTGAGGAACAAATGCTCCGCCTTGTCGGTTGAGTTCCCATTCGGATCGATGACATCGAATTCCAGGTCCATATGAGCGGTGAAAAGATCCACAACCAGCAGCCCGTAATCTCCGCCGGTTTGGAAATACTCAATCTTGTCCGAGCACTCGCGATACATTTGATGAGTCAAACTGTAACCACGGAACCTACTGCCCAGCTGGATGTAGAACAGGTCTTTGAAACGGTCCGGATCCACTTGATAAATGAAGCCATCGGTGACGAAGGGAAGGCCAAGAAGATGCTGGATTGAGGGATCGCGGTAATTAGAGGCGTTTCCAGGGGGAACCTGGTCGTTCAGGATGATCGTGTGGATCTGAAAATATTTTTTATCAGTATTTTTGACCTAACAATTTAAAAAATTTATGGTTTTTTGATTTCTTCCAGTCGTTTGGTTTGCACTGTGCAGTCTAAATTTTCAGTTATTTTTGCACTGTGCCGTCAATTTTCCATACATTTTTTGCACTGTGCAATCAAACAAGTAAGATTTTTCGCACTGTGCAATCAAAAAAAATTTTCTTTTTGCACTGTGCAGTCGATTTTCTAGTGGTTTTTTGTGCACTGTGCAGTAAAAAAAGTAAAATTTTCCGCACAGTGCAATCCAAAAAAATGTTCTCTTTGCACTGTGCAGTCGATTTTCTAGTGATTTTTTTGCACTGTGCAGTAAAAAAAAGTAAAATTTTTCGCACTGTGCAATCAAAAAAAAAATTTCTCTTTGCACTGTGCAGTCGATTTTCCAGTGATTTTTTTTGCACAGTGCAATCAAACAAGTAAAATTTTTCGCACTGTGCAATCAAAACAAATTTTTCTTTTTGCACTGTGCAGTCGATTTTCTAGTGATTTTTTTTGCACTGTGCAGTCAAAAAAGAAACATTTTCCGCACAGTGCAGTCTAAATATTCAACTATTTTTGCACTGTGCAACCAAAAAAAAAATTTTTTTCCACACTGTGCAGTCTACCCTTTCAGTTATTTTTGCACTGTGCAGGAAATTTTCCGTAAATTTTTTGCACAGTGCAATCAAAAAAGCATAACTTTCCGCACTGTGCAACCAAAAAAATTTTTTTCGCACTGTGCAATCCCCTCCGCTCACCGTAACATGTTTCTCTGCGATATGATTATACAATTGGTCATTCCAGGTCTTCGCATCCTCCACTCCCGAATCTCCAATCACGTAGACGGCCGAGCCGGGGATCACGTCCTTGCTGCTGATCACCTTGGCCAAGGCGAAAAGATAGTCTCGTTTCTGGCCCCGGGACTGGTAATTGTCGTTGATCAGGGTCTGCAGTTCATTCAAGAATTTTGAACGGTCCGTTTCCACGACCAATTTGGAGACGGGCTCCACTTCGCCTTGGGCCTTATCGTAGGCCAGGATTCCGATGTAGTTGTGGTACATCTGGTGCTCGGTGTTCCCGAGGCGGTCCAGAATTTCAGCGATGATTTTGTTGAAGCTAAAAAGGTTTTATAGCTTTGGTTTACTTTTTTCCTTTCAAATCTGTGCCAATTTTAAGCAAGATTATTCAAAATTCAAATTTCCCGCCATTTTTGGCATTCCGTTTTATGGCTTGAAAAAATTTTTTACTGGCTTCCTAATCATGAATAATATTGTTCTGATCGTAATTTGAACTATCCTAGCCAAAAAAAAATTCAAAATTAAAATTTCCCGCCATTTTTGGCATTCTGTTTTAAGGCTCCAAAAACTTTCTGAAAGGCTCCCTAATTATGAATAATGTTGTTCTGATCAAAGTTTAAACCATTCTAGCAAAAAAAAAAATCAAAATTCAAATTCCTGCCATTTTTGGCATTCTGTTTCAAGCTTTTAAACGACTCCCTAACGACTCAGTTGTTTTCAAAACTAAACCAACTCACTTCTGTGCGACCTTAGCGTTGTTTGCAGTATTCGAACCATCCAAAACGATGATGAATGACTTTCCATAAACGTCCATCGGAGGTGGCGGATGATCGGTGTCATTTCTCAGGCAGATAGCTAAAAATCTTTGTTGAATTTTATTTGTTACAATCTTTTAAACCCTCAGGAAGTCATCTACGTTTCTCAAATTACGAAATCCACGGTTTTGACACTGAAATTTTGGGTCCCGCAGCGAAAACATAAAATTCTTGGCATTCTGCAACAAGTCTGTAGAATTGATCGTGAGACTCTAAGGACTTATTAGAAAGCATTTTAGCCCCAAAAACAGAAAAATTACTGTAACATTTTCTGTTACAGTAGCTTTTTTCTTCGTTACAGTAACCCCGAACTCACCATATTGACAAAGTGGGCCTTCATAATCATGGAAGCATTTGCACGAGACTCCATTCGGCGCGGCATATCCAAACTTACAGTTGGGGATTTGGCATTCGCGGCCCCGGAACTCCGGAGGGCAAACACATTCCTCGGTGCGTCTACTCAAAACCCCACCGTTCTTACAAGTTGGGATCGAATCCTCGGAGACTGCGGGCAAAACCCGTTGGAATGGATAGCCGTAGGCGTCAAATCCGGTAAATCCGACGTAATAACCGAGGTTTGAGGCGGTAAAGGGGTTCGAAATGTAGTCGTAGGAGCACTGGTCGCGCTTGTGGAAGGCCTGAAAAATAATTTTCAAATTTTGGAAAAATATTTTTGCTCAAACTTGGTGAAGATCTAATTTATGATTTTTCAGAACCTTTCCGAATTTTTTACTTTTTATAGAAAAATCGAGATCTTTTCATAGAAAAATCGAGATTTTTTACCCAAAAAATGCAAAAAAAAAGAAAAATTTTTTTTGAATTTGTAAACTAAAAAATTTTCTACTCTGTTAGTACTGGCGACCCCATTATTTCCACAAAAAATCTAAATTTTTCCCCCAGAATTCGAAAAGATACGGCAAATTCGTTTTTTCTCTGACCGTCTCTTCATTTCCCGTAGTCCCTCGTCTGAAATACACCGTTGAATATCTTTGCTCTGCCTTCAAAAAATTCGCTTAAATTTACAAGCATTGATATACAGCCTAGATACCGTGCACACAAAAAATTTGAAGTAAATCGATTGCTTTGTACCCCGGAAAAATCTCACTTACAACAACATCACCAAGATTGGCGGTCTCGGATGGATAGAGATGCGCGTATTCCAACCGTGCCTCGGATGAATGGCCATTCACATGAGATTCCAAGTGAGCGATGATTCGGTTGTTCTCTACAAAAAGGCATTGAAATTTTTGAGGGTTTCAAAGGAATTCAAATTCCCGCCAATTTTTGGCATTCTGTTTCAAGTGTTTCCCTGTGAAAAGATAATTAAAAATCCCAAAAAACGGCTTCAAAATTTTGATTCATGGGTTTTTCTACCATCTAGGCTTAGTTTTTGACATAAAAATTCAAAAAATGAATTTCCCGCCAAATTTTGGCATTCTGTTTCAAGCGCAGTTCTTGGCCTAAATGAGGTCAGTAATTGAAAACCAGGCTTTAAATTCAACTCAAAAGACATTTTTCTAATACTATAGTCTACTTACTATCTAGCAATTCAAAAATTTAAAATTTCCGTCACTTTGGCGTTCTGTTTCTAGCGTTGTCATCGGCAAAAATGGGGCCAATATTATAAAAGCAGGCTTCAAAGGCCTTTCAAGACAATTTTTAATAATCCGGATTCACTCTACCACGCAAAAATTCAAAAATTTCGGTTTTCCGCCATTTTTTGGCATTCTGTTTCATTCGACGGTACAGGTAATTGACATTCAAAAAATGAAAATTTTATTAGCTAGATACTAAAATACGCTAGAATTTGTCTTGTTTTTAAAAAAATTCCAAAAAATCCGTCATGTTGACACTTTTTTCACCAATTTTTTATATTATTCTACCCGAACTTACTGCTCTTCCAGACCAAAGCGCCGTTTCCAAAATCGTCATCCAATTTTTTGGTGAACTGGCGGAAGACTTGAGTGGCCGATTGGACGTTGACTCTGATTCCACACGTCGTGAATTCATTGTTGTAGGTGCGCAGTTTGACCGACCAAATTCCTCGCGCCAAATGCCCGTGCTCCTTCCCTCCGGGATTGTAGCCGAGGTCGTCTGAAAAAAAGGGTTCTTTTTCTTTGTGAAAAAAACTTACAAGCATGCTTTTGACAGATGAACGGCTTCGTTGCATTACAGGCCTCGCTGACCCAGCCACCTGACGTCAAGATTGCACAGTGTTTGCCGCTCTTTGGCTCTCCCGCCGCCCAGTGTTTGAAGGCGTTTCCGAGCTGAAAATTTTTTTAATCAAGTATTAATCATTCGAGATCATCAAACAATTAAAATCCAGCCGAAATTTCGAAGGAATTTTAAATTTTCAAATTCCCGCCAAACTTTGGCATTCCGTTTCAAGCGATAAAAATACATAAGATAGCTTCAAAATTTGTATGTAAAATAGTCCCAGAAACTCATAGATCGTAGCGTTCGCTTTTTTCAGCAAATTTTAGCAATTTATTATATTACCTATGCTGCTTTTGATAGAGAATCATAATTTTTTGCTTTTTTTTGCACTTCTTTTGTTAGAAACTTGTCTTAAAATATTGAAAAAAGTGCACGAGCAAATTTTACTACCCGGAAAACATAAGAAACTCGAATTTCAATTTTTCCCGCCAATTTTGGCATTCTGTTTCAAGTGCTGAAAATACTTCAAACAGCTGCCGCATTGCATCTAGAGTGATACAAAACCATTATTGAATCCACCAATCCTCTTTAGCCGTTTTTACTATCAAAACTTACCGGCAGATCATCATGAGCGCCCTGATCCCATCCCCAGTCATGGCTGTTTTGGTCGTTCAACCCGATCCAAGTGGGTGTTCCTCCAATGTACAGAGACATCAAGTCGTCCAGTCCTTTGTTGGCAATGTGAAGAAGATGACCTCCTTGCATCATACAAGTGGCTTTGGCATCGTCCCATGGGATTTCGCGGACTTCCAGGAGGTAACAATTCTGTTCGTATGGCTGCCATCCGTCGGGACAGTCTGAAATACACTTTTATGTTTTTAGACGAACGTATTTTACCATGACTTTTAGGTATCGATTATTTCAATTAACTTTTCTCTTCAATTTTTGCTTTTTTCACTTATTTGCTTAGCAAATTCTTCAGCAGTCTCAAATTACCCTTTGTTTGCCATTTTGTAAAAGTTTTTGAGTCTCACCACGAAAACGTTTTTTCTTGGCGTTGCGTTTATCTGTAAATTTTGTTGTAAAAAGCTTTTGAAAGATTTTTACTGCTTCTAAGACGTCTTTTTGAGATTTTTGCTACACAAATTTTAAGTTCCACCACGAAACCCTGATATTTTGGCATCCCGCCAAAACTTCATATTTTGCTTCTAAAAGTCGCGTTAGAGGTTTTACAACACTGTTAATAGTTTTAAAATTTTTTTCCAGTTAGTTTATTCCGGTTGTCACCAAAAAATAAGCATTTTATGTTATCTATGATGAATAAGGTGCAAAATTTTCGATTTTTGATTATAATCTTTCAGAAATATGTAAGTGATTGCCGGCAGTGTATTTAATTTCGCCCCACCTACCTTTGTAAACAATGTTCAATCTGGACATTGCACTGTCATAAACTTTTCTGGCATCGACATATGTGTTCTCGGCGGCACTGATCTTCGGATAGCCCCTGCGCAGGTCTCCCAAACTCGTGATACTCACGGTTTGGGCGTTGCCGGAGATCGGGAAGTAGAAGGTCTGTTCCTTATCGCAGTTGTCTCTGATTTCGTCGAACACGGTCGCTTCGTCGTATTGAAGGGGAAGAGTGATGAAAGCGGTCCCGCGGTTGGTCTGATACAAAGATCCGCCGGAATAATGGGCTAGCGTGCTGATGGCGGTGCTGGCTTCTTGATCGATTTCAATTCGGCATTTGTTGATCGGGTATTGGATGATGTTGATCTGAAAAGTTTGGGTGGTGTCATGGATAATAAAATTTTGTTGATTTTTTATTTGAAAAGCATGTTTTAGCGTATAAAATGTCACTTTAAGGAAAAATAGGATTTTTGCAATGATTGAGCATCAATTTTGATGTTTTTTGACTAAATTTTTAAGATTAAAAAAAAATTTTTTGTGGAAAAACTGAAGGTTTCATCGTATAAAATGGTGCTAAGCTTCATAGTGGACCCCAAATAATTTTTATTCTTAAACTGACCAGCGATTTTGTAATTCTTTACAGAAATTTCAAAAATTTTTATTTTTGAAATTTAAACATGTTTGATCGTATAAGATGTCATAAAATTATGGGATACAACTTATGAAGCCTTCACTGACAATTTACAGCTATAATTTGCTTGATATTTAGCGGGTTGTTTTTTAAATTGCAAATTTTTATCCTAGGCATGTTTGATTGTATAAAATGTCCTTTTAAATATAACATTCACTTCAAATTTCTCACCTTGGCTCCCAATGCATCGATCAGTTGGAAAGTCTCTTTTTCCTTGTGTTCATTCAGTTTGATTCCACCCGAAACAACCAAATACACCACTTCATGTGCGGTGGCTCGACTACTCGTCAAGGCCTCAATAATGGCTTCGTAAATCAGCAAATCTTTGCATACGGACTCTGTGTTCTGTGTGTCTTGCTGTAGGGCCTCAAACCCATGGATTAAATCGTCGGGATGGTCGGTTTGAAGGTACAATTTGACTTGTTTGTCATCGAAACTGTGGATACTGTAGTGACTGATCCAGTAGGGGTCGTTGAACTTGAAATCGCGGACAATCTCGGGCGCCAGTCGATTCAACTCGACCAGGGTGCTCTGCACATCCGACGAGCCCTGAATGACGAAGCTGAGCCCGACGCCGCGGGGCCTGAAGTCGACCCATTGGTTTTTGTAGCCGCACTTGGGCTCGGTGCAATGCGGCCCACTCCACGGGGCGTAGCACTCGCAATGCGTGCTGTGCGAGCGTCCCTCGTTGTAGCAGACAATGTTCTCGCAGTTCTTGCCCTCGTAGCCGGGCACGCAGAGGCAACGGTCGCCCGAGCGGACGCCTCCATTCCGACAGCCCTGATCCGGCGGGTTCGGGTCGCGCACTGTGCAATGCCCCACCGACGTCCGCTTCACGGTCAGCCCTGTCGCATCCTCCACGTACACCTCGACGTAGAAGAATTGATTGGGCCGCTCGCACTTCCACGTCCCAAAGTACAAGTTGTAGTCGCAGCCGTCCCGATACACCCCGTTCGACGCGTACAACACCTCGCGTTTGTCGTGCTGGAAGATGCTGTTGTGCCAGATCAACGCCTCCGCGAAAACGTTCTCCGGGTCCGGGAACTCGATGTTGTTGACGCGCGCAACAATGTGCATCTCCTCGTTGTAGCGGGGCTGGTCCAGCGTCAGGTCGTGGTCAATGTCGATGGAAGCGCCCGTGAACACCTCGTACTTGGACTTGGCATAGACACGGTAATGGCAGGGGAGCTCGGCTGGAAATTTTTTGGTTGTTTTAGTCACAAGACAGGTGGGAGTTTCGTATTTTAAGGTTTTTTGAAATTAAAAAAAATATTTTTTTTTACAAAGAAAGAACTTTTATGGGGTATGGAGTTACAGGTCGAGACATGTATCAAAAAATCACAAACGTTTCAGATTCAGAATATGTAGAAATTAGCTGCCCAATTTTGGTTGATAAGGGCGAAAAAATCCTCAGAACTTTTCTCGCAACACCACGCAAATGCCCCTTTTTTATGTTGGAACTAAGGTGTAGTATTAATCAAATTTGATATTTTAAGGCTTGTCAAGATGCCAGGGTTTACTTTTGCTCAAAAAAACTTTGGATCCCGTAAAAATGTGGTCAAAAAATGATTTGGTGTCTGTTGTAAAGGCCAAGAGGACCGTTTGGGGTGATTTGAGGTCCATTCGGTGATCAGGGATACCATAAGTGCACCTATTGTTCTGAGGGCTTTTTTCACCCTTACAAACCAAAATTGGGCATCCAATTTTTACATATTCTGAATCAGAAAAATTTTGCGATTTTTTGATATATGTCACGACTTGTAACTCCATACCCCATGGAAGTACTTTCCTTGTGAAATCTTCCAACTTACTCTCACTCGAATTCTGGCCCTTTTTAATGACCAATCTGTAGTTGCCGAACTCGAGGTTCCTATAGACCTTGTTCGTCAAGTCTCCTCCCTTCATGATGTAGAAAGCGTCCACCTCTTCCTCAATCGTATTCACCACATTCACATCATAATCCGCTCTTCCGACGAACGCCACAATCAGCTCTTCGATGGAGTCATCCACGAAGAAGACCTGTTCATTCGGCGCGTACTGGCAAGAGTCGAGCAGATCGTTGGCCGCCAGCAAATGCTCATTGTACAAACCCACCGACAGCGTGTACGCCACGCGCCAGATGATCCAGGAGAGGTGCTCGTCCACGGTCTCGGTCGCCTTCACCACCAGCCCGCCGCTGAACTGCGCCAGGACGCGGAACTGCTCGTAGGCCTCGGTGTGGATGTCCGGGTTGCACTTGAACCCAAGACCGCCGTACGCGATGATGTAAATCGGGTTGGACTGCTCGTTGAGACGCTGCAGAATGTCGAAACGAGTGCTGGGCGGGTCGTCGGGCAATGCGTCGGTGAAGACGATGATCGGCGAGTTACGGTAGAAGTTGGCAGCACCGATTTCGAGGGTCTCGTCGATCCCGAGCAAAATCTATTATAGAAAACGATTTTTAGATTTTTTGGGGATTTTGAATGGACAATGCAATGTTTGAGGAAATTATTTTTTTCTATACACTGAATTTTACTTTTTGAAGTTTGTGCGGTGCAAAAAATATTTTTTTGAACAGTGTTTTCAAATTTCTAAAAATTTTTTTTGCACTGCGCAGACTCCAAAAATATTTTTTTCGCACGGTGCAAATTTTCAAAGCCACTTTTTTGCACTGTGCAATTTTTAAAAATATTTTTTTTGCACTGTGCAGAGTCGAAAAATGTGTTTCTGCACTGTGCAGACAAAAATATTTTTTTTGCACTGTGCAGATTTTTCACAGTCTTTTTTGCAACGTGCAGCTTTCAAAAGCTATTTTCGCACCGTGCAAATTGTCAGACTCCTTTTTTTTGCACAGTGCAAACTCCTAAAATTAGTTTTTTTGCACTGTGCTGACTTCAAACACAGTTTTTTTCGCACAGTGAAAATTTTTAAAGTCGTTTTTTGGGCGTGTTGAGTTCAAAAACATTTGCACCGTGCAAAATTTTAAAAGTTATTTTTTGCACAGTGCAAATTTCCAAAATTATTTTATGGCACTGTGCAGACTTCAAAAATATGATATTTTTTCGCGCAGTGCGAATTTTTAAAGTCATTTTTTGCACAGTGCAGATTTCCAAAAAAAAAATTTTTTTGCACAGTCCGTGTTTCTAAAAGCAATTTTCGCACAGTGCAGATTCAAAAAAATAAATATTTTTTTGCACAGTGCAGAATTCCAAAAAAAAATTTTTTTGCACAGTGCAGATTTCGAAAAAAAAATTTTTTGCACAGTGCAGATTTCCAAAAAAATTTTTTTTTGCACAGTGCGTGTTTCTAAAAGCAATTTTCGCACAGTGCAGATCTCCAAAAAAAATATATTTTTTTGCACTGTGCAAAATTTTCATAACATTTTTTGCACCGTGCAGACTCCAAAAATTGCACAGTGCATAAAAACTTTTTTCTACAAAAAAAAAAAAAAAAATAAAAAAAAATTTTGTAAAATTCAAAAAAAGTTGCACTTACCTTATCAGTACACTTGTCACTCTTCTCCCATTTAACTTCGTTGATTTCCTTCAAAAACACATCCGGATCATCGCTTTCAAAGTACAATTTGGTCCCCCCGTCCAAAATAAACGTCGCCGTGTAGGCTCGAATCACATTTTCGTTGAACGCTTCGAACGAATTGATGATGAAATCGATCGATTGGATCACCTGCTCTCGGATCCCACCATCGTCATGCGATCTGATGACGAAATTCAAGGCCGTTTCGTCGGTGGTGTCAAAGGTTCGGCCGCTGCGCTCTTTGCACGTCAAATGCTCGCAAAATTCGCCGTCCCAACTACCGTAGCAGACGCACTTCCCGTCGGAACCGATGTGGCCGCCGTGGTCGCAAAGCTGAAAATATGGGAATTTTAACATCCGACTGGTGACAACAACCGTATTTTACATTTTTTTTTTATTTTTCGCAATTTCAAAAAAAATATATTTTTTTTTATTTTTGATTTTTTTTTATTTTTTAAATTTAGAGAAATTGATTGGAAACCTCTAAAAAATTTTTTTTGCTGTTTCAAAGACCTAATAAAAATGAAAAGCATTTTAAATTTTTGTTTATTTTTTGCAATTTCAAAAAAAAAAATTTTTGAAATTCTTGATTTTTTTTTATTTTTAAAATTTAGAGAAATTGATGGAAAACCAACAAGCGTATTTTACAATTTTTTTTATTTTTCGCAATTTCAAAAAATTTTTTTTGAAATTTTTGATTTTTTTTTATTTTTAAAATTTAGGGAAATTGATTGAAAACCTCTAAAAAATTTGTTTTTGATGTTTTGAAGACCGAATAAAAATAAAAAGCATTTTAAATTTTTTTTATTTTTTGAAATTTTAAAAAAGTTTCGCAATTTTTGATTTTTTATTTCTAAAATTTCAAAAAAAAAATCAAAAGTTCCCAAAAAAATCTTTTCTTACTGTTCATACATCAAAAAAATCAAAAAAATATATCTTCAACTTTTCGATTTTTTATTCCTAAAATTTTTAAAATTTATTGAATACCGAAGATGATCGTATTTTACAAAAAAAAAATTCAAATTTTTAAAAAATTTTTAAAATCTGTAAAATTTTATGAGATTTTGACTCAAACTGAAATAAATAATTTTTTGTTTATTTTTTAAAATTTTTATTTTATTGTTTTTATTTTTCCAACCTTTTTCCACAAAAAAATCATTATTTTTTCCGATTTTTTTTATTTTTATTTTCCCTAAAATTTTTCCACAAAAAAATCATAATTTTTCCGATTTTTTTATTTTTATTTTTATTTTCCCTAAAATTTTTTTTTAATTTCAAAAAAACTCAAAATCTAAAAATCCTCACCTTAGTTTCACAAATCCGACCTTCATAATGATGTCCACAATAGCAATAGCTATGTGTTTCGTTGTTGACGAAGGTTCCTCCATTCAGACAATGATCGGGGGCCGGGGTTGGTTCGGGGGTTGGGCCAGGGCCCGGGCCCGGGCCTGGATTGGCATTGCATGCGAACTGATAGACTCTTTGCCAAACATTGCCACCTCGGTCAGTCCCTCGTATCTTCACAAAGTAAATCCCATACTCCAGACACACATATGGGCCGGCAAACACGTTGGCATTGCAATTGTACCTTGTTCCCACCAACATCGGCGCGTATTGTTGTTCGTGCTGACTCCGATAAAACGTCACGGTAGTCACGGTCTCCGGGAACTCCAATCGCGACGGCTTGAACGCCAGATAGCCGGGCACAAACTCGGTGGGGTCGCGTTGCAGCTCGTGGTATTCCCCGACGAACTCTTGGACGCGGTCGTCGTGCGGCGACTCCACAAACCCACCATCCAGCACGAGGTCGGTGTGGGCGCGGACCGCCACCACACAGTCCTCGTTGTCGTCGGAATCGGCGGTGAAATAGAATTTCCCGGTCCCTTCGTCCTGCACGTTTTCGTAATGCATCTGACGAAGGTGGGGGTGAATCTCTTCGAAGTTGGGGAAGAGTAGACGGCCTAAAAAATGTAAATAGAAGGGCAGTAAAAAGTGTGTTTTAGAGAAAATAATCGTAAAAAAGATTTTTTGCGTTATTTTTCTTTTATTTTTATATTTTTTTGAGGTAAACTTTGACAGTTTTAGAGAAAACTATTCCTAAAAAAATTTTTGGGCATTTTTATTTTTTTCTGACTTATATGTTAAAATTAGAGAAAAACAAAAATTCTGAGAGATTTTTCACGTTTCTTACTCTGCACTGTGCAGAATCAGTGTTTCAAAAAAGCCACTGTAGCATAAAATTTGGAATCAGAAAAATATCAGAAAAAATGCATGAATTTTTACATCGTATTTTATTTTTAATATGCTTTTTTTTTTATATTTTTTTTTCAACTGTGCAAATTTTTATTTCTTTTTTCCAAAAATGATACTGTAACATCACATTTAGTTAAAAATTAAATTCTTTTTTGACGGCTATGCCGTATATGACGTATTTTAAACACCCAACTTTGAGCAATTAAAAATTTGTAAAGCAGTTTTTTTCAGCACTTTGCAGAATTTAATTTTGTACAAAAGCAATTTAAATTGTATTTTTCAGACATGACAGGCCATTGATATTATTTTTTAGCCCTTAAATTTCCACTACACCACTTTATACCGGCTAAAAATCCAAATTTTTTGACTGCCCTGTCCAATCAACCCTCTTTTCTCCCCTCAAAACTCACCATGAGCATTGAACAGTTTTCCACTTGGATAACCCGCTTGTTCGGTGGTAACGACCACAACCAAGTCCTTGATATGTCGGTCGACATGAACCACCAGTCCACCAATGCATTGGTCAAAGAAGTCCAATTCGATCAATTCGCCGGGAAAGTCTCCGCTGTGATGATCCAATCGGGTCTGATTCCAACAGATGGCTGAAAGTATAGTTTTTAAAATACGACGAAGTTTTTTGGGGCCTGAAATTTTTAGGGAATTTCTGATTTTAATGCACTGTGTGAAAAAAATCCAAATTTTGCTGTGCACTGTGCAAAAAAAATCCAAGTTTTGCTGTGCACTGTGCGAACGAAATCCAAATTTTGCACACTTGCATTTGCACAGTGCAAGTTCAAGAAGTTTTTTCGCAACTCATTGTGCAGTTATTTCGAAAAATTTTTTCATCTGCACTGTGCAACAAAACTTTTGAAACATTATCGCGCGGTGCAAAGATAAATTTTGATTTTCTGCACAGTGCAGCGCAAAATTTGAGTCTTTGACTGCGCTGTGAAAAATTCAAAATTCATTTTTTCATCTGCACTGTGCAACAACACTTACCATCAGTCATTGCACGGTGCAAAAATAAATTGTGATTTTCTGCACAGTGCAAAACGAAAAATTTTATTTGTCGCCATCGTACTGTGCGACGAAAATAAAAAAAATATTGCGTTTTTTACAGCACCGTGCAATTAAAAATTTTATTCTACTGCACAGTTCATTAAAGTTGAAAATTGCACCGTGCAAATAAAAAAATCTCCCGTCGCTGTTGCACTGTACGACTCTAAATTTATTCTTTGACCGCACAGTGCTCATTGCGCTCTTTATTTTTCCGACAGACTAATATTTTATTGCAATTTTTGCGTCGAAACTGCACTGTCCAAAAATTTCAAAATCTATCTTTTTTGTTGCGGTACCCCAAACTTACGGCTTTCACAGAGATGCCCCGTATAGCCTGGAGGACAATGTTCCGGGCCTTCTGGATGTTCCTCTTTGATTTCGCGTTTCCGTCGCGTGACTGTATTATTTGGAGGTGTCCCGTGGAAAGCGTCTGGCCTCAAGCTTTTGTCAGCTTTGAATTGTTTTAGCAGTAGTTGTTCTGAAAAATGGAAAGAATTCTCTCGTTACGGCGTATTTTAAAAAAATTTATTGTATTTATAAAAAAAAATATTTTAAAATTTTTAAAATTCCTTAGAAACCTACGTTGTTCAGCGAACTTTGCGACTGCTGGATCGATTTCTTGCGTTGAACACGCTGCGAACAGGCATATCAATGCAAGAATTGATGTCCCGGCACCCGGAGGCCACATTTTGACCTAAAAAAAAAGGTAATTCAATGTTTAAAATAAATCTCTAAATTTCGATGACCGTATTTTACAATGAAACTGACAAAAAATAATTTGTTTAATGTTTGACAACATAAAAAAGGCTAGATTTTACATGGCGCAGGCCAAAAATCACTTCATTGACGGTACATGTGGGAGGTGAAAGCTGCTAGAAAATGCCTTTATTTAAGGGAAATTGAAGAGTGCGTATTTTACACTGTACCCTCTGGATACGTTTTTCTCTCTATTAGGATATCCCTATCTTCCCTAGACTCCTCCGAAAAATCCGCACAGTGCGATTTTTAAATCAGTTATATTTTAGGAGTTATTATACCTAAACACCCTAATGTTTCAAATTACCACTCTGCGTTATCTTGCAGTCCTCTGAAAGAGTTTCGGCCCACATAGGCCTTCTCTATCTTCCACTAGACTCCTCCAAAAAATCCGCAGAGTGCGATTTTTTAAATCAGTTTGATTTGACAAATTCTTATACCTAAACACCCCAGTGTTGCCAAACAGCACTACTCGTTCCTTTGTAGTCCTATGACCACGTTTTGCTCCATGTAGGCCCTGTATATCTTAAACAAGACACCTCCAAAAAATCTGCACAGTGCGGTTTTTAGAAATCTCCTTTATCTCTCAATTCCTTGGTGTCAGACAGCCTAATGTTCCCAAAGAGCACCATTAGTCGCTTTGTAGTCTTCTGAACACGTTTTGGAAGCTAGAGATGACCAATATGGAGATATAGGCCATCTCTAGCTTATACTAATCATTTCCAAAAAATCCGCACAATGCAAATTTTTGAAACCTCTTTTATCTCATAAATACTCGGGCTCAGAAAGTCTAATGTCCTAATATAGCGCAGGTAGTCCCTTGGTAAGCCTCTGAATACGCCTTGCTTCATAGAGGCCCTCTCAATCTTCCACAAGACACTTCCAAAAAATCCGCACAGTGCAAATTTTTTAAACCTCTTTTATCTCAAAAATACTCGGGCTCAGAGAGCCTAATGCCCTAGCACAGCACTGCTAGCCCCTCTGTGGTCTTCTGAATACGTTTTGCTCCATACAGGCCCTCTCAATCTTCCAGTAGACTCTTCCAAAAAATCCGCACAGTGCGGTTTTTAAAATCACTTTGATTTGACAAATTGTTAGATCGAAACACCCTAGTGTTTTCAAACAGCGCTACTCGTCCCTCTGTAGTCCTATGAGCACGGTTTGCTCCATATAGGCCCTGTATATCTTAAACAAGACATCTGCGAAAAATCTGCGCAGTGCAAATTTTAGAAACCTCTGTTATCTCATAAATCCACGGGCTCAGGGAGCCTAATGTCCTAATATAGCGCTGCTAGTCCCTTGATAGGCCTCTAAAAACGTTTTGCTTCATGGAGGATTTTTTTTCTCTTCCACAAGACACCTCCACAGATTTGCGCACAGTGGGGTTTTTTAAAATAAATTTGATTTCAGGAATTCTGAAATGTAAACACATCAGTGTTTCTAGACGGCACTGTGCGACCCTCTGTAGCCTTGTGAACACGTTTTGTTTCATAAGGCCATATCTATCATCCACCTCCAAAAATATCGCACGGTGCAAATTTTAGAAACCTCTTCTATCTCATAAATCCTCGGACTCAGAGAGCCTAATGTCCTAATATAGCGCTGCTAGCCCTTTGGTAGGCCTCTGAAAACGTTTTGCTTCATAGAGGCCCTCTCAATCTTCCACTAGACTACTCCAAAAACTCCGCACAGTGCAGTCCCCACTCAACAGTCTCTAAACCGCCTCCACTGCAAAACTGCAACGCTCCCGTCATTCTCCAGACAACCTGCCTCTTCTACAGTACCCCCAAATCAAGGGCTAGCCTTCGCCGATCCTCACCGAAAAGGTGTGCTAATTCAATTAACGCAAAACCGAATGCACGGTGCACTTCAAATCTTAATTGCTTCAAGTCTTAATTGTCCAACTTTATGGCCCCATTAATTCGCTAATTAGCGCCTCGAATTATTATTTGCACGTTGATAAGGGCGAGGCGTTTGGCACTTAATTTAATCAAATCAACGCCGCCTTTTTATGACGCCCCTCTTCTGTCGGCGTTTTATTGCCCGCAGGCAATGAGTGTCGCCGATTTTGGAGACGCATTATCAAATACAACACAACACCGAGAACGATGATCGAGGAAATGACGTGGAACATAAAACTTGACTGGTCGATTTTGCAATATCAAAAAGGCTTCGATAAAAAAAAATTGTGTCTGTGTTTTGTGTGCGTATTTTAAAAAATCAAAAATTTTATTGAACTTGTCTTGGTCAAGAAATATCAATGATTAATAATTTGCAAAAAAATCTTGCAAAAATTTCAAAAAAAAATTGAAAAATTCAAAAAATCCCGAAAATTATCAAAATATTTTTTTGTTGATTAAAAATAATTTTTTAGGCCATAAAGCAACAAAAATATCACAAGTTCATTTCTCTGAGCCTTTTTTAGTTTTTTATGCAGCTTTTTAGCAAAAAATTTGGCCTTTTCCCTGACCGTTCTCCTCACATTGTGCAACATCTCCAAGATCATTCAATATCCCGGCTACCGCAACAAATTACAAGCTAATACTTTCATGGATTAATATCTGGCTCGTAGACAACTAGAATACAAAATTTCAAGAAAATCGAAAAGCTGCGCCTCCGGCAATATCCAATTACTTTTGAAAAATCATCTTTTTTTTGATTAATTTAATTTATTTACACTTTGTTTCAAAATATTTGGTATAGATGAGCCTAAGTGCAGTATAAATCAAGTATAAATACAATCTTCCATTTTCCAGTCGACAATTATTTCTTTCCATAGCCATAGCCTCCCATTCCATGGTGATGATGATGTCGTCCGTAGCCACCGTATCCGCCGTATCCTCCTTGTCCGTAGCCACCATAGCCTCCTTGTCCAAAGCCTCCATAGCCTCCCGGTCCATAGCCACCATAGCCTCCTTGTCCAAAGCCTCCATAGCCTCCATAACCACCATATCCTCCAGGATAGCCCATTCCGTAGCCGCCATAGCCGCCATAACCACCCATTCCGGGGTAGCCCCCATAACCCCATTGCGCTGCGGTCGAGGCGAAGAGAATGACGAAAATAGAGAGAACAAGAAGTTTGGAGGTCATTGTGGTAGCTAAAAAAACGATGGAATTAACATTTTTAAAGATACGATGTAAAAATTGGCATTCTGTAATATGCGATAAAATATGGTAAAAATCATGTTGAAAGGGGATTTTTCACGCTGAAAAAAAATGTCCTAAATGGATTAAAGTAAGTTTCGTTTGCTAAACACCACTTCCACAAGCCACTGGTTCAAATTCTGGCTTTTGCGAACATAAAAATTCAAATTCCCGCAATTTTGGCATTCTGTTTCAAACGCCAGAGAAGCTGTAAATAAGATCAGAAAAGGATTAGTGGGGTGAAAAACCACTTTTAATGAGGAAATTTGCGCTTTGACAGTATATACGAACCCTTTTTATATTATCCATGGCAGCTTTGGTATAAGAATGGGAAAAATTGCAAGAAATTTGAGGGAATTGGTCTACAGCGTAAAGAAATATGCAATACGCAATATCGAGGGGCTATTATGAACATTTTAGGCACTGTTTGTCATTTTGAAGACATAAAAAATCAAAAAAAGAAAATTCCCGCCTTTTTTGGCATTCTGTTTCAATGGCCGTAAAAGGTGTAAATTGAGTCGCAAAAGGGTTATTAAGACCATAAACCACTTTTAGTGGAAAAATTTACAAATTTGACAGTGTTTTCGGATCATTTTTACGTTACCCATGGCACCTTTAACCCAAAAAAGGCAAAAAATCTCAAAAAATTGCTGAAATAAAGGGAAATTTGGGTGAAAATAACAAGAATCATGGGTTGATTTTTGATTTTCTTTGACTTGAACTTCTTTTTCATTAGTTCTTGAACACTAAATCACCAAAAAAATTTAAAAAAATTGCAGCCCTTATTTGTTGAAAAGTGTCAACAACATATGAATGGCAGCCCCATCATCCACTTGCTCCCTGCATTCTGCGCTTTTATACCCGCATTCGCTTTCGAAATGGGTTAAAACAATTATCTAACGGTCGTTTCGGCGCCGACCAGGAAACAGGGTCGATGTTCCGCGAAGACAAATGACGTGAGACTCCACCAACAACCGCGAGGGCATTCCGTTCATTGGAGACTTTGTGTAACATCTGAGAGAGAATTTTAACGCCCTCTTACTTGATGTTAAACTTATTTGTCGAATAGATTTAACCGTTTTTCGGAATTGAAAGCAATTTTTTTTTTACTTTTTTTACTTTTTTGTGGTCAGTTTTTGAGAGTTTCGATCGGAAGTTGATTTTTGAACAAAAATAACAGAGTAATTATACATGAGTCATAAAAAATTGGGAAAAATGACAATAAAATTGCAAAATAAAAAAAAAACTTTTTTGAAAAGGCACAGTAATCTTGCTGAAATGGAGTAAAAATAGATTCAAAATATTTTTTAGCCCACAAAACATTTTCCCAGTTTGTGTAGCGTATTTTACCCACTTTTCCGACAAAAAATCGGTATTTTATTTTCAAATTTTTTCCCCCAAAAAATTAAAATTTTCAATTTTTTATTCAAAAAAATAAAAAATCACAATTTTACAAGTAATATTTACACTTGGTCCCATCTTGCCATACCCATTTTCATTCATGTTTTCGCAGTCCACGCCAACGTTGTTTCGAGCTCTTCTGAAAGTTGAAAGGAAAAATAACAAAGCGAAAGGCCGTGCAGTCGTGTCCGAGTGGTTAAGGAGATTGACTAGAAATCAATTGGGCTCTGCCCGCACAGGTTCGAATCCTGTCGACTGCGGAAAACCTTTTGCTCGCTTTTTCTTTGACTTTTGGATAGAAAATGAAATTTTTTTTGCAAAATTTGTAAAATACTTTAACAATAATTACCGTAACAATTTTTTCCATCGAAAAAATTTGATAAATTCACTTACTAACATAGATTTTCTTCTTCAAACCAAGCCGACCTTCCGCATGATAAAATAGTATAAAAAATATCGCTAAACAACCAAAAAATCGTCTGAAAAAACGCAACAGCATGCTCAAAATATTCTCAGAGATTGACAAACCGCATTCTGACGAATTTATTTGTTTTATGGCCGTTCAATATTCATGAACAAAGTGGTCAGTGATAAACACCAATTTAAAAATGTCATGTACTGATTCATGATTTGAAATACGCAATTTCACAATTTTTCGGCCACATTCCAGCTGGCCATATTAGCATTTTATGGAAATTTCAGAAACATTGTCATTGGGATTTGGTCCCGCCACGAAAACCCTGAAAAATCAGGGTGGAAGTGAAAATAGTCGGAAAATCCGGCTCATTTCTCGAGTTTTTCTCTGTAATTTGTTAGAGTATTTTACCGCGGTAAATCGAGTTGTTTGATGCCGTATATTGTCATTTTCTTTCAGTTGATACCATGACCAAGCTCCCAGTTGCCGCCGTCACTCGTGGCATCAAATTCGCCAATGAAAGTAAGTTGTTTTTGATGTTTCCTTGGGTTTTAGGTTTTATTATCCAATATCGAGGAGATGAGTATTGTTTCAAAGTGACTAAGCCGTTTTGAGAGGTATTTTTCTGTTCAAAATTAGTTTGGAATATTGTACATTAGGTGCTTTGAGAAATTGTTTGATAGCTCAAGTTTTATCCAATCAATCTCAATATTTGTGGATTCCACACTTGAAGGAAGGTTTTGGGTTTGTTTTGAGTATTAATTCACTTGAAAATTATTTCTTTTCTTTAAGAAATTAGCAATCTTGTTCATGGTACCACAACCAATTTTTTGACAACAAAATTGGTCAAACTCGTGAATACAACCTCAAAATAAGAGTCTCTAGTCGTTACATTTTCTCTGTCAGCTTTTAAAACCCATGTTCGATCTATAACGACTTTTCCACCACCAAATTATATTATACTTGATATCAATTGATTTGTAGGCAAGCTAATGAACTGGGCCCGTAAGACCGCCTGGACCTATGGCTGGGGTGGTCGCCAATATGGTCTTCAGTTCCACGACCAGTGTTTCGAGCCCGCTCCGGAAGTGAAAGAGGCGTTGAGAAGGCTTAGTTTGAAGGAGCCTTGGGAGTTCGATCAACGTAAGATCCGTCTCACTCGTGCGCACAGTCTCGCCATGAACAACCAGATTCTGCCCAAGGACCAGTGGACCAAGTGGGATGAGGTACTTTTTTAATTTTTTCTTTTGATTTTTAGAAAGTTTCATAACAGATGTCATGGAGAATATAAAATTTTAGGAGACCTTCTACTTGAAGCCCTATCTGGATGAGATCTTCAAGGAGCAGAAGGAGCGTGTCGAGTCTTCTGGATTTGTCCCCGCTTTCCAGGCCAAAGAAGATCATTAGTGATAAAATCCGAATATTTGAGGTTTTAGATGAATAAAAATTGTAAAGTAAGGTGAATATCGGGTGTTTTGGACGAATTCAAGAAGCTTCAAAAATCAGTAAGGCTTTTTTTATATCTTCTGTGTTTAGGAAAAAAATCTCCAAATTTATTTTGGATTTATTCAACAAAACAATTAACAAAGTCGGCTCCTAAATTACAGTACTTTACATTGCTCTACACCCTGAGTGTTTCCTTGTACTTTTTGCCCATCAACAACCTCGACATGTCATATTTTCGGACATTATTTGTCATATACGCCATTTCCATCGCCTTTTCCGAGTACAATTTTCCGGCGGCGATGCCCATTTGTGCTCCATAATTGGCGAAGCCGCTCATTGTGTAAAAGTTCTTGAATTGGAGATGATCTCCGAGGATTGGGGCGTCATCGAAGGTGTTCACGTCCTCGTAGCTGGCCCACGCGTTCATGACGTGCGCGTTCTTGAACGAGGGGATTCGATGGCACAGAACTGGCCAGATTTGTTGATGGAAGTAGTCGTAGTTCACATCCAAATTACTATGGTCAATTTTGGCATCTTCTTCCTGAAAATTTTTGAGGGTAAAATACGGATCTCCGCTGAATTTGGGCTTCAACATTATTATTACAGTAGCAAGTTCGAACCTAAAGTAATATAAAAATTGATGAATTTTGGGGGTTTTGATGGATTTAGCGGTTCGAAATGATTTAAATTGCGGTTTTAGTCTATTCAACTGGTGATACGACAGCCCAAATCTTTTTTGGAGACAAAATTTTTTTCTAAATTGTCATGGATAATATAAGAAAATTGATTTTTGGATGCTTCTAAGTGTCTATAGAACTTGATAAAAAATTTTTGTGTCGTTAGGAGGATTTTAATGCAGTGGCGGACCTGATCCATTGGCAGAAAACGTTCCATTTTGCATCCGGGAAGTATCACAAACGCAGCAAAATAGATCCCTCTAATGTAAAAAAACTCCGTTTTCTAGACTGTGCCTTTTCCCTCAAAAAAGGAGCGGGCGCGCTTTTGAAATCGGAATTTTTTCACTTGGAGATATTTTGCTGCGTTTTTGATACGTCCCGGATGCAAAATGGCACGTTGTTTGCCACTGGATCAGATCCGCCATTGCATTAAAAAATCCTCCCATCGCCACACAAGATTATTATCAAGTTCTATGGACACTTAACCCTTTCCGGACGAGTCGGCACCTCCATGCAGAAATGAAAGAGGGTACCCTACTGAGTAACGGCATAATAGTGGTTCAGCCCATCGAAGCGTTATTTGGGACTTATGACAAAAAATGTCCTAAAAAGTACCCCCAGTTGACATAACCCTTATAAAATTTAGCTAACGACCTGTAAATTAGAAACTACCCCTAAGGTAAAGTCTAACACTCCTACTACTGTTACATCCAAGAACTGTCCAAATTGGACCACTACGGGATTAGTTATCGACTTTTGGAAATTGAATTTTAAATTTCGACCAATTTTTGGCCCAAAATTGAGTATATCTTCCGCCGGAATCAACCATTTCAGTCTAAATGTGGTTTTCTGAATCTAGAGTGACGCTAGCTTCTTCCCAGAATGTTTCCAGAAAAAACCTATAGAGCACGTTTCTGTAAAAAGCAAAAAAGTTGAAAACGTAAAGGTTTCACCGTATAAAATGTCGCCGCAAGCCGAAAAGGGTCGGGCGCAGCTCGAAAGGCGAAAATAATATTTTTTCTTCGAAAAATCTTATTTTAGTGTCGACAAGCTGAATTCAGATGAAATACAGACAGACAGAGCACGCAAACATTAACTCAATGTCATTTTAATATTTTTAATGCGTTTTCAGGCAATTTCATTGGATTTTTCTTAGTTTCACACTAAAATAGTATTTCTCAAAAAAATGTATATTATTTTCGCCTTTCGAGCTGCGCCCGACCCTTCTCGGCTTGCGGCGACATTTTATACGGTGAAACCTTTACGCTTTCAACCTTTTCGCTTTTTACAGAAACGTGCCCTGTAGGTTTTTTCTGGAAACATTCTGGGAAGAAGCTAGCGTCACTCTAGATTCAGAAAAACCACATTTAGACTGAAATGGTTGATTCCGGCGGAAGATATACTCAATTTTGGGCCAAAAATTGGTCGAAATTTAAAATTCAATTTCCAAAAGTCGATAACTAATCCCGTAGTGGTCCGATTTGGACAGTTCTTGGATGTAACAGTAGTAGGAGTGTTAGACTTTAACTTAGGGGTAGTTTCTAATTTACAGGTCGTTAGCAAAATTTTATAAGGGTTATGTCAACTGGGGGTACTTTTTAGGACATTTTTTGTCATAAGTCCCAAATAACGCTTCGATGGGCTGAACCACTATTATGCCGTTACTCAGTAGGGTACCCTCTTTCATTTCTGCATGGAGGTGCCGACTCGTCCGGAAAGGGTTAAAAGAATCTAAAACTCAATTTTCTTATATTATCCATGACAATTTAGAAAAAAAATTGTCTCAAAAAAAGATTTGGGCTGTTGTATCACCAGTTGAATAGACTAAAACCACCATTTAAATCCATTCGAACCACTAAATCCATCAAAAACCCCAAAATTCATCAATTTTTATATTACTTTAGGTTCGAACTTGCCAAAACTGCCTCAAAAAAACTTCAAACCATCTCAAATCTTTATCAACATCATCGAATCTCTCTATACTACCATTATTTTTCTATTTCAATCAAACTTTTTTCAAAAATTATATTCACCATGAGGTCAAATTTCATCTCCAATATACCTTCTCCCCTCTCTCAAACTCACTTTACTCGGTTTCTTTCCGCAAATAAACGAGTATCCCGGCTGATAGGGCCAGCAAAACACGCCGCTTGGGTCATTTAAGGCCGGCATTTCCAGGGCCGGGACGTCTGGTGCATGTACAACAAAATATTGTCGTTTTCTGGCCTCAATCGGGACGGGAACCGCCAGACCTCCTATTCCTTTGCCGATCCCGGCCATTTGCGAGATTTCGCCGGCCCAGGGGCCGGCCGCGTTGATGAGTCGGTAGAAATTGATGGGTCTTGAGGAAGCGCCGGTCATTTTCGGCTGCACCACTACACCTGCCATCGTCTTTCGGGTCTCCAAAATGTCGTCGGCATCCGGATCGCGGCCCTGTGGGTTCGAATAGAGAGCAGGCTGGCGGAATTTGAAGTCTTCGACTCTGCCCTGGAAGGAAAATTTGGGGAAATACCAAAATAATGGGGAAAATAGCAAAAATTCAAAATTTTAGGTAATAAATTTTTTTAAAACGCAACTATTTACCAAAAACAAAAAAATTAACTAATTTCAGGTCATTTCAAGCCCAGTAAAAACATTTTCAATAATCTAAAACAAAAATTCCCACCAAAATCGGCAAAAATTATATTATCCATGACAAAAAAATCAAAATCTTCAAATTTCCATCAAAAAATCGGGGAGATGAACCTGATATAACCTTCATAAGTCCATAAAGCACCTTTACAACGTATTTTCATCCCTTATTTCCACAAAAATTTTCAAAAATCATCTTAAAATCCCAAAATATCCCTACCTGATAGTAGTCCACGCCCAAAGTGATATTCTTTTCCCTTAGAGCTCCCAAAAATTCCCACGGATCGAAGAATCCTTCGTTTTCCAGGCCATACGTCACTGCGAAAACACCATCAAAGTTCATGAATGGGAATTTTTGTTCAGCTTCATCTTTGGAGTAAAAAGCAACTTTTACCCCGTGGGATCTGAAAAAAAAGTTTGTAAAATACGTCAATATACAGTTTTATTTAATTTTGAACTATTTACGATGCATTTCAATCCAAGTTTCTCTAAAAATTAAAAACAAAAAAATATTGTACAACATACATTTGCATTTTCCAAGTCTCTTTGAGTTGATCGGCGGATTCTTGACTTGTCGCGAAGTGCATAAAGCCACAAGGATGAAACGAGAGCTTTGGCGGCTCACTATCTGCAAAAAATTATATTATCCATGAGGCTGATATCAAGTATAAGATAATTTTTCGCTGGAGATTAGATGAAAATGATATCTCACCCAAGACTCTCAAATGTTGATCGGCATGCCTTAAGAATTCGGCCGAAAACATTGCCATATCCACCAGTTCTGGCTCTGAGAATTGTTGGGTGATCTCTCCACAAGACAACATTGATCGAGAAGTGGCGAACTAAAAACAGAATAACACTAATATCAAAATACTCACCTTGTCAGGGTCTTCTATTACTGCAACGCTCAGATCTTCATCTCGGAACCAATTTTTTAAAAAGTATGCAGTTGATGATCCACTAATCCCACCTCCAATGATAACAAAATCTGCTCGGAAAGGGAGAAGTTCGTAGTTCTGAATCTTCGACTTCATGTGTGCAATTGGATGGCGACGTTGCCAAGCGTCTTGCCGGGCCTGGAAAAGGAAATTTTGAAAAAAGTTATTTTGCTGGGTCATGGAAAATACAACCTGGAAAAAAGCTGAAAAATTGAAACCAATTTTATTCGGTATTGTCAGGATTAGGTTCAAATACCCTTTGTTCTGCTAATTTGACGTTATTTCATCAGTTTACCACCAAATTCAATCAACGACGACGATTTTCCTAAGATCGGTCCATCAGATCGCATGGACAAGATAAAATGGATCATAACTACTTAAAATTATTAGCCCTCGCTCCAGCATTAATTTCCACAGAATCCGCAAACTATAATACAACTAACTAACTATAAAATAGGCATGAACAACGTCTGACACTTCCAAAATACTCCTTTTTCTATTACTCTAGAGATTTAGCTGGCGGATACGGAAAAATCGGTAAAAACTCCTCTAAACCACATTAAAACGACGTAAATGCAGATAGTCACTTCAAAAGATCGTAGAGCAAACCGCATCTAAGATTTCACAAAAAAATTCATCCATCTTCCGCATCAAACAATCAAAACTTTGTCTTGCCCATCTTTGTGCCTAAAATCAAAAGAAAAATAGTAAAATTCATACCTCTGCATATCTCCTTCGTGCTCGTCTGTAGTCATAAGTCAGACCATGCCAAACTCTCTTGAACACATCTTCTCCAGGCTCATAATGCCGCTCATTCTCGTAATCCCTCCATTTTCGGACTGCACTAGCATGAATACCTCGATTTATTGCGACCGAGATGGAAGAACCGGTCGATATACTGCCAATGACGGCATTTCTGGCCAACATCGACGTTTTGTGAGGATGAGCTGACCGAAATTCGACTTCAACTTCAAGATCTCTGCCGAAAATAATATTTTTGCTTTTCCGAGCTGCGCCCACACTTCCGCAGATTTTACGGTCATTTTATACGAAAAAGAATGAAATCGCGGAATTTGAAAGAATATTGAATCTAAATGCGGGACATGCGTGGATTATGCATTGAAATTCAATATTTTTTATTTCTTTTTAGCACAAAAGAAAACATGATCTGAATTGAGATTATATTGTACTTGACTCATGAATATTCAAAATAATCCCAAAGAAACCTGCTTTACCATAGGCTGATCGAATAATTGGTCTTGCACAGACTTCTCCATTGTATCATGCTTCTGAGAATTCATGTTTTGGCAGTGTTTGCTGTGATCTGTCTAGTTGCTTTACTTGAGTCGGTACCTAACCAAGAGGGTAATATAAAACCGGTCAGAAGTAAGTTTACGGTGACGGTACGAGTATCATGTAAAATGCATTTGATAGAGTTGGAGTTTAGCTTTCATTTGATATGAAATTTCAAGTCATTTTAAGGTTTATCCTATTGGTAATAAGCAAAATATTACCTTAGTCATCAAAAGGTACTTAAGTATCTTAAAAGTGCTAAAAAGCAGTAATATTGACAAGAACTGGCCGTGAAATGATATTATCTCGATAGAATGGAGCTTTAGCTTAGATCCGACACCAATTTTGTCCCCCTTATAGCTCAATTTTATTTGGAAAACTGAGTTTTTTCAAAAACGCCCTTTCATTTTTAGCATATACTCCAAGTCCTCGCCACCCAGTACCAGCTCATCCAACAACCAAAAAAATCGTCCGAAAGCCTCATCCACAGACTCGTCGCACCACTAGGCCTTTTGCTTCTCCTAGACTTAAAGGCCAACCGAGATTTTTAGCTGATTTGTCCGATGAAGACGATATTCAAGTAAATGTGGTGTTAAAGAAGAAGAAACATAACCATTTGGCTTTGGAGTAATTAACATTGACTTGTTCTGTGATAAACTTGATTTTAATACAACTACCAAGGATTTTTTAGTTGGTTTTAGCGATTTTTTTGAGAGAAATTGCCTTATTTTAGGTAAAAGGCTAAGATTTTTGAAGATTTTATGATTTTTTGGCCAGATTCTTTGGCAAAAATTAAAAGTAGATGTCATAAATGACGTCATAGACCTATCTGCTTTATACAGAACTCATTTTTAGGTAAAATACGGCTTGCGGAGCCTGTAGTATATTGGATTTGAACCAAATCTTCCACTCCAACAGTCGCAGGTTCGATCCCGCCCTTCAAAATTTTGGAAAAAATTGAAAGTCTTATACAAAATCTTCAAAACATTTTATCGGAAACCCTACAGGAACCCGCGAGAAAGTCGCCCGCACTGCCAGACAGGACTTCTTTTCGTGGAGTCACGCACATTCTCCTCCACCTCACGTGCCTGTACATTTCGAAAATCGCGCGCAACAAAAAATACTCGTGCTTTTTTACATCGCCGAGCACGGAAACGATAACTGGGCAGGGAAAACATGTTATACTAGTCTTTGAGCACACATTTGAGTAGTTTTTGAAAATTTTAAAAATAGAAAATTTTTTTTTTCTGAAAAAATTTTTGTTGTAAGTCGGTAGAATATGGTCTGAAAAATATGTTTGTAAAATACGGAAGACAAAAATTAACTTAGTTTCTCAAAAAATCCAAAAAATTTTAAAAACCAAAAATTGATGACAGTCTTTCCTGTGGCCAAAAAATTAATCGTATATGCCTCCAGAATGGCCTATGAAGCCCGTTTTTACCCCTAGGTCATCTTACTTTATTAGTATTTTCATAAAGTGCATGGACATTTGTCACCCGCACCGTGCACAAAAAACACGCGATTTTGCACTGTGCATCTCGCATTTTTTGATTTTGCACCGTGCATCTCGCATTTTTTTAATTTTGCACCGGGCATTTTAAATTTTGTACTTTGCACTGTGCATTTTACGATTTTTTTGATTTTGCACCGTGCATTTCACTTTTTTTGCATTTTGCACAGTGCAGTTTATATATTTTTTTGATTTTGCACCGTGCATTTCATTTTTTATTTTTTTTGCACCGTGCATATCATATTTTTTTGTTTTGCACAGTGCATTTACCATTTTTTATTTTGCACAGTGCATTTACCATTTTTTATTTTGCACCGTGCATTTTCCGTTTTTTGACTTTGCACCGTGCATTTCACTTTTTTCTGATTTCGCACCGTGCATTTGACCTTTTTTGATTTTTGCACCGTGCATTTCACTTTTTTCTGATTTCGCACCGTGCATTTGACCTTTTTTGATTTTTGCACTGTGCATTTCATCTTTCTTGGATTTTGCACAGTGCATTTTCTGTTTTTTGACTTTGCACCGTGCATTTCAGGATTTTTTATTTCGCACCGTGCATTTGACCTTTTTTGATTTTTGCACTGTGCATTTTAATCTTTTTTGGATTTTGCACCGTGCATTTTACCATTTTTTATTTTTCACTGTGCATTTTCCATTTTTTGAATTTGCACCGTGCACCAGAAACATCGCCGCGACATAAGCTTTTTTCAACTGCGTCGCTGCGGCTTTGCTAAAAACTGTACCGTGCAAACATTTTTTTGTGTTTTGCACTGTGCAAAAAGACAAAAATGCACTGTGCGCCAGCGACAAGCGTGGGAAAACGTTGAAAATGCACTGTGCGAAAGAGGAAAAAAATGTCCATGCACTTTATGAAAATACTTAACATGTACATTTGCTTAGTTTTTCAAAAATTCGAAAAATTTTAAAATTTTGAAAAATGATGACAAATTGGGTTTTGCTGCCAAAAAATCGGTCGAAAAGAGCGTCAAATTTGCCTGTTTGAGATTGTCTATCATTTAGTATCACATTTCCCTCAAAAAACGTTCAAAAACTCCGAATTTTTAGCAGTTATCTTCTAGGCGGTTTATTAGAGATGATGTACAATATATAATATAATAATCAAAGGTTCAAATATTCATAACGACTTTAGTGCGAATACGGTGGCATTCCGGGATGAGGCATGAGGGGCATGTGATGTGTGGGCATGGGTGGGAGGCCGTGATGCGGGCCGCATTGCTGCCCCATGCCCATCATGTTCGAGTGGGGCAGGGGGAGGGGGAGGGGGCTGACGTCGCCGTACATCGAGTGCTCCGCCGGATGCGACATCATGTGCGGCATGCCCATCAGGGACTGGGAGAGCTGGGGGTCGGTGTTGGCGCACATGTAGCCCGTCTCTTCGGAGGGATACCGCGACAACGGCGTCCACGCCGCCGACGCCGTCTGGCAATCGTATTGCAGGTCGTTGGGATGCATGTCCAGGTCCGACGAGTTCTCCATGAAGCTGGCGGAGCCGTAGAGCGGCGATCTCGACACCAGACTCTCGTCGTTGCTCCCACTATCGCTGTCGATTGTCCGACTGAACAACTGTTGTGTGCTGCAGTTCGCCGAAGAGGGCCATCGTCGATTCGCGTCCTTCTTCAGCCTCTTCTCTTTGGCGCGCCGGTTCTGGAACCACACCTGCACCACGCGCATGTCCAGGCCGGTCTCGGCGGCGAGCTGCTCGCGGATGTGGCGCGCCGGCTTCGAGCTGGCCTGATACGCCTGCTTCAGGGTTTCCAGGGATTTGGCGGAGATCGTGGTGCGAGGTCGTTTGTTCGAACAGTCCATTTCGGCTTCTGCAAGGATAATTTTATTAGAAATTGTTGGAAATTTTGAAAAATTTTGATTTTTTCCTCGAAAAAGTGAGAAATTTTAAAATCTCAAAAAAATTTTTTTAACAGTAATTACTATTTAAAAAGCCATAAAAAAGTAAAAAAACACCCTCAAGTTTCCTCAAAAAAAATTTCACCCCAAAAAAGTTACAAAAACTACAGTAACCCCAAGATTTTTCAAAAAATCCCAAAATCCCCAAATCCCGGAAAATCCACAAAATCCCGCTCGGATTTCCTTTAGCCCCACGGTTGAGATGTGGATTCGAGTGGTGCAGTCTCCCCACGGCCGCACACTTATATATCCCCATCGGGCGGAGGGCCCCCGAGGGCGGGAAGAAAGCCACGTCCGGAGGGAAACGGAGCGAGGTGGGAAAAGGGCGTGCGAAACGCCGCCAAGACATGGATGTAAAAACAGGCAGAGAGGTGTAAAAACCCCCACCCCGGCTTCCACGATGATCCGCAACCCTTGGACGGTAATCCGGGGAGAAGCCCCCACCCGGATTAGGAGGATTTGGAAAAGCCGAAAAGTTGAGGTCAAGGATCAATGTTCGAGGAGTCAGCATGCGGAGATTACAGTGTTAAGAGTCTCATAATTACAGAGTAATCCTAGATCTCCACATGAAATTTGACAAAACGCCGAAAATTCAAAAAAATCAGCAAAAAACTCCGAAAAACATCAAAAAAGTCTCAAAAAGCTTAAAAATTCGGCTTAAAACACAGAAAACAGAGTTTGTAAAATACGAGGAATCATGTGTATGTCTTTTCTTATAATTTCAAATATCAGCAATGCCTTCTTCTCAAAAGAATGCAGCAAAAATTTTCAAGAAGCTCTATTTTTCCCTTATTTCATTGTAAAACAAGCAAATTTTGCCTGAATTTAACAAACAAACCAGAAAACCGTATTCTACCCGCTCCTTGGTTTGTCAGACATCATTACACATACACATACTCGAATAATTGCATTTTCATAAAGTGCGTATACTTTTTTTTGCCTTTTATTTACGGACGCGCAGTGCAGTTTGCCTTCTACTTTGTTTGTAGCTCGCGCACCGTGCATTTGGCGGCTTTTTCAAGTTTGCACTGTGCGAATGACTCATTTTATACGATGAAACATGTTCCATCGTATAAAATGTGACCTAAATCATGATGCTTAGGATCACTGTAAAGTCTGACAAGTCTATCCAACGATTTCACTTTAAATTTTCCAATTTCATCAAGGGCGACATCTTATACGATGAAACATGTGCCATCGTATAAAATGTCACCGAAACCATGATGTTTAAAATTACTGTAAAGTATGACAAGTCTAAATTTTGGTTTCCCTTGAAATTGTCCGATTTCGGCAAATGTGACACTTTATACGCTGATACATGTTCCATCGTATAAAATGTCCCCTAAGCCGTAATGTTAAAAATTACTGTAAATTCTGACAAGTCTACCGTATGATTTCATGTCTAATTGTCCAATTTCCGCAAAGGCGACATTTTATACGATGAAACATGTTCCATCGTATAAAATTTCACCTAAACTGCAATGTTTATCTTCACTGTGAATTTTCACAAGTCTACCTAATGATTTCACTTTTAGTTGTCCAATTTCCGTCAAGGCGACATGTCATACGATGAAACATGTTCCATCGTATAAAATGTCACCTGATCCGTCTTCCTCCCCCTCGTTCATGCAGTTACCGGATTCCGCGAATCCGTTCATCAAAAAAATTCAAATCTGGTTCTGAGGGATTAATGGCGTGCAAAACGCCACACGCCCTAAGGGGATTTGCCGCAAAACACATGGCCAATGGGGGGCGGATTAGAGACGACGCTAATCCCGGATATGATGGGACGTTGCCGGATGTGCTCTGTGTACACCTTCGCGTTGCCGAAGCGGCCGGAAGAGCGGGCCCGCGGATTATCCGGCCGCGGCCGATGGAGCGGCCCGCAAAGTGGAGGCGGAAGGGACCGCAGAGGCCGTTGGCCTTCCCCGGCTTAACCATTGTTCCACCCTAATCCGCCCGCTAAGAGAGAGAGCGGGGGGATTTACAATCGCACGGCTACACGCGCTCAAATATCATGGTATATTACACTTGTGGCATTCGCGAATGCAAACGCTGTAGGGCGGATTAGCAGCGAGTTTGGTGGGGATTAGGGTTGGGGGGAAAAAAAGCCTTAACTTTTTTTTATTCGCGGACGCGGACGATCAGCGCGCGCTGTCCTCGAGCTTGGCGTACGCTGGGAGTATATATCAGTCTGTCGGGAAAATAATGAGCACAGTCTCGAATCTGTCGGGAAAATAATGAGCACGACTCGAATTTCGACCAGAGGCCTCTAAAATGTCCTTTTTGCCCGCGTAGGTTACGGTAGACGGATCTATTATAAATGTATGTTACAGCAACCCAAATTGCAGGGGGGAGGTGTAGAATATGGCGTCATAATTTTTTAGAGCCTCTAGCGGTTAAAATTGGACCAGCTTTCACTATAACATCCTGTTTGCTTCTTGGGGTAAGGTTAACGGATCTATTATAAACGTATGTTACAGTAACTTAAATAAAAGGGGGAATAGATCAGGAAAGTAACAGCAAGACTTTTTTTAACCATCCAAGTGCCTGATAATATAATTGGAACCAGGGTTTGGTACGCTAGACGGATCTATGTTACAGTAACCCAAGATGAAAGGGGAAATGGGTCAAAAAAGGGGGCAAAGGGTAAAAAATGACAGGAAGACTTTTTTTAACCATCCAAGTGTCTGATATTATAATTGGGACCAGGATTTGGTACTGTAGACGGATCATGTTACAGCAACCGAATTTTACCGGAAATCGGGTCAAAAAAGTTGAAACAAAATGTTTTTGGGCCATCAAGACATGATACATTGTAACTGGGGCCAGGATTTGGTAAAAAATCCATTTATGTTAACTGGGGTTGCGGTAGAAGTTACAGTAACCCAAGTTGAACAGGAAAATGGGCAAATCAAAGTGCAATAAAGCTATTCAAGGATATTTACATCGGACAAAAGTAAAATTCAATGGTAAAATACGTACGTGCCCGAATCTATTCCTAAATTTCCATATTCAAATTCGAGAAAAGTCCAATGAAAATTTTGGCCGGACTAAATGTGTTTAAAGGAGCAAGAGGCCAAAAAGGGATGGTTAGGATGCGTCAGCGTGGAACGAATGACAAATCGTATCATCCCCTTCTTTCTCTTCTCCACCTCGACTTTTAGTCGATTTCAACTGAATTTTGCACAGTGCAATAATTTTTTTGAATTTTCTATTTTTAACGACGTTCTTAGGGTTTAAAATATGGCTGTAAATAGAGATTAGACGTGCAATTTTTGAATTTTACCATGTGTAACATGTCATACGATGAAACAGGTTCAGGCATGTTTCAAAGTATAAAATGCCGCCTATGCCAAAATAAAAAAAAATCAAAGTAAGGTCTTAGAAAGCTATTTTTTGGAACTCTGATGTCTCATTTTTAGAAAGGCGACATTTTATACGAAGAAATATGTTTCGTCGTATAAAATGTCACCTAAGACATAATGCTGCAAATCAATGTAAATTCTGACAAGTCTACCTAATGATTTGACGTCTCATTGTCAATTTCAGCAAAGGCGACATTTTATACGACGAAACATGTTTCATCGTATAAAATGTCGCCTAACGCGCAATTCTCGGAATTTGATATAGGATCTAGAAAATACCTAAAATACGTTGTGGCCATTACCAGGGTAGCCATTTTTTACGCAAAAATTAGAAATTCCCCTCAAAAAATCCCATTTTCCAATGTAAAAGGCGCTCTTCAAGCCTATTTAAAGTCTGAATGAACCGTATACTACGAAGCAATGGGTTGTTCAAACTTTTTGCAGCTGAGTAGTCTAAAATTATAGTCGAAAAAAGTTGAATAATTACTGGCTCCGAGCCGCCAAATGACAGGGTAAATGTGTGCAAGGGCAGATGATGTAATAAGGGAGAACGGAAATGGGGGTTAAAATTTGGAAACTAGAACTATGTGGAACTTTTAAAAGTTTTTTGGGAGTTTTATTTTTGAAAAAATGAAATTTTTTGGTTTTTTTAATTTTTTAAAAAGGTCGTTTTTTAGGCTTTTTTGGATGAAAAATAATGTTAAAAATAACTTTCAGAGGTAAAAAGGTCATGTAACCTTCCCGACGCCGTATTTTACCCAATAACAGTTATTAATTTGAAAAAAAACTGATTTTTTGTCAAAAATTTCCAAAAAACTAAATTTTAAGCAAAAAAATCGGTGAAAAAGACAGTAAAAATTAATCTCAGTTACATTAAAATATAATATTACAATGAGATCTTTCGTATTTTACCTTCAAAAAGCCCTAATTTTCTTTTAAAAGACAATTCGCCGAACTTTTTTGACAAATACCCCAAAAAATTCAATTTTCAGTTAAAACATCGGTGAAAAGTGGGATTATTGTTATCCCCAAGGTATATCAAAGCCATTGCATGTTCTAAACGGCGTATTTTACCATCAAAAATCTATTTATTTTAACTTAAAGATCGATTTTTTCACCAAAAATCACCAAAAAACTAAGTTTTTCGATTTTTCGCATAAAAAATCAATTTTTTTTGGGGGAATTGAAACACTAACGTATACTGTAATATCTTGGGTACTATTTAAAAACCAACTTTACCCCAAAAATTTTCAAAAAATCCCAAATTTTCATCAATTTACACCTTGCACATCAAGTGTAATATAACTCCAAAAACTCCTCTGTCTATCCTCAAATGCCATAAATAATGATAGCTGAGGTGGTGTTTCGTATTCTTCTCTGCTTTATGACCACACAGATTGAAAAAGTTACCGAGGGAATTTTGGAAAAAAAAAATTAAAAAATTGGGGGTTTGCGAGGCGGAAAACCGGCAAAAAATTGCACTTTTCCCCGGCGAATATAAGTGCATTATAAAGGAGAACTGTCTAGGAGAAATCTTGAGTAACTGTAGAAGATTTTTTTGCCGAAAAAAGTGGGGTAAAAAAGGGATTTTTGATGATTTTTAGGGAAAAATGTGGAAAAATGAGGAAAATTTGGGAAATTTTAAAAAAATAATTGAAAAAAATCGGTAAAAACTTGTTTTAAAATACGAGGAGAGGGATAGAAATTTAATTAAATTAGCTTTATCTGACGTATTTTACATTTTTAAACCTTAATTTTTCAAATTTTAGGATTTTTTGGCAATTTTTGAGGAAAAAATTTAAAAAAAGTTGGAAAACAGTAAATTTCATAAACAAAAATTCTTCCCTAATGTTTCGAAAAGCTTTTGCATAAAAAAACAAGCCTTCGGTATACCGTATTTTACAAATTTCCCATAAAATTTTCAAATTTCCCCAATTTTTCCAGCTTTTTTCATTAAAAGGTAAAATACGATTAAGAGTCCCAAACCTAGGAACTTTATCCAACTCTAAGTGCTCTCAAAATATTTTCTAGCCCTCCAACACTCCATTTCCATTTGAATTTTACAAATACAAACAGGATTTCCCCCAAAAAGTAATGACATTTTTCATTTTTTCCTCCAAAAAGATTTCCAGCTCCAAAAATAAAGTCGCCGAAAGGTATGCGCACGCCATTTCGTGATAAAATTTCTTCAAAAGTTGACAATTTTTTTCGTGAAGCTTGAAATCGTAGGAGGAAGAAAAAAAAATTTTTCGATCGCACTGTGCAAAAGTAAAAATTGTGAAATTTTTGGGGTAAAAGTTAATTTCAATTATTTCCAACGATTGACACGTCATGTTCAAGACCTAATAAGGCCATGCTCAACGAATTTTATATTTTTTATTTGAAAAAAATTAAAGTTTTTGGAGAAATTTTATTTTGCACTGTGCAAAAAGAATTTCGCAAATTTTTGACCAGAAAGTCCAAATTTTTAACGTTTCAAAATTATAATCAGGCAGATTCCATCCTAGTTTTATCCTTAATACAGAAAATCCTGAAATTTTTGTTTCTAAAATACGAATTTTCCGGTTCCCTTTATTGCACAGTGCAGACTCTAAAATTAGAGTTTTTTTGCACTGTGCGGGCGAAAAAGCAAAAATGTTATGGCCGAGACACGATTGGGACTATTTTGGCCATACATGATGCTTTTTTGATACTTCTGACCAAGTTCTTACAAAAAATATTGTTTTAGATAGTAAGGGGCACGTCAAGAAAAAATAAAACAAAAGCGCTCAAGCAATGAAAAATTCTTGGCATTCTGTTTGATCTCAAAGACAATTTTTTGCTCCAAAGAGAGCCTGATTACACGATGAAGATGGGGTAGAATGGGGTGATTGCATACATAAATTTGAAGCTGGGCTCTTGCTTAACCTGAACATATATATTTCATATAAAAAATCGGTCGTCTTCTATCTGTTTGAAGCCTAAACTAACAACGCCTAAAAAATGTTGCGATTTCGAGGATTTCTCTAAGATTTTCCCTCGCCCCTATTTGAAGTTTCGTGGAAACATAGTCTGGAACAAGGCGGATTTTTTGAGCCTAAAACGAAAAAAATCAAATGAGCCAGTTTCGAGATAGAAAATCTCTTCATTTAGCGCAATATTTCGCCTTTCCTCTGACCTCGTCCAAAAAAACTGTCATTGAGACGGATTTTTTGGACACTTCCATAAGCGGAAACAGAATGCCAACTTTCGTGTTGAGAGATAACCCTTTGAGCGCAAAATCTTGACGTGAGGGGGGACCAAGGCGATTTTTCCCAAAAATTTACAAAATTTTCTCCGAAGAATTCGGTGAAACTTATCTCAGATAATCTCAAAGACATGTTCAAATAAAATAGCCCAAAATACATTAATTTTTAACAGCAATACATAAACTTTTTTTTCATAAATATTATTTTAGATAGTAAGGGGGGCCCAAGGGCACTTTTCTCAAAAATTTACAAAATTTTCTGCGAAAAATTCGGTGAAACTTATCTCAGATAATCAAATAGATATTTTCAAACAAAATAGCCCAAAATACATTAATTTTTAACAGCAGTAAATAAACTTTTTTTTCAAAAATATTACTTTAGATAGTAAGGGGGGACCAAGTTCATTTTTCCCAAAAATTCCCAAAATTCCCCCCAAAAAAATTAGTGAAAATCATCTCAAATATTCACATAGATATGTTCAAACAAACTAGCCCAAAATTCATTAATTTTTAACAGCAGTAAGTAAACTTTTTAAAAAAATATTATTTTAGAGAGTAAGGGGGGACCAAGTTCATTTTCCCCAAAAATCTCCAATTTTTTCCTCAAAAAAATCTGCAAAAAACCTCCCCCGTAATCTTCACAACATTCTAAACCCCCGTCCCCAAGGATATTGCCCTACCTTTAGTGGAATTTTCGTAGTCGGTCCGACAAACGAGCCGTCCGTCCATCGGGATGAGGTAGAATTGGTCGCCGGTGCTCAGCTCCTTCTCGCAGACCACGCATTTGAAACACTCCAGATGGTAAATGTGGTTGTTGGCTTTGCGCACAACATCATTTTCCTGCACTATTTCCTGGCATTTCGAACATTTCGGACCAAATCGTCTAAAAGTTGGGAAAATTTAGGGAAAAATTGAGTTTTTCGGGGGTTTTTGGTATAAAAGTGGGTCTAAAATTTTTGTAGAGGATAGAATATCAAATTTATAGTAAGCGTATTTTACCATTGGAAACTTATTTTTGAAAAATAAAAAAAAAAAAAATTTTTTGCAAAAATATGCAAATTTAGTGCTTGATTTTGATGACTAATTAAGTTTTAAATAAAATAGACTCTCAAACAGGCGTATTTTACCTTCATCTCGCAGAAAAAATCAAGTTTTTCACGATTTTTTAGACAAAAATAAAATGATTTTTGTTTTTAAAAAATTATGCAAATTTTAGAAAAAAGTTAAACATCGCACTTTCAACTATTCCCGTATTTTACAAATTGCTCTCTGACAACAAATTTTTGTTCGGATTTTCAGCGAAAAATCCAAAATTTGCATAAAAATTATTTTTCAAAAATTATGCAAATTTCAAAAAAAAAAAAAAAAAAAAAAATGAAAATTGCAAAAATTTTTGGCTGTATAACCATTTTTTATACGTCGTATTTTACAATTTTTTCATCGATTTTCCGAATTTTTCCCCAAAAAATCTCCAAACAAAATCTCACCGGAAAAAGTGTTGCCTGCAAAATATCCTGCCATTCCTTGCGTAGCAGCTCATTTGGAAGTTGACTTGACAATCAGCACACTTGAGGCATCGCTCGTGGTACGAGTTCTCGAGGACTTTGAAGAGGAAACGGTCGCGGATCGGCTTGTTGCACTCGGTACAGTTGTGCAATTGACGGTTTTCTGAAGGTAAATTTGGATGAACAATTGAATGGGGAATGTTTACAAGACTTTTAAGGGGGTAAGCTACTCAGTAAAAATGAAAATTCACTTTAATTTAATTGAAAAATTGCAAAAAATAAAAAAATTCAGGAAAAATCATCATTTTTTGGGAAAAACACAATTTTTGATAGTTTATATGACGATAATTGATGTTGAAAGGGCTCTCAATGACTTCTAACCCTATTATAAGTAAAAAAAAGCCCAAGAATAATACATATTACATTGTAAAATATGTAAATTTAACAAAAAACAAGAAAAAATAAGAGCAATCCAGAAAAATTTGAGAAAACTTGATTTTGTGGGAAACCCACAGTAGCCATTAAGACAAATATGTACCTTTATTGCAGTATACGTTTTAAAATATCATACTAGATACGAAAAGATCAAGAATGTTTCTCAGAAATATTATTTTTTAGCGAAAAGCGCCGAATTGTCATCAAAAATAGAGGTGCCTCTAAAATTGGCTATAACTCGAAAACTACAGTAACCCAGAGGAAGAAAGTGGTTTTAGAATATAGAACATGGTCTGTTCTATAAGCCTAGAGGGAAAAATTCGAAAATTTTCATCCTAAAATACGATTTTTCCACAAAAAATAAAATCCTTCCTTTGACATTTTCAACCGTCAAAAAAACCATCGCAGCGACTTTAAAAGTTCAAAAGCCCCTTATATTCTTAGTCTACGTGAGAATTCCACTAAAAACATGTTATCTTCCGGCCGCTCCATTACATTTTAGCTCTTTTTTCGATTAGTTTCCCGCGGATTATCACTTTATTGCGACTTACAGTAATTAACCCCGGCTTAAACCACTTATTTATGCGTTATTATCCCCGCCAATCCCTTAATAGTTTAATGTTGTGCTGCGGAGGACTTCCGAAGACCAACAAAAAAAGGTGTAAAGTAATGTTTCGTGCTCGGTCCGAAACGTGGTATTTTTTGGTTTCTTCCCGATGAAACACATGACTTTACCGTTTGTTTACGAGATACAGCGAACGGAAATTGCGTATGCAGCCGAGAAATGTGCGGATTAAAAACTTTTAAAAATTTTATTTTTGATTTAAAATTTTTATTTTTTTTTTTTTTATTTTTTTTTTTTGGCAAAATCTACGGAGTTAATGCGGAAGTTTTCGAGATTTCGTATACTGCACTGTGCGGAATCGGATTAGCGACGAAAAAGGTTGAAGAAATGACAAATCATGGAATTTCAAAGTGGAAACAACATGTCTATGACGTAAATATTGAAACAACATTAAGATTTTTTAAATCCCACGACCGCATTTCGATAAAATTGAGATTTTTTGGATTGCACAGTGCAAGTTGGAAAATTATGCAAATTTCTTGGAATATGCAAATTTTGAAGAATATAAAGTGTGAATTAGAATGCCGGATGGTATGTGGTCACGGATGGAATGTGGCTGTACGTATTTTACAACTATTTTAATTGAAAAATTAAAGTTTTTTGGCATTTTTTGGATTGCACAGTGCAAAAACGAAAATTATGCAAATTTCTTGGAATATGCAAATTTTGAAAAAGTAAAAGTGTGAATTAGAATGCGGCTTGGTCAAAGTGACCGTCATTCCTCGTATTTTACAACTATTTTTATCGGAAATTTTATTTTTTTGACGTTTTTTGGGATGCACAGTGCAAATTGAAAAGTTATGCAAATTTCTCGGAATATTCATGTTTTTAATAAATTTTGTGGATAACATAGTATTCTACCTTATCCCTGAGGCTAATTAGTCGTCGTATTTTACATTTCCACTTCCGAAAAATTGAAATTTTGAGATTTTTTAAATTGCACTGTGCAGAATTGGAAATTATGCAAATTTCATGAATTATGCATGTTTTTAATAAAATTGATGTATAATATACCATGCTACTTTAACAATGAAGCAAGTTGCGAGACGCATTTTACATTTCCACTTGGGCAAAATTGAAATTTTAAGATTTTTTATATTGCACTGTGCAGAATTGGAACTCATGAAAATTTCCTTTACAAACCCATGATATTGTTTTGAAAATTTGATTTTCATTGCTTCAGGGCATTGTTGACTCAATCTGAATACCTTTTACACCACCCCCACGCTTCAGGGAACCCCAATTTGAAGTCAATTTGGACTGCACAGTGCAGTCCAAAAACTTTTCCGACAAAATTTCACAGTAAATGCAGCAGTAAATACCACTCGATTATTGAGCTCTTTCCCCATTTTTTGCGTCACTCTTTACAATTTCAGCCAAAAAACTTTAATTTTTTCGGCTTCTTTTACCGCCCACCTGCGTAAGAGTGCAACTTTCTCGACTTTGAAGACTTTTGGCGCTCGTTGCGTGCTCCTCAAGTGGCGTGCAGTTTCTTTAATTAAAAATAACAACGGAAATGGATGGCGTAAAGACGATCCGACCGACTGATGTGGGGCGGCATTTCCTTTGGCGGGAAATTGGAGTTAAAATACGGAATGACCAATGCACAAAATGCAGTTGAAAAATAATTTTTTGACTCCACGGTATGGGTATGGGTAAAAATAAGATTTTTGAAGGCACTGTGCGGAAAAATAATCTTTTTTGACCGCACCGTGCGGAACAATAAGGAATTTTTTGACTGCACTGTGCGGAAAAAATATTTTTTTTTGTTGCACTGTGCGGAAAAAACAGTTTTTTTGACTGCATTGTGCGGAAAAAATAGTTTTTTTGGTTGCACGGTGCGGAAAAAACATTTTTTTTGACTGCACTGTGCGAAAAAATAACATTTTTGACTGCACTGTGCGGATAAAAATAACATCTTAGATTGCACTGTGCGGACAAATAATAATTTTTTGAATGCACTGTGCGGAAAAAACATTATTTTTTTTTGATTGCATTGTGCGAAAAAAATATCATTCTTTTACTGCTCTGTGCGGAAAAAAAATTTTTTTTTTGACTGCACGGTGCGGAAAAAGAATGATATTTTTTTCGCACTGTGCAAAATTTTTAAAATATTTTTTGATTTTTCTAAATTTTTTAAAATTAAATTTTTTTTTACTGCATTATGAATTCAAAACTTTATTTCTACCGCACTCTACAAATTTTTTTTCAATTAAAAAAATTTTTTTATTTTCACTTTTTCTCCAAAAAATTTCATAAACTCCAATCCTTAAAGCTAATACGATGATCCTCTTTTCCGGTCGTGTTTACATGCGTAAAAGGCGCACCTGTTCGCCGAAAAATGCAGATGTCCCGGGAGATGAAAGCGGTTTATCCACCGACAAAACGCTCTTCTTCACACCCCGCAAATCCGCGCCCGATTTCACAGTTTATTTGCTTAACGAGAGGTGGCGAATTTGTGCTAATGTCCGTTATAGAAGAAGACTCTAATTTAGGCCTGAACTTTGAAATTTCGCACAGTGCGAAAAAATTTAAAAAATTTTGATTCTGCACAGTGCAGAGGAAAAATTGGAATAAAAATGACTACTGCAGGTCCGTCGTATCATCATGGCTGATCAGAAAATGCTGTCGGGTTACTGTAACAAAAATTAAATCGTTTTTTATTTCAAAAACTCTGCACAGTGCGGAAAAATCAAAAGCTTTTAATTCCGCACAGTGCGGTAAAAAAATTCTTGAGATTTTGAAATTTCCAGATGCCCTGGGGCCTAATAAAGTATAGACTATCAATCAGAAGTAATACTGTCGCATCATTATCACAATTTCTTGCCGAAAATTTGCGCACTGTGCGGTAAATACGAGTTTTCCAATTTTGCACTGTGCAGTGGACAAAACTCTAAATTTCGTCAAGTTCCTGGCCAACTACAATTTAAATAGAAGTCAATTCAAATTTTTATATATTTAGGCATATCTAAACTCAACTTTCTTTGCCAAAAATGTGCGCTTTATACGGTAAAAAAACGACTTTTTCAATTCTGCACTGTGCAGAGGACAAAATGCTAAATTCTGTCAATTTTCTGGACAACTAGGATTTAAATAGTAATCAATTAAAATTTTGATATGTCTAAGCATATCTAGACTTAACTTTCTATACTAAAAATTGGAGTGCTATGCGGTAAAATACGAGTTTTTGAATTCTGCACGGTGCAGTGGAAAGAGCTCAAAATTTGCCAACTTCTTGGCCAACAATGATTCAAACAGGTAATCAATTAAAATTTTGATATGTCTAAGCATATCTAAACTTAACTTTTATTACCAAAAATTTGCTCTCTATACGGTAAAATACGACTCTTCAAATTCTGCACCGTGCATTCAAAAAAATGAGATTTTTTTTGAATTTTCCGGATTTTCCGTAAAGAAAAAACACTCCCATCGTACTTACAGACCATTTCCTCCCACCTACCCTACAAACTAACTCCAATTTTTCGCAAAAAACCAACTTTTCTTTGGACTCTTCTCACTACCGTAGCCCAAACCCTCAATTAAAGATTCCAGAACAGGCGTGAAATCCGCGGATCAAATTGGATAATCCTCTCACTAGTTTCACGCCTAATTTGTGACGTCCTCATCCGCGGCAGCCGCCTCCCGCAAGAGCGTAGGCGCGCCGAAGCCGTGCAGGAAATCCGGGGCGCCTTCGAGGGCCCGCTAATCCCCCGCGGGCCCGGTGGCGGTGGATTAGGAACCGGATAATGCGGCTTTTTGCAGCGCACGCAACCCCACAAAACAGGAAACACTGGATGACATTTGCGGGAGCACCGCGAGAGATTCGTACGCTCACCTTTCGGCGAGCATTTGCCCTCGGGGGAAAGTGTAAAATAAGGTGGAAGACAGGGAGTTTTGGGATCGGAAAACATTTGCGGATTACAAATAGGATATTTTAAAGGCGTAATAGACAAGAATTTAAGATTTTAAGGTCTAAAAAAAGAGAAAAAATTAAGAAAATGTCAGAAAATTGAAGAAAAATGATGAAATTTTGGTTCTGACGCCAAAACAGTGGAAATGAAAGCAAATTCCCTTAGGCTATTGGAATCAACAGATACTACAAGACACAGTGAAGACATAGACATCAAAGTTTTACCAATTTCATCGTTGAATTTTTGGTAGCAAGCCGCCAAAAAGTCGACCCGACCAAGAAAACCCCATACACTTTGAAGCCACCGTTTGAAGCCAAGAGGTCCTAGTTTGAAATATCCTTCTGAACATATGTTATTAGAGCATCCAAAAAGACGTGTGCAAAATTTCAGGGCAATTTCAACAGCTTGGCCTTAAAATTTGACCGTTTCAAAATACCGCATCCAAGCGCTGCGCTTTTCATTTTTTGTCTGAAAACGGTATTCAAATTGAATGAAAATCCCTGAAATTAATAGAGGATGTGTTTCAAGGTGTAATAGACATGCTAAAATACGATACATAGATTTTTCCAGTTTGGTTTGTAAAATACGAGACTTCAAATTTTCCGTGATCAAGTGCAATATAATGTCAATTTTATAAACTACTGATTTCTTCAAGTCGTATTTTACCATGCAAAAATACCGTATTCTTCCTCTAAATTCAATTTACACTCAAAATTACCCCCTCTTTGCCATGAATTTCGCTCAAAATCACGATTTTTTGACCTTTCTCTCATCCTCAAACTGCACCGTGCAATCCGCGAAAATCGCTCGAAAGCCGGGCTTATCCTTGGCCAGGTGACTTCTCGCTTGGACAAAGGCGGATAAGTCCACGGCCACAAACATGCGGATTATGGTGGGGGTGGGGGGAGACGGAGAGATTGTTAAAATGTAAATATTTTTAGCGGGGATTAGGGCTGCAGGCGAGTCCGGAGATGATGTGATTTCTCTCCGCTGCCGTGTTTTTGGTGGTATTTCGGAGGGAGGAAAACGTTTTTGTTTTGAAACTTGACAGAAATTTTACTTCCAAAATACGGAGAATTGATGGAAAAAATAGACGAAAATTGAAAATTTAATGCAAAAATACGGCAATACTTTGTTTGAAATTTCGATTACTACACAGGAATACACAAGAATCAACCTTCAAAAGGGTTTAAACAATGGAAAATGGCTTAAAATGCAAAAAAATTTTAAAAAATTCTAAAAAATTAGTTACAAAAAAATTGGCCAAATTTGAAAAAACTTGGCCAAGAAACTCTAAATAGGTCATAAATTAATATTTAAAAAATTTAGCTTTCAACATGCACCCTCTGCAGAGATATTCAACGATCTTTCAATGATTTCCGAGAGAGCATACAAAATTAGGAGAGTCGGAGAGAAGAAAAAAAAAGACTTGTGAAATTCAAAAATCTGAATGATTGCTGAAAAACTGGTGGCAAAAAATTCACAGAAGTCATGTAAAATTCTAATCTAAATCAGTGCAGTTTCAACAAAATCTACTATAATATATAGTTGCGGCTTGTTGAATCTCCATTTTCATTTTCCGGCACAGTGCAAAAAAAATTTTTGTTTTTATTGTTGCACAGTGCGAAGAAATTAGAATCTTTTTTTGTTGCACGGTGCAAAAATCTTTTTCTCGGTTTTCGCACAGTGCGATGAAATTTTGGAATTTTATTTTCTTTTGCACCGTGCAACAAAAAGAAATTCCGAACTTCATTGCACTGTGCAGAAAAAATGAGAAAAAATTTTTTGCACAGTGCGAAGAAAATTTGGAAATTTATTTTTTCTGCACTGTGCAAACAATTTCTTCTCATTTTTTTGCACATTGCAATGAAATTTGGAATTTTAATTGTCTGCACAGTGCAGAATTTCTTTTGAATTTTGCACAGTGCAACAAAAAAGATTCTAATTTCATCGCACTGTGCAAAAAATTTTTTCTCATTTTTTCTGCAATGAAATTCGGAACTTCTTTTTGTTGCACGGTGCAAAATTTTTTCTTTCCTAATTTTTTGCACGGTGCAGTAAAAAAATTTTTTTCCGAAATTGTAAAATACGATACCTTTCCCTCTGATTTCCGATAAAATTTCCATTTTTTTCTCAAAACCCCTCTCTCTCACAAACTTTTTTTATTTTTACTGATTCATTTTTCATTTCTTTTCGTCTTCCCACAAGAACCGAGAGCGTTTTGGAACGGCGAGGAACGGTCGCCGCAAAAAACGCGTCGGAATGGGCAACAAATCGAGAACAGCGGGAAACTTTTGTCGCTTCGACCTTTGGATTACGGTAAGAAAAAGGGAAAACGAAAGGGATGAGTGGAAAAATGAAAAAAAACCTCGTTCCGGAAACGATTTCTTTCTGATTTTTGTGCGTCACTCCACACGCCAAACGGGTTTACAAGCCGAGTTTTTTGGGGGGATTACGGTAAGCGAGGGTACTGTAATTAAAATTTAGCGGGGAAAAATATGAAATATATTTAAAAAAACGAGTTTTGGAGAGAAAAAAATTTGTAAAATACGGAAATTTTTTTGTTTTTTAATCCTAAAATACGACCAAAAATTGTAAAAAAATTTTTTTTGGTTCCTAAAAATACGAAAAATAATTTTTCAGCCAAAAAATTGTAAAATACGGAAACTTTTTTGTCATTTTTTTTTGTCCTAAAATACGACTACAAATAGTAAAAAATAAAATTTTTTTTGGTTCATAAACTTATTAAAAAATTTTTTTTTCATATCTAAAGTTGTAAAATACGGTTTATTTCAACAAAACTAGTATTTTTTTTACTCCTCATATACGCCTAAAAATTTTTTTAAGTTCAAAAAATAAAATAAAAAATAATTTCTGCACACCAAAAATTTTTAAAATACGGCCGACCTAATATTATTGGTATAAGTATATATCGACCAAAAAAATTCCAAAAAATACCTCTAAAATACGGAAGAAACTTCTGGATTAAAGCGATTTTTTGAACTTTAGCGATCAAAAAATCCGAAACCTCTGAAGGAAAACATAACCAAAACTTTTCCAAAACATGTAAAATACAGTATGAAAAAAATTTTTTCTGAAATACGAGAAAAAATCAAAAAATTTTTTTTTGTAAAATACAAATTTTTTTTCTAAAATAAGAGTATAAAATAGAAAAAATCTTCAAAAAAAATAATTTACAGTGAGCGTCATGCCGAGCGGACTCTTGAATCGGCGTTTTTTCCCCAGTTTTTTGTCAAAAAACCCCTTCTTTTCCTCCCCGAGATCCACGATGGGTCAAAGCGGCGCGCACAAAGGCCGATCCCATGGAATCCATTAGAAACTACATCCCAGAAACACATTCCGAGCCTTGGAGAGAGTTTTTATTAGTGAGTGATTTTTTGATGGAAATAAATTTCGCGACTTTTTGAGAAAAAAATATATTTTTTTTGTCAAAAATTGGAGATAAATAAGCGTAGTAAAAAAATTATTTTTGATTTTTTATAAGAAACAGACCTTATTTCATCAAAAAAATTGCAAAAATAGTGTTTTTCCGTTTTTAATTCTCTACAACGCGATTGTTTCTGCATAACGCGGTGTACAAAATTTTGATTAGACTTTAAAAAAGGTCTAATTTTAGTTAGTTTTAACTTTTTTCTAGTTTAAAACGGAAAATTCTCTACAACGCGATTTTTATTTCTCTATAACGCGGAAATTTCTGCTTAACGCGACTTGTAAATTCGCAAAGAAAATTTTTAAAAGCCTAATTTTTACAATTAGACCCCTAAATTTTTTTAAAAAACAAAAAAAAATTTGTCATGAATAACATAAAAAATTTTTTTTTACTTTCCCCCCTCCGGCACTTTCCCTGAAATTCATGTTTTCGAAAGCCCAAATCCCTTAAAAGGTATTCGGCGAACAAATCGGCTTAGGCCCGATCGTAAAACACTCATAAATAAGAGCCTCGGCATTCTTTCGGCCGCGAACAAATTGAGAAAGAATGGAGATGTAGGTTTCAAAAATTGAGAAATCAGATTTGTGTCCTACTAAAAACAATGGGTTTTATGAACAAAAAAACTATTTTTATCAGCTGAACATCCAAAATAAGGTAAGAAATGGCGATTTTTGGCAAGAATTTGCGATAATTAAGTCAAATTTTTGACTGTAAGTAGTAGAACAATGTATCAAAATAAATTATAAGGCAATTTCAATCCGAAAATTCTAAAATACGCCGGTAAATTTGGCAAAAGTCTCTTAAAAACGTCAAAAATAAGGTAAATATATGCTTTTTTTGTCAAAGATCTCTGTTCTCACTCTAAATTAAGGTTGAGAATAAATGGTAATGTCGTGGGAATTAATTATCAGACAGAATGAGACTTGTAAATCCTAAAATACGAGCTCAAATCGACAAAAACTCAAAAAATGATGATTTTGAGTCAAAAAATCTCAAATTTTTCCAAAACTAAAATCAAACAGTGTCCTGAGTAGCTCTACAACAATTTTCTATGCTATTTACAATATGTAAATCCTAAAATACGACCAACAATAGACCAAAATTTGGGAAAAATAGACCAAAAATCCAAAAATGATGATTTTGAGTCAAAAAATCTCAAATTTCTCCGAAATTAAAGTCAAATAGTATCTTATATAGCTCTATACCAAATCTCTATGCTATTTACAATAAATAAATCCTAACATACGACCCAAAAAAGACCAAAACTTGGGAAAAATCGACCAAAAATCCAAAAATTATGACTATGAGTCAAAAAATCCCAAATTTCTGTAAAACTAAAATCAAATAGTATCTTAAACAGCTCTACGACAATTTCCTATGCTATTTACAATAAATAAATCCTAAAATACGACCGAAAATAGACCAAAATTTGGGAAAAATCGACCAAAAATGACAAAAACAAGGTCAAAATAGCTCCAAACCCCCAAAAAATTGATTTTTCACAAAAATTACAGTAAGACTCAAGTCAAAAGTAATTACAAATTTGCCCACCTGGTAGTGTGTTGTTCTGCGGCAGGCTTTCCGAGGTCCCAGCATCGTTTTTGGGGTCGGTTTCGGCTCTCTGATTGGTCGAGAGTTGATGGATTTGGCTGGGCGGGTCCGTGGAGGAAGAGGCGGGCGACTCGGCCTGCTTCTCCACCATCCTCTGGCCTAGCGGGCGGCCGGACCGACTGCGTTTCGTGGGCTTGGTGAGCGTCAGTTTGGCTGAAAAATTTCGCGGATTTTTGGGAGTTTTGAAAATTTGCATATTTGTGAAAAATTTGCATAAATTAAAAAATCGCATATATCAAGCAAAAAAAGCGTATTTTAAAACATAAAAAAATATTTTTTTAATGATTTTAAAATTAAAAAATTTGCATAAATTAAAGATTTTGAAATTAAAAAATTTGCATAAATTAAAGATTTTAAAATAAAAAAATTTGCATAAATTAAAAAAATTGCATATACAAAGAAAAAGAGCGTATTTTAAAAAATAAAAAAAAGAATTTTTTTAAAGATTTTAAAATTAAAAAATTTGCATAAGTGAGAAATCAGCTGTGCAAAGTAAAATTTTCAAAATTTTGGGGTTCAAACCCGACTAAATCAAGTTTTATTTTAATAATTAAACAGAAAATAATATACACGAGGCTTCTAGCTCGCGCTTTGCAGAAACAACCGAGATTTTTTTTTATCAAAATTTGACAAATGCTGCATTTTTTTGCAAATTTTGGCGTTCTAGAGAGTAATGTTTTCCCAAAAAATCATTTTTTTCCGCACGTAACTGACAAAAAATGGCCAAAAAGTCTTTTTTCTGTGCTCTCCGCGATTCGTGTACTCTCTCAGAGACGGTGGAATATCTCGGCAACGCCTGCAAAGGGCGAGCTAAAACTTTCAGGAGTTGATATATGAGGCATATACGAAATGTAAGCAAAATTTTATAAAAATCTAAGCACTTGAAACCCCTACTTTCAGAGTAATTTAGTGCGATAAAACATGATATTTTAGGTCCAAAAAATTTTTGAATTTGAAAAAAAAATCTTTGAAAAAATAGAAAGGCATACTTTAAACACCCGTATTTTACCCCAAAAATTTTTTTTTCAACTCAAAAAAAGTCATTTTTAACCCTTTTTTATCAATTTTAACCCTTTTTTTATCAATTTTAACCCTTTTTTTATCCCTTTCGAAGCTCGTATTTTACCCAATCACCCGTCGAATCCCCCTCTCCTCCACTCATCTTTTTACCGTATGCCCTGCGGCGAGGAAAATAGAAAATTTTTGGAGCGCTCCGAGGCTTGGGAAAGACGAAGAGAAAGGACGGAGAAGAGGCCTCCTCCTCTCGCCCTCGCGCGATCCGCCAATTGAACACGTTCGGGGGCGGGGCGCGCGAAAAATGTGGGGATGAGTGGCGATGACAAGGGGTGGGGACAAGGATTAGCTTTTTTGGAAGTGGAAAATGCGATTTGAATGTTTAAATTTTAATTTTGTTTTATTTTTGGGCATTTTTTGATGGATTTTTTGGGATTTTTTAAAAACTTTTTGATTTTTTTTTATTTTTTTAAAATTTTTTGAACTGCTGATTGATTTTTTGACTTTATTTTTTAAGAAAAATAAGAAAAAATGAAAGAAATACTCAAAAAAAAATCTGAAAAAATGTCAATTTTTCATCTTTTTGAATAAAATTTATATATAATGTTGATAGCTAATACTTCGCTCGTATTTTACCATCATTTAACATCACTTTGCTTTCAAAAAATTTAAAAAATCTCATTTTCAAAAAAAAAAAATTTTTTTCAAATTTTCAAAATCACCAAAAAATTCCAAAAACCCTTCTAAAATCTCCCCCAATCACCTCAAAACCCCCAATTTCAATTTTTTAGCTCAGTTCCCCCATCGAAACTCACCTTAATCCAGCCGTCTAATGTAGAAAATAAAAAATTTTGCGCCGCCTCAAAAACAAAGCGGAATCGGTGTGGGGAGAAAGACATTGAGAAGTCTCATGCTGGTACTTTTTTATTCAACTACATGGAAAATAATTGAATACGTTCTTCGCAGCGAAACATTCAGGCTTTTGATGGGAGCAGGAAGTCCGAAAAAATGGAAAATTTTTCATTTTTCCGATATTTGGTGAGATTTTTAATGCACTGTCGACAACTACATGCCTTCCTGAATACCTGTAGCAACTTTTTACATCAAAAAATTTTTTGATATCTGATGAAATGACGTCATTTTTACGATTTTCCACAAAAATCACTGTTTCTTTCAAAAAATGGTATTTTTCCGATATTTGGTGAGATTTTTGATACACTACGGGCAACTACAGGGCTTGCCAAATATGTCTTACTACTTTTTACATCAAAAAATTTTTTGATATCTGATGAAATGACGTCATTTTTACGATTTCCCACAAGAATTACTGTTTTTTGGAAAAACTAAATTTTTCCGATATTTTGTGAGATTTTTAATACACTACGGGCAACTACAGGCCTTCCTAAATATGTATTACTCCTTTGTACATCAAAAATTTTTTGATATTTCAGGAAATGATGTCATTTTTAAAAGATTTCCCACAAAAATCACTGTTTCTTTCAAAAAATGGTATTTTTCCGATAATTTTTTAATCTGTTTCCGCAATACTACGTACTACCAACAACTACAGGTCTTTCTAAATATCTGTAGCAACTTTTTACATCAAAAAAATTTCAAAGTTTGATGAAATGACGTCATTTTTTAACGCTTTCCCCAAAAATCACCGATTCTTGAAAAAAATAAAATTTTTCCGATAATTATTGAACTGTTTTCATCAATATAGCGTACTGCCAACAACTACAGGCTTTTCTAAATTTCTGTAGCAACTTTTAACATCAAAATAATTTCGAAATTCAATGAAATGACGTCATTTTTATCGATTTCCCTCAAAAATCACCAATTTTGCTCAAAAATTTGCCAAAAAATGCTTGTAAAACCGAATAAACTCTTAGGCAATGAATTTATAGAGGTCGACGATGTCACTGTCGTATTTTACAGTCAAAATTTATTTGAATTTCAATCAATTTTGAGTAATTTTTACGATTTCTTTCCCAAGAAGTAGAGTTTTTTCCAAAAAAGCCGAAAAAATCAATAATAATGTAAAAAGCCCTTAGGCAATCATCCAAAAAAGCGAGTATAATCCCAGTTAGCGTATTTTACAAATGAAATTTGTTCGAATCTATGATTTTTTTGAAATTCTTTGTTCTATTTTTTTTTTGAAAAAAAGTGACTAAAAGCGAAATAGCCTAAGGCAATATATTAAAAATTAGTGCAACTATTCCTTACGTATTTTACAAGCAATGGACGCTCTATTTTCCTAATAATTTACGCTTTTTCCCCACTTTTTTATCATTTTTTGTCCCAAAAACCTGATTTATTACATAAAAATCGCTTTTGCACAGCGAAAAGACATATTTTCCACCATCAAACCAAACCACCTAAACCACACGTCCATACAGTCAAACTACATTACACTCGGGCCGTATTGTACACAAGCCCTCGGGGGGTATTTGACGCTTCTCCGCGAAGACGTCAATCCAACCTTGCCTCCCAAAATATCCCAAAACACGAGCGCCGCAATTGTTGAGAAAGCCGCAGGCGCGCACGCGAGAATTCCACACGTCCACAAAGTCGGGGCCATGATCGGCTTATGGCAGGTTGTGAAATGGGAGATAATGTGTTGACAAACGACTACTTTGCCATATTAAACGGGGCTCACGGGCTTCGTGGCGATTCGGTTCAGCGCCTCCAGCATCTTAGGGTGATGATAATCCGCGCTTACGAGCGGTCAAGTCCGATTTCGCATGTTCGAATAGGGTTAGAGGTGAGGAAATTGGATTTTTCCGGAAAATCGCGGTAAAATTGGATGTTTTGGGGGCCAAATATAGAAAATATGGTAAAATACGGCCGTAGAACCTGTTTATTTTAAGTTTCAATCAATGCCAAGGCCAAATAAGCGAAGAAAAGTTTTCGTGCCGGGACCAAATTGGCTTACAGATGTTTACAATAAAAGTACTCAATATCGAAAACAGAGTGCTTGTACAGTATAAAAATCAAAAGTACAGTAAAATTGGAGCATAATCTATACAACTACAGTCAATAATTTGGTATTACCCACCAAGCCCTATCTGATATTCCCCATGTCAAAATTCGGCTGCCTAGTGTGATATCCACCTCAAACTGGATCCAAATTCGATCTATGACACCCTGAACTTCTCTGTTTTCATTTTTCAATCAATGCCAAGGCCAAATTAGCGAAGAGAAGTTTTCGTGTCGGGACCAAATTGGCTTATAGGTGTTTGCAATAAAAGTACTCAATATCGGAAACAGAGTACTTGTACAGCATAAAAATTGAAAATACAGTAAAATTAGAGCATAATCTACACAACTACAGTCAATAATTTGGTATTTTCCACCAAGACCCATCTAATATTCACCTTGTCAAAATTCGACTACCTAGTGCAATATCCACCTCAAACTTCGTCCAAGCCCGATCTATGACACGCTGAACCCCCCTGTGTTCTGCAGCCATTCCGACCGCCGGCCCTGCGGGCATTACCAATTCCCAAAGTTGGCGCCCAAAACAACCTATTCGGCGGCCGCCTGTTTTCGGCCGCCCCATCGTTTAGTGGGCCGAATGCACCGGCAAATTCGAGCCAACGCCTCAGGGGACCGGCACACGACTTTTGGCGCCGCCGCCATCTCCCCCCGTTTTCCATCCAATTCCGCTAATGGATGAAGAAGACCGTAATCCACGTGAATTCTTCTTCGCCGAGCGAAAGACAGCGCGCGGCCCTTCTCTCCCCCCAACCACTCCTCCTCTCTTCCACTTGCCAGTCCGACTCTCACTTTCCGTACTGGTTTCGCCGCCGCCGCCCCTCTCATTTCCTCCCCGGCTTTTCATCTATGTTGTACTTGCCCGGCTGATGAAAAAAAAATCGAAGAGGGAGAAGTTGAGGGAGCTTGAAGATGAAAACTGGAACTTACAAAGCCTGGAGCTTATTTTTAAACCAGGTTGATTTGAGATTCTGGAGATTTTAGCTCAATTTTATTTTGTACTTGACCATCAGAAGGCAAGTTAAATTAGAGCTGATTAACCAAGCAAAAGAAAGATAATTCTGGCCAATCCATAATGTACAAAGAGTAATAAGTCTACTAGCCACTAAACTTTGTAAAATTGCGGGGAATTTAAACTGGAAATTTAGACTTGACCATCAGATGGTCAAGGATAATATAAATAAGGAAAACAAGATGCAAATGGGGAGAAATTGAACTAAAAATACTTTTTCTGGTCAAAAATCTCAATTGGAGTCAATATAATGGATATTTTGCTCATTTTAGTTTTGAGGGTAAGACATGACTCAAGAGTCGGATTTTGGGTCAACTGTTCCTCTCAAGCGGAAACACGTAAAATTGATGGTAAAATACGCTCTAACTTATTTGACGTTACAAAAAATAAACAAATTACCTAAAACTCAAATATTTTATTCTCGACACCTTTTACACACCTACTACAACATCGTCATCATCGCGAAAAACGATGACTTCTGCAGACCGCATCGATTATGATAAACGAATTGCCCTTGGAAATTACGGAGCATTTATTATAACAACCTAAAAATGGTGTAACAATGAGAGAGAGGCCGGTTTCCGGTCGATTTCACTCCTGGCCAACACGGTCGTCGGAGTGGGTCCAGGTGGCGGGGCGCTTCTCAATGAAGGCGTCGATGCCTTCTTGACAATCCTTCAGTTTCAGGTTCTCGGTCATCACCTTTTCGCCGAATCTGGAATCAAAAAAAATTTATTTCTGGGTTACGGTAGGTTTATGGGAAAATTGATGGGAAATGGGGGGAAACGGAGGAAATACGGTAATTTTTGGAGGTAAAAATCCTTGTAGTGTAACGGAGACTGCCTCAAATAACAACATTCTAAAAGATACATCGTATTTTACAAAATTTCCCCCAAAATTATCAAATTTTGATAATTTTTGTCTAAAAATTTAAAATTTTTCGACATTTTTCATATTTTTTATTGAGCAGTATGCAAATTCAGAGGCTCTAAAACTAATCTAGTTACTAATTAAAGTAAATATACATTAATTTACGCTCCAATTTTTCGTATTTTAGCCAATTTCCACAAAAATTCCAAAAAAAATTTCAACTTTGAACACTTTTCTCCCCGATTTTGCAAATTTTCTTTGACAAAAAATGTTTCGAAAAAGTAGTGTAAGCAATTTCACACTATAAATGGCCGTATTTTACAAGTTTTTAATCAAATATCACCAAATTTTGAAGATTTTTGATATAAAATTCGATTTTTCAGGACTTTCATGAAATTGATTGAACGCAATTCTCATACAAAACCTCTACAAGTAATCTAGACACTCCTAGACACTTGCCAAAGCCATTAAAACATGATGATGGCACTTTCTCCCTCGTATTTTGCCCAAGTTTCCCTTTAAATTTGAAAAAATCTCGTTCTCTTCGCAAATTTTCGTCTTTTCTTGACATAGTGTCATTATAAAATGTCTTGAAAATCTAATGTAAACTAAATATGTCCGACAACATTATAAACTATTCAACGTATTTTACAAGTATCTAACTAAAAACCATAAACAGTGGGGGACCTGATCCAGTGGCAAAAAACGTACCATTTTGCATCCGGGAAGTATTGAAAAATGTGGTAAAATACCTCCCTCTCCAAGTGAAAAAACTCAGATTTCAAAAGCGCGCCCGCTCTTTTTTTGAGGGAAAGGGCGCGCAATTCAAAACAAAGTTTTTTCACTTGGAGAAGGAAGTATTTGTATTTTGCCACATTTTTGATGCTTCCCGGATGGAAAATGGAACGTTTTTTGCCGCTGGATCACTGTAATTTGGATAATTTTTGGCAAAAAAATCGATTTTTTTCGCGACTTTCATAATTTTAGATAAAAAATATTCTAATAGAAAGCCTCTATAGGTAGTCTAAGTACTCGTTGAAGTCATTAGACTTAAATATCCAGCTCTGATAAACGTATTTTGCCCAGGTTTCTCCCTCCATGACCAAAAAAATCTCGTTTTCGCCGCATTTTTTTGACATTTAGAAATAAAATTTCTTGAAAATCGTTGATAATGCAAGACCACACGTCGTATTTTACAATTTCCCACCAAAGAATCATCAAATTCAGATATTTTTTTTTGGCAAAAACTTGTTTTTCTAAAATTTTCATAATTTTTCTTGACTTCTATGTCAATATAATCGTTCTATAAGTACTCTAGATTCTAGTTTTAGTCTATACATGACGAGTTATCGCCACAAACCCCGTATTTTACCCGACTTTCCCCAAAAATGCCAGACTTTCCACAAAATTTTCCAAAAATCCCGTTTTCTCATCATTTTCCAAAAACTTTTTTTTACAAATTTTCAAATTACAGACTCCCTACTTCCCCAGCATTCCGGATTCATCGCCCCTTTCCCTCTTCGAGCCCCTCTCTTTTCGGTTTTTATTAATTTTGGGATCTCCTTTTTTCGGCTAGAAGCGGAAATGCCCGAGATTAAAACCGAAGGAAGCGGGGCGATGAGAAAGGACGCCAGCGACAAACAATATTGCAGATCAATCTCGCGTCCGGTCCGCTCCTTGCGCATGCGGATTCATAAAGCAGATTAAGCCGGAACGATAAGGACTCAGCCGGGAATGGATTTTCTTTTCGTACTGTAGCCGTTTGGGCACAAAGATGGGACAAGTTGAAAAGATTATTGTTACTTTTTCAAAATTTTCTCAGACTACAGTAATCCGTATGCCATTTATGTATGTATTATAAACGACTTATTAGACCGGAAATTTCGTTGAGTGTTTACTGTAACATACTTTTCTGATTATTTTTTACAAGGAAAGTACTTTTATGAGGTATGGAGTTACAGGTCGAGACATATATCAAAAAATCGCAAAATTCTTCTGATTCAGAATATGTGAAAATTAGCTGCCCAATTTTGGTTTTTAATGGCGAAAAAACCCCCAGAACTTTACTTGCAACACCACGCAAATGCCCCTTTTTTACTTTTTAACTACTATTAAGTAGTATTAATCAAAGGCTAGTCATGATTCCAGGGTTTACTTCAGCTCAAAACAAAGACTTTGATTTGGTAAAAACTTGGTCAAAAAGGCATTTGCGTGGTGTTGCAAGCAAAGTTCTGCGGATTTTTCGCCCTTAAAAACCAAAATTGGGCAGCTAATTTTTAGATATTCAGAATCAGAAAAACTTTGTGAATTTTTTGATACATGTCTGGACCTGTAACACCATATCTCATAGAAGTTTTCTAGAGAAAAAATTGAATTTTTTTGCAATTTCATGAAGTTATAGTAACCCAAATAGCTTTTACAACCTCTAAAATCTATTTTAGCCCCCAAATTTAGTCCACAGGATTACTGTAACATCATATTCTACACAATTTTCAAAAAAGATGAAAAATTCTAGATAATTGAAAAAATGTATGCTACAGTAATCCCATTATCATATTCCCATGAAAATTGATCGATTAAACTCAAAATTTTACTAGACGGGTTACTGTAACATTATCGTCATCTTGCATTTTTCAAAATACCAAAAAAAATTTTTTTTTGGAATATTAAAATTACAGTAATCCAACCAGTCAGATATCACTTGATATTAGCTGAGGCGAGATCTTCATACCATCCGTATTTTACCCCTCTTTCATAAAAAACGTTCTACAAATCCCCCATTCCCCTCTCCGATTACCGTAACCCAACTACCGTAGTCGCAATTCAAAATTCCAAACATTGATGCCCCCAGCTAAAGTTGAAGGTGCTGTCCAAATCCGGCCGCATTTTCATTCTTCACCAGCCCTGAGGGCCGTAAAATTGACATTTCCGAGAAGAATGTCGCCGGCATAAGTTATGAGTGTGCGTGATGCCAACGAAATTTCCTCCGACCTTTGACAACAATTTTTTGATGGATTTGTTGGCGGTGTGGAAGTGAAAGAAACGCCGAGATGGCGGGGAGAAAATAATTAATTTGTGAGGGCCACAGGCAGAAAAAAGTTGAGAAAAATATAGAAATTTTTTGGTAAAAATAGAAAGGATAGTACTATCTAACAATCAAAAATTCACTAATTTTGACATTAACTCGCAAAAATACAAATTTTTTTTATTTGCACAGTGCAAAATCCAATTTTTCCATTTTGCACAGTGCAGCCCAAAAAATCTCAAATTTTCACCGCACTGTGCGGATTATTCAAAATAAATTAACTCTAAAATGATCAGTAGTAAGCACTCAACTATTTTCAGAACAAAAACTCTTAAATTTTTCTATCTGCACTGTGCAAAATCAGATTTTTCCATTTTGCACAGTGCAGCCCAAAAAATCTCAAATTTTTGCCGCACTGTGCAGAATTATCAAACTAAAATGATCCGAAAATGACCTGCAGTAAGCCCTCAACTATTTTCAGAACAAAAACCCTTCAATTTTTCAATCTGCACAGTGCAAAATCCAATTTTTCCATTTTGCACAGTGCAGTCCAAAAAATCCCAAATTTTTGCCGCACTATGCAATTTGGGTAGAATAAAATTAATAGCAATATCATCAGAAAATCATCCTCAACTTATTTAGAAACAAAAACACCGCCATATTTTATTGCACCGTGCGGAAATTAAGAAAAATCGTTCCGCACCGTGCAAAAATCGAAAGTTTCGAAATTTGCGGTTCAACCTCAAAATTTTTGAAAAATTCAAAAAACATATTTTACCATGAACCATCTTCAGTGTATTCCACAATTTCATGATTTCAAAAACCATTTGCGCACTGTGCAATTACCCATTAAATTCCACTGCACTGTGCATTTCGCTAAAAGCCCTAATTTCGTTCTCTTAACTTTCTCGAATGCCAATAAGAATATTGTCCAATTAATTCTGACCCCAAATTACCGCAATTACCGTAGTGACCCCGGTCGGGGCCGGGTCGCGGGCAGATGGGCCACAAAAATTACGATAATGCACTGATGTCGCAATTTGGCGCAATATTCGCGCGGACCGTAATTTTCCATTCATTTCGCGGAGTCGTTTACCGGGTACGGCCGGAGTCGTAAATAAATAGGCCCGGGAAATCCCTTCGTACGACAACAGTCTTAAGACGGATCCCCCGGGGGATTTGGCGTCCGGCTTTTCGCGCATTAAACCCAAGATTGGGGCCAAGGGCAGGTGCGGGCCATGTCCGCGCTGTCATCAACCGACGTAACAACCCATTTTACATGACATGGTATTCGAATATTCGCAAAGAATGAGGGAAGTCAGCAAAAAATCGGAAATTTTGGCATTTCTCGTTTCTGCACAGTGCAGATTTAAAAAAATTGACTATAACGTTGAAGTAAAATGTATTGCAAGTTTAAAAAATGACTCATTCATATTGCAACACAATGTATTCAATATAAATAAAACTTAAATTTTGAAAAGTTAATGCATTCTCAAAAAATCGGAATTTTTGGTTTTATTGCACAGTGCAAAATTTGAAAAACTTATAGATGACGAAATTGAAGGCTAAAAAGCATAAAAAATAATTTTATTGATTGTAAAATACGCATTCTACAGATGCCGTTCCATTAAAAACCTCCGCTTTCCATATTTTTCCAATTATTTTCAAATTTTAAATTTCCCGCCAAATTTGGCATTCTGCACTAATAAAATTCAAACTCACTAAAATAAATCCTGATGCGATTTACATTAAATTTAGGCCATATCAACCCATATTCACTTCGATTTTCCAATTTTATAACCATTTTTTACACATCTCCAAAATTTAATGTTCTTCCGCAAAAACAACTCATAACTACTAAATTACCGGTCTTAATAAACTCCATTTGTTCTCTAATTACTCTCCAATACTTCTACAGTAATCTACTCGCTCAATTTTTCCAATTTACCGTCTCTTTCCGCCATAAATTCAATTCCGATCTTACCCATGACTTCTTTTGCTCAATTCGCAAAAAAGTCTCAAAAAACCTCCCCAAAGTTGTAAAAAAAACAGCTGGAAAAGGCTGCACACACAATGTGCGATCTCCGAAACATCAGCCGAATTCTTGTTGTGCGCCGCTACAGTATGCTTTCGGCGAATTTTTGTCGTTTCTTTTCGGGGTTTTAATCAATTTGGAGCTCGTAAAAAGTTGGGTGGAAGAGAGGGCGACTGCCTGAGGGGATAGAGGCAGGCGCTTCTTAATCCCTACCGTAGGACCGAATTCCGGTCCTAAAATGCGAGGCGGGGTGTCGTTAAATTTCCGGGCCATGAATTTTGGGGCCGGAGAATGGGGATCGTAAACCCGGAAGACCTAAGGGCAGCAATATGGAGGAGTTGTAAAACTTCGCATAACATGTCCAAAAATGGTTTAGAAGTTCAAGTTTGGCATAAAAAAGAAAAATAAAAAAATTTTAACAAGGAAAGTACTTCTATGAGGTATGGAGTTACAGGTCGAGACATATGTCAAAAAATTCAGATTCTTAGATTCTCCGTATTATGTAAAGATAGAAATCGAAAAAGAGTTTTGAATTTTTTGATGAAAATTTTGGAAATTTGAAAAGAAATCGAAAATTTTCGTGAAAAATTGGGAAATTTTTACGTTTGATTTGAATATAATGGAAACAAATGGTTGGAAATTTATCTGAGAAGTGTAAAATACGAGATTTTTTTTGTCAGAACTGCATTTTTAAAAAAAAAATTTCATTTTTTGAACAGGGAAAGTACATCTAGGGTATGGAGTTACAAGTCGAGACATATATCAAAAAAAATCGCAAAATTTTTCTTATGTAAAAATTAGTTGCCCAATTTTGGTTTGTAAGAGTAAAAAAACCCTCAGAACTTTTCTCGCAACACATGCCTTTTTGACCAAGTTTTTACCAAATCAAAAACTTTGTTTTGAGCTAAAGTAAACCTTGACATCTTGACAAATCTTACAATATCAAATTTGATTTATATTACACCTTTCAAGGTATTAAAATAGTAGTTCCAAAATAAAAAGGGGCATTTGCGTGGTGTTGGGAGAGAAGTTCTGAGGGTTTTTTCGCCATTACAAACCAAAATTGGGCAGCTAATTTTTACATATTTTGAATCAGAAAAAATTGCGATTTTTTTGATATATGTCTCGACAGTAACTCCATACCCCATAGAAGTACTTTCCACGTTCAAAAAATCAATTTTTTTTTTCAAAAATGCTTTTCTGATAAAGAATCTCATATTTTACACTTCTCAAATCAATTTCCAACCATTTATTTCCATTCTATTCGAATCAAAAGTAAAATTTTCCCATTTTTCTTAAAAATTTTCGATTTTTTCTCAAATTTTTAAATTTTTGGGTAAAAATTCAAAACTATTTTTGTGTTTTCATCCTTATACGGCGTAAACAAGCTATTTCTTCTTCGATTTCACAATTTTTTATCAAAAAAAGAATCAATTTGGCCAAGAAAATGCAAAAAAATCTTAATTTTTTCTCAAATTTCCAAATTTTTCGTCAAAAAATTCAAAACTCTTTTTCGGTTTCTACCTTTACATACCACAGATAATCTATTCTCACACTCATCTGTAAAATTCCTCCCCAAAATACAACAATTTTCATCAAAAAACTTCAAAAAATCCCGATTTTCTCTCAAATTTCCAAATTTTTCGTCGCAAAAATCACTTTCATCCCCAAAAATCTCCGTTCCCTTTCCTATCAGCCGATAACAAATATGACTCCATGTGCCTACCTGTAAGCATCAGCCAGTTTCATCTCTTTTTGGGCGTAGTAAAAGGCCTTTCCCAGGGCGGTCACACTTCGGCTCATTTTGCAAATTTCTTCGGCGACCTTCAGCGCCTCGAACTTTACCTGCTCCGACGGCACCACGCGGGAGACCAGGCCGGCACGAAGGGCTTCTGGAAGCAAAAATGCGGGGGGTTCTCGGGAAAACATTTAATCAATTTTTTGAGGTCAAAATTTCGGGATTTTGGGGGGAATTTTGCGAATTTTTGGAGCAAAAAATTTTTTTTAATTGAATATTCTAGCAAAAAATCGAATAAAATCACCTACTAAATCACAATTTATAAAATACGAACCGAGAAAACGAATTTTTAAAAATTGCATTTGGTCCCACCACGAAAATTTTGAAAATTTTCAAAGCACTCAAAAATAATCTTAGAGGCAATATAAAGCCTCTAAAGCTCTTAACCAAATTTAAAATACGGAAAAAAACTCCATTTTCGCAAAAAACTTTTTAATTTTGGGTCCCACCACGAAATCCTTAAAATCCCCAAAATTAAAAAATTGATCAACAAAACTAACTTAAAATACGCCGTAAAGATTAGGATGTATTTTAAGTTCATATCGACGATCAATAAAAAAAATTTTGGGTCCCACCACGAAAACTTGGAAATCAAGAAAACCTTCAGGAAAAGCAAAAAAATTGAAAAAAATTAGCTCTGACAACGTAAAAAGTTAAAAAGCGGCACAAAAAACGTCTTCCGTTATAAAAATTTTGGGTCCCACCACGAAAACTTTTCAAGATTTTCTTACCGTTAGCCTTGATGCTCCTCGCCGTCAAAAGCATGTCCATGGCCAATTTGTCGTTGATGCTTCGGCCCAATGGGATGCCTGGCGTCGAGCAGAAGAGCCCCACTTTCAAGCTAAAATACGAATTCAAAAAAAAAATATTCTTCGATTTTGGATAAATTTTGGCCTAGATTTTATCTATGGGCCATACATGAAGTTCTGAAAATTTTAGCTCGCGCTTTCAAGAGAGCACCGAGATATTCAGCAATCTTTTTTCGGTGAGAGACTATGGAAATAGGGAGACGGTCAGAGAAAAAAAAACGTTTTTTGGCCGTATCTCTGCAACTTTTCTGTCAAAATTATAATGTTTTTTTGACAAAACATTGTACTAGGGATTCAAAATAAACTCACAATTTTTCTATCCGAAATTCTCAAAAAAAAAAAAAAAGATTAATCGATTTTTTTAACTTTTCGACCTAAAAATCTCGAATATTTCTGTAAAACGCGAGTTAAAAATTTAGCAAATATCGAAAAAAAAATTATTAATTTGTGCCAACTTTCATCAAAATCTAAACCTCAAAATTTGGGGTCAATTCAAATTTTCGCAGGCCAAAAATCCAAAAAATCCAAAAAAAATCTCACCCAGGCACGGAGAAGTGTGATTCCTCGCTGGCAATGACCACATCGCAAGTTGAGACCAATTGGCAGCCAGCGGCACTGGCAATTCCGTTCACTTCGGCGATTACTGGCAATTGCATCGCTCGGATCAGGGACATCAACTTGGTGCATTCGGAGAAAATCTCCACGTGCTTGGAGAATCCGTTCTCATCGGTCTGGAAATGATTTTTTATTGAGATTTCAAAGGCTTGACATCAGCTTAGGAAAAAAATTTTTCGAATTTTGAACTGACGTAAATTTTTTTTAAAAATCCATGGGGTATGGAGTTACAGGTCGAGACACATATCAATAAGAGGAGATGTGACAAAGCTGAACGCAAACAACCAGACCAGTTTTCACGAGGAAAGTACTTCTATGGGGTATGGAGTTACAGGTAGAGTCATATATCAAAAAATTCGCGAAATTTTTCTGATTCAGAATATGCAAAAATTAGCTGCCTAATTTTGGTTTGTAAGGGTGAAAAACCCTCGGAACTTTTCTCGCAACACCTTGAAAAACCGCCTTTTTTACATTGGAACTACTAATTTTAATTCCTTAAAAGGTGTAGTATAAATCAAATTTGATATTTTAAGGTTTGTAAAGATATCAGAGTTTACTTTAACTCAAAAACAAGCTTTTGATTTGGTAAAAATTTGGTCAAAAAGGCATTTGCGTGGTGTTTCGAGAAAAGTTCCGAGGGTTTTTTCACCCTTACAAACCAAAATTAGGCAGCTAATTCTTACATATTCTGAATCAGAAAAATTTTGCGATTTTTTTGATATATGTCTCGACCTGTAACTCCATACCCCATAGAAGTACTTTCCTTGTGAAATATGACCTTTTCACTTGGAGAGGGAGGTATTTTGCTGCATTTTTAATGCTTCCCGGACACAAAATGTACGTTTTTTGCCAATGGAACAGGTCTGCTACTGCATCACCTCAAACCCCACTCACCAGCTGTCTCAGGTCGTGTCCGGCGGAGAAAGCGGGCCCTTCGCCGGCCAAAATCACGGCGCGAACCTTGTTGATTTTGTCGATTTGACTCAATTCCTCCCTCAACGTCTTCATCAGCTCCAACGAGAGGGCATTTCGGTTCTTCGGGGAGTTCAAGACCAGTCGGACCACTTGGTTTTCTCGGTAAATTTCGCGGCCCAAAGGCTCGTCCAGCTTCGGGGGCTCCACTTTTTTCTTTTCTTTTTTCTGCGAGCAGCTGCGCAGGGAGAGCCAGAGGGGCGATTGGTGGGATCGGCGGACAAAAAGGGACATGGGTGGGCTGGAAATCGGGAGCATATTGATTTAGGGGTCAAAAAATGTAAAAAAACTTTTTTAATTTTGCAAATTTAAATCCAAATTTGTTTGATTTTCCAATGATTTTAGGATTTCAATAAATTTTTAAAAGGAATTTGGAAAACGAAACGTATTTTACAAAAAAAAACAATAAAATAAATATCCAAAATTTAAATTCTTTTTTGCATTTTATGTTGCCTTATTAAATTTAAATTTCTAGTACTCACAAGATAATACTCGTATTTTACCAAAAAACCAATAAAAATTTTTAAAAAATTTTAAAAAATTGTCATGTAAAGTACGTCGAGACAGCAAAATGAGTCACTAAAGCTGAGATTTAGACCCCTAGAAGTGTCATAAACCGTCTGAAAATACGCCTAACGTATTTTAAAAATCACCTTCACTCTTCTTAACCACATTCTTCCTCATTTTCCACAATTTTTCTACCAATTTCGAGCCTTATTGTCCGGGTAATTCAATTTTTCGACGGTTTTCTCAAATTTTTTGAACTTTTTTTTTTAAATCGTATAATCCGGCTCCACAACGCATTCTACATACTTGACACAATTCTACTTCGTATTTTACCACAAAAAAAATCAAAAAAATCAAAAAAAAAATTTTTTTTTCAATATCAAAAAAAAGAATCCAAATTTGGCTAAAAACCAGTGCAAACTAAAAAAACAGCGCTTCAAATTTGCCACAAGATTATTTATTTTTTCATTACAACATCAAAAAAGAGTCAAAAACCAATAGTTTCGTTAGACAATAGGACATATTCGATATTAAAATTGCAAGTGAAATGTGATGTGTGTGGTGGGAAAAGCTCCTGAGGTGAGGTCGAGGGTCATATACAACACATATAGTATAATATTTTTGTCTATACAACCGCTAGGATGAATAAAATCGGAAAAAAGACGAAAAAGTCCAAAATCTAGTTAAAAAGTTACCGTAATCCAAATTACAGTAATCTGATGGAGGAATTTACAATATTTACCGTTATTATGAGGGAGAAGACGTTGGAAAATGGGAAAAAATAAAGGAAAAGGTGTCAAAATTGCATGTGTAAGGTCAAAACTGACCTAAAGTAATATCAGAAATCGATGGAAATGGGTGGGCCAAGGTCGAAAAAGCTCTGAATAATCGTATTTCAGCTCAAAACGGATGAAACAAATTTTAAAAAGTCAAATTTCCTCCAAAAATCGCTAAAATACGACTTTTTCCGACTTTTTGAAATAAAAAATTTAATTTATTGAGTTGGGATCGGTGAATTCGCGAATCGGTCGATTAGTTTGACCAGGTCCGCCGCCTCCATGCTTTCCTTGTGCATTGAGTGGAGCTTCGCCTGCCTTAGGGCCTGTTGTTTCTCGAAATCGGCGGCTCTTTGTTCCAACACCGAGCTCACCGTTGAGATATCCGACGGAGCTGGTGATGGGCAATCCATGGATTGATTGCGTAGGCCGTTGAGTCGGTCGTTGGGTTGATTTCCGTTTTGTCGGGGCTGTTTCGGGATATTGAGGCTGAAATTTGGAAAAATTGGGAAATTTTCGAAAATTTGATATCTAAAATAATATCAAGCTCCTCCAAAATAATTCTCTAGGTCCTAATTATTATTGGCACACCTTTAAAACCACAAATCACTTATTAAATCGAACGTTTTTCATCAAATTTACCTTATTTTAGGGATATTAATGCTAAAATTGAAAAAATTGAGAGATTTTCGAAAATTTGATATCTAAAATAATATCAAGCTCCTCCAAAATAATTCTCTATGCACTAATTATTATTGGGCTACCTTTAAAAGCACAAAACACTGGCTAAATCGCACGTTTTTCATCAAATTTACCTTATTTTAGGTCAAAATCAGCAAAAATTTCAAAAATCCTATTTGTAATCAATGTAAATCCAAAAAAAATCAATAGCATCAACCAAACTAATACTCAAACTTTCTTTTCCCACCTTCTAAGCACCTTATCACTCCCAAAAACCAGCATCAAAATCAAAAAATTATATTACCTTAGGTCTAATCAGCCAAAAACTCCCAAAAAATCTCAAAAATCCCCACTCCCCTCTCAAAACCTCTCTCACACAACTACTTACTTTCCATTCAACAAATCCTGAATGTCTCTGTCCATGCTGGATCCAGCTTCCTCATCGATCATGGGGATCTTATCCATGGAGACCTCTTTGTTGTTGACGACCTCCTGCCCGCTAACCAATGGTCTTTTCGGTGGTGGGTGTGCGGGGCGTTCCTGGCTTGGTCCCGCTTTCTCCTGGTTGATTCTCTGTTCGAAATGCCGTCGTTTCGAGTCGAAATCCATCCTTTCCGGGAGGCTTGTCAGTTGTGGTTTCGGCGCCAACGGAGGTGGATTTATGTGGCTGGCGGGCAATCGACTATGGCCATTTGGGTTGGACTGACTGCTGGTTGGTCTGTGAATGCCTGAGGAAGTCCGCGACTGGCTTGGCGGTCGGATTTGGGCGTTGGATCCATGTTGATTTAATCCATGTTGATTTAGATGGCCATTAGACGAAGCCTGTTGATTTAGTAATGTCTGTTGATTATTATTCGAGTTGGCCGCGTTTTTGACAGGGATTCTGGATTTCGGTGGGACTGGGGAGGATGTGGCCAATGGTTGGTCCATTCGGTCGACGAATTCGACGTTCGAAATGGCCGGGTTCGCGGCCTGAACTTCGGCCGCCACGTCCTCGAAGCTCTTGTTTCCGAGGCTGGAGGTTGGTCGGGGTGGTTGAGGGGCCGGTTTGGTCTTCTAGAATTGGGAAATCACAAAAAGAAATTTTACAAGGAAAGTACTTCTACGGGGTATGGAGTCACAGGTCGAGAGATATATCAAAAAAAATCGGAAAATTTGTCTGATCCAGAATATGTAAAAATTAGCTGTCCAATTTCGCAGTTCAATGTAAAAATAGCATGTAGTTCCAATGTAAGAAAGGGAGCATTTGCGTGGTGTTGCGAGAAAAGTTCTGAGGATTTTTTCGCCCTTACAAACCAAAATTGGGCAGTTAATTTTTACATATTCTGAATCAGAAAAATTCTGCGATTTTTTTGATATATGTTTCGACTTGTGACTTCATACCCATACAAGTACTTTCCTTGTCAAATTTTTACCAAAAACTTATAAATTCTTAACAACCTTATTTTCAGACCTTTTTACCCCAAAAATCTCCAAAAAACTCAAATTTTTGATATCCCCCACAAAAAACCGGTCGATAAATCCACATTCTAACAACTCTACATACCCTCATACATCCTAATCACTCTTTAAATCCCTCAAAACCCTCCATTTTTCTCCAAAAAAAAAAATCAATTTCCCCCGAAACCTCCAAAATTTCCTTACCAACGAATTCAAGAAGGTTTGGACGTCAAATTCTCCGGGATTAAGATTGCTTCTGGATCCCGACCGTCTTGGAGGGACAGGTGGGGCGTTATTTGGTTCGAACAAGTTGATTTCCACCAAGCTTGGGAGACTTCTTGCCGATGGTAATGTTGTACTTAAGAGGTGAACTTTGGGCGGCGCTGGGAGTGGTTCATTGTCGACGGAAAGTTCCAAAACTTTTTGCTGTGCTCTCTGAGGGTCTGATGTTCCATTCTGAGTGGTTTTTGCCTCAATCGGTTGGTTCAGATCCAGCACGGAGCCGATTCTCGAGGGTGGGCGGGGCTCGGCGTCGAGTTGCGGGAAGACCGGAGCCTTCTCTTGGGGCTCTTCGGCTTCGAAGGGGATTCGTTCGATGCGAACCTCGAACTCGGCGCCTGCTTCTTCGAGGATGCGGACCGCGTCCAGTTGGTTCAGGTCCGACATTGTGGTCCCGTTCACGGCCACAATTTTGTCGTCGATTTGGATTCCGGCGCGCTCGGCTGGGCCGCCCGGACGTACGTTCGCCACGAAGATGCCTCGGGCATTCTGGAAACAGCATAATTAAGAAGCAAAAACGAAAAAAACCTATAAAATTTCAAAGAATTCCGAAGATTTTGCAAAAAATCCAAAAATTTTGCAAAAAATCCGAAAAAACTATCGAAATCAATGTGAAAACAGTTGAAACAAGATAAAATCTGTAGCTCAGAAAACTCCAATCACCTTATTTGTCATTTACAACCAATGATTTTACGGGGAAACACCATTTTCTTTGAGCTTTCGCCAAAGAACACTCAAAAAAGGAGGAAAATTTTGAAAAACAAGTCAAAATAAATTAAAAAAACCTTCGGGCGTAAGTCAAAAGCCGCTAAAAATATCAATTACAGTCTCCTCCTACTATCTCACACCACATTCTGCAAAAATACTTCCAAAAATCCTACAAAATTTTAAAAAATTTTCAAAAAATCATCAAAAATCCTCCAAAATTCGAAATTTCCCAAAATTTCTCGCAAAAAATCAACGCTTGCCCCTCAAAACAAATTCCATACCTTATAAAGTTCATGATCCGAGATGCCGCCGCCAATACTCCATCCAATTGTTCCGTCGGGGTCCCTCACAATCTTGTGGAGGACCCCTCTTTCCTCGGCCAGTTGGCATTCCGCGTACTGGGAGATCGGTCGCTTCTTTAAGACCGATCGTAACGGTCTGGATTCCGTTGGATTTGGCTGCAAATACGTTTATTTTACCTTGGCCACAAATTTTTCAGCAAAATTTTGAATTTCAATTTTTGGCGGGAAATTCAAAAATCATTTAATTTTTAAACAAATTTTTGATGGTATTATAACATTCAGAGGGTTGTAAAAGCACTCAGAACTGCTTTATTTTTCTTTACAAACCTGAGAAATTCAAAAAAGTTCATTTTTAGAAAATTTTTGGGTCCCACCACGAAAACCCTGAAAATCAGGGAAACTTGAAAAAACCTCGGGAAATCAATGAAAATCGGTTTCTTCTCGTATTTTACCATCAACTAACGACTTTTCAACCTCAACAAAAATTTTCTTACCTGACTTTCAGCCGAAGTTCCGGCCGTTTTTCCGGTCAAATCGGCGGAATTTCTGTTGGCCCGGTTTTTCGGTGCGAATGGTTTGGGATGAGGGGTGTCGTAGCGTTGGAAGTTTCCGATCGGATATTTCGAGTCGTCATCCTCAATTGTGGCTTCGTTCGCGTTGTTGGAGAAGTTGACTCGGGCGCCTCCGACGCAAGATTTGGAGTCGGTGCGAGGTTCTGAAACAAAATTTTGAAATAATATTTTTTATGTGATAATTACCACGTATTTTACAAACTCTATTTACTTCAAAATCTGAAAAAAAAAATATAAAAAACAGCAAAAATTTGGAAAAAAATCAAAAAAAAATCAAAAAAGGCCGTATTTTACCCAAATTTTTTTACTTTAAAATCTCAAAACAGACTTCTACTAGCATACACTGTCACTTGCAACCTTTTTAAACAATATTTTAGAACCTAAAAAAAATTTTAAAAAATCCAAAAATCTCAAAATTTCAATCAAAGAACCTCAAAAACCCTAGATTTTCCATCATTTTCCGCCAAAAAATCACCTAAATTTATTCCAAACCAAATTTCAACCCGCGTATTTTACCTCAAGACCTCTTTTGAACCCCCAAAAATCCCATTTTCCCGGAAAATTCCACCCAAAAAATTCATTTTTCTTCATCAACTTACGATTTGAATTCTGTTCATTTTGCGGTAGATAGCAGCACGTTAAGGCCTTGATTTTATTGGGCAATTCGATTGTGGTGAGATGGGGCATTGGTGGTTGGCGGATCGAGAGCCACAGGGCTTGTAGGCCTTCCAAAACCTTGACTGTGTACGGGAGATGGTCGAGTTTGTTAAAGGTGAGGTCGAGGACGCGAAGGCTGGCCAATTTCCCGATTTCCATCGGTAATTCGTGGATTTCGTTGGAGCGGAGGGCCAAAACTCCCAATGCGGTGCAGTTCCCGATCTAAATTTTGGTAAAAAAATAGTTTTTTTTTTCTAAAATACGATTTGAAAAAATAATTTCTATCCTAAAATACGAGTAAAAATTGGATTTTAAAATGTAAAATACGGCTCAAAAATCATATATAAACTAAGATACGATCAAAAAACCAAAATTTTTTTTCTAAAATACGATTTGAAAAAATAATTTCTATCCTAAAATACGAGTAAGAATTGGATTTTAAAATGTAAAATACGGCTCAAAAATCATATATAAACTAAAATACGACCAAAAAACCAAAATTTTTTTTCTAAAATACGATTTGAAAAAATAATCTACCTCCTAAAATACGAGTAAAAATGGTTTTTAAAATGTAAAATACGACATATATACATCATGTATAAACTAAAATACGCCCCAAAAAAATTTTTTTTTCTAAAATACGACTTCACAAATCAATGTTCATATCGAAATACGACTTAAAAATGGACTCTTTTAACCGAAAATGTAAAAGCACTACTCTCAAAATTTTACTTTACACCATTTTCAGCAAGAAAAACATTTTTTTAATTTAAAAACTCACGGTTGAAGGTACAGTTTTCAGTCGATTGCTGCTCACGTCCAGGAAACGGAGCTTGTTCAGGTTGCCTATGCTGCTGGGGAGCTCCTAAAATGACATAAATTACTGATTTTTTTGAAAAAAAAAATAAAAAATTTCCAAAAAAAATTTTTTTTTTTTTTTTTTTCAAATTTCGTATTTTAGCCAAAAAATAAAAAAATATACACAAATCCCTCCGTATTTTACCCTCAAACTCCTACCTCCAGCAGATTTTCGCTCAGATACAGGTCCGTCAAATTGACGCATCGACAAATCGCGGGGGTCAGGGTTTTCAGCGCATTTTTCGTAATTTTCAGCACCTCCAATCGCTTCATGTTGCCCAAGGAATGCGGGAGGGAGCTCAAAGAGTTCTCACACAGGACCAACTCCACCATTTTGTCCAGCTCTCCGAGGTCATTGGGCAAATCGAGGAGGTTGTTTTGACTCAAATCGAGGGTCTGCAGCTCGCGACACTGCAAAAGTTTGTCCGGGATTTTGGTCAGCATGTTGGCACGGACGTCCAAGCTCTCCAGACTCAGCATTTTGTCCATTTGGGCGGGCTGAAATGCTTGAAATTAGAAAAAATTGAAAAATTTTTGAAATTGCACAGTGCAAAAATTTTTTTGGTAAAAATTTGATACTTCAAGTTAATTTTTTTAAAATTTAACTTGAAATATCCTTGTATAGGCACTGATTTTTCATAGTGCAATTTTTTTACAAAAATTTGCCGCACTGTGCAGTCAAATACGAAAATTTTAAAACTGCACTGTGCAGAAAATAAACGTCCAAAAAATCGCACCGCGCGCTTTACTTTATAAAAAAAAATTTTTTATATATTTTCTAGAGGTCTAAATTTATCACTGTGCAAATTATTTCATAAAACACCATCGCACTGTGCGGTCAAAAATAACTTTGATTCATTGCACAGTGCAAAAAATAATTTTTAGTAAAAATCGCACAGTGCGTAATTTTTTACAGTCATAGCTGCATAGTAGGGCAAAAAATCACAGAATCTACCTATACAAACCAGTTCATCCTCAAATCTCATCGCAATTTGCAGATCCAACAATAATTTCTAAATCTGCACAGTGCAAAAAAAAGTCAATCTTCAAAATCTCCCTTACCAATTCAGTAATGTGATTCTCGCACAAATCCAAGACCTTCAGCTTCGACAATCGAACAATTGAGTTGGGGAGACTGGAGATGTCACATTGACTGGCATCCAGATGTTGAAGATTGACCAGTTGATCAATTTCAGCTGGTAGAGTCGTTGTGGAAGTCTCAGAGATGTTGAGAGTAGTCAGTTGAGTCAGATTCATCACACTCTTGGAGAGTGAGAGCATGTTGTTGCTCAAGTTCAGGGAGACCAAGTTCACGCATTGTCCAATCTGATCCGGGAGGTTTACCAGGTCTAAAATTTGAGAATTTGAAATTTCAGCAAAGTGAAAAAGCAATTGGAACCATCTACGCGTATTTTAAAACCATGATCAAGGCAAAAATTTACGTCTAAAGTCAAAAAAACATTAATTTTAAAAATTCCCGGAACTAAACTTTGAAAAATCAAAATTTTATGATGTTATTCATCACAACCAAGATCGAATTTGATCTCAATACGACCACCAGACCCTATAGAGTCTATTAAAACCATTCTCCATTAAAATACTTCCTGTTCCATCAAGAATTCATCAAAATTCTAAAATTTCGTCTAGTACAATATAAAATCTTCTAGTTTTTCTATTTACGTGAAAACCTCTTGCAAAATACGATTATCAAGTTTCCCATCACTTCCTCCACCTTCATCAAGCTTCTTTATGCCTAAAATTCGCAAAATCCAAGGAAAATCTTACCATTTTTGCTCAAATTGAGGACCATCAAGTCACCGAGCAATGAAATCTCCTCGGGCAAGTTCTTGATTCTGTTTTCACTGACATCGAGCTTCTTCAATCGAGCGCAACGGAACAGTTCCTGCAAGAGGAATCTCAGAAATCGTCGGAAAAAAGAAATTTCGCGAAATTTTAGGTAATTTCCAGAAAATCCGTCATTATGACGTCGTCAGAATGTTGAGATTTGATCAAAATTGAAATGCATTTGTAAAATACGCTAGGGTGTTGAGGATTTCAATGCTTTTTATCCGGCTACCCTCAAATCTCAGGTATAAAAACATTAATTTACCCGTCGCGATGACCGATTTTCTGGAAATTCGAGAATTTCTCGTTGAAATCGAGAAAAACGTGGGGGAAAACTCACTTGTGGAAGGACTTCGATAAAATTCATGCGCAAATTGAGCTCCTCCAACGTCTTCTTGGCCTTGATCACCTCCTTCGGCAGATCGGATAAGTTTTTTCCACTAAAATCCAAAGACTCGACCAGCTGGCCCTTGCAGGCGAACAACGGAACACAAAAGAACTTCATCCCGACCTTGGCATTCCTGAAAACCGAGAAAATTTGAGTCAAAGTGAGATTTTCTTTTCAAAAAAGTTCATTCGACCGGTCGAAAATTTTTGTGAGAAACGGCGAAAAATCCGAGATTTTTTTTGGGGAAAATGAAAAAAATAAATAAAAGAAAAGTTAGAGAAGATAATAAGAGGTGTGATTGAGCTATTTAGAGGGTAAAATACGATTGGACATAAACTTTTTTCAAACTTTGTTATGATTTTAATCCAAAAAAATACCTAAAATAAGGTGGGAGACCTCGAATTTCCAGTTGATAAGCTTAATAGGGCCCGAAAAATTGTTACGCTTGCATTTCAGAGTCTTTTTAAGCCAAGTTTTAACTCAAAAAACCGACTTTTCGAAAAAATTTTGATCCGCACAGTGCGATTTTTTGACAAAAAAATTATTTTCGTAAAAGCAGGGAAAAAGCTATGCTGTTTTTGTTGAGTTTTTAAAAGATCCTGGGAGCACTTTTTTCATAAAAAAAGTCGAAATTTAATCCGTATTTTAGCTCAAAAATAGCTCTCCAAAATAACAAAAACCCCAGCGAAATTGTTGTCCCAACTCTTTGGAAGACGCGACAATCGCAAATAAAGCCCGCATAGAGCCCGCACAGATAAGGCCAGTCATCTGCCTCAATCGAATTTCGAATACAAAAATAAAAACAATGTTTGTGGAGGGGGAAGATGACTAAGCTCAGTCATTTCTCGAGTGATAAAAATACAGGAAATGGGAGATTAGGGAGGCGGTTAAAATTGAGAAACGAGTTTTATTTCGCTAAAATTACGTCAAATTGATAAGGAAAAATTTTTGAAATTTTTGCACTGTGCGAAAAAATTTTTTTTGGGGAATTGCACTGTGCAGAAATTAAACGATGCACATCAGATACAAACGGAATGCCAAGGATTTTTGGCATTTATTTTTTAAAAATTTTTTTATGGGCCTCGGGAAAATTGATAGTTTTCAAGGTATGATTGCGGTGTTCTTCCAATATATGAACCAAATTAAAGAAAAGACATCTACCTATTTTTAAAAATTAATTTGGGGTCTGGCGACCTCATGGGAAGCCTACAAAAAGGTTGCAAAATTTGGAATTTTTGAAAACGCTGATTCGAATTTTGCCAATACGCAACTTATATTAAGAAATCTGATTTGGAGGAGTTATCAATAATGTTATTTTCTTTCTATATGAAAAGTTTCGGCAGAATTGGTCTGCAAGTTTTGGAGATGATGGCGAAATACATCAAACTTGGTATATCAAAAAAAATTTTCGGTTTTGCAACGGCTAGGGCTGTTCACTGCATGGACACATTCATTATAGGGTATCTCAGTTTATAAAACCTTCTTTCAGAGTCCATAATGCCAAATTAAATGACATTTTGCCATCAATTTAGCATGAATAACATACGTCTTCACATGTTCATATTTGGGTTTGCTGCATCGGTAATCTATGTTTTGAAAACGTAATAACGTCCTTTCGTTGGCTACGTATTTCTTTTTAGATGGAAAAGAATCTCCACCATATGTTTTCATAACTTTACCATGTACAACATGATTAAAATAAGATTCAAAAAAGGGCTAGTAGTTGGTCTCAGACCTCGTTTGGACTTGCTAAGGTGTCCCCTTTTCATAAAAACTAGAATGACGTTGCCGCGTTGCTAAAGCGCCGGCCGGCGACATAGCCTCCTAAGATGGTCTCACTATGATGGATAATACGGAATTGATACAGACATGCAAAGTGAGAAACATACGGATTATTTCTTTGACCCATCGACGGTTTTAGTTAGTAACATAGTTTTTAATTCTTTTTTTGAAGCCTATCATCCGTTTTTTGGTACAAATTTCGATATTACACATGATCTATACAACAACCTAGTTCCTCAATTTTTGAACTTTTTAGGGTAAAAACGGATGTTTTGAAACTAATTTGATCTTATAATCAATATCACTTCTTTTAAGAATGATTTGCAGCTTCAAAACCTTAAAAAATTTAGTGGTGAATATTGTCATGTATAACATGCTGACGTTATGGCACACTGTGAAAACCGTCTTTTTTACCCGGTAATTGATAGATTAGATCTAAATGAGCATGATTGGTGAAGAAAACCCGCAATTCCTACAATCGCAATTGTTTTCAGTTCCAAAAACGCCTGTTTTAATCCCAAATTTTCAAATCGCATCAACTTTTTTTTGCATAGACGAATTTTGATAATATTTTGGATATTTCCTATATGGACCAATACTAATAGAACCTCCAAATCAGATTTCTCGATTTAAGTAAAAAAATTTTATATCTGATGTGCGATGCCCTGAGGGGTGATTAGACACGTTTGGAGGTAAAATACGATACATCAAAAGTTGCGATAATTATTTTCTCTGCGCGGTGCGAGAATCAAAATAAAATTTTTACTGCACTGTGCAGAAAAAAAAATTTTGATTTTTCATTACACCGTGTGGGATTTTTTATGTGAAAACTGTCTAGAGACATTACATAGCTGCTAAGATTATCTCAAATAACCAAAAAAGGAAAATTTTTGCGTTTCATTCTGCAAAAATCCCAAAATAATTTCACTGCACAGTGCAGAAAAAAAAATTTTGATTTTTCATTGCAATGTGTGCGATTCTTTGATATAAAAATGGTCCAATTGCATTACATAGCTGCTAAGATTATCTCAAATAACCAAAAAAGGAAAATTTTTGCGTTTCATTCTGGAAAAATCCAAAAATAATTTCACTGCACAGTGCAGATTTCAAAAAAATTGGTTTTTTGCTGAACTGCGCCAATTTTTTAAAAGAAAAATAAAGTGTAGGCATTGTAATTTATCCGAAATTACCCATAAGACTCAAAAATATTCAATATTCCATTTGCACAGTGCGAAAATTCGCAAAAAACTTTTATCGCACTGTGCAGTGGAATTTTTTTTTCTGCACTGTGCATTGAAAAGTATCGAACTCAAAAATGTTCGGATCATAAGAATAGACTGATTCCCGAAAATTCTGGCCGAAAAATGCCCGAGGGTTGGGGTTTCGGGAGTCACGAACACCTCCGTTTTTTGACGACAAGGAGAAGATAGGTCGGGGCTGGGGAAGGTGGGGGTGAATCAGCGCGAACCGAGGCGAAAAACACATTGCAAAAAGTGCTGGACGAGCGACTCAAGGCCGTTTCTCACAACCTTTTTCGGCGGGGATATGTATGAGGCATGACGTTGGAATCTCGCACAGTGCATTCCCGATATTCAAATGATCGCGGTTTGAGGTGAGAAAAAGTGGGAAAATGGGGCGAATGGGGTCTGAAGAGGGGAATCATGGGAGTGTGGGGTAAAATACGGTAAAACAAAGATTAGCGTTATCAAAAATCAACAGAGAAATGGCTAAATTAAGGTAAATTTTTAAATAATTTTCGGTGAAAATGTTGATTTTAGCTAAAATACGGTTTGAAAAATCGTATTTTATCGAAAATCCAGTCTAAAATTTTCGAAAATTATCTAAAATACGATTTTTTCAAAAAAAAATTTTTTAATTCAAATTAAAAAATTTGGCTTGAAATCCAAATAAAATTAATTTTTATTACCTAAAATACGATCTTAATACTTCAGAAATTATTTTTGAATAAAAATACGGGCCTCTTTTTATCAAAATTTGATCCCAAAATTACAAAAACCCATTACTTTTTCGAAAAAATTCCCTCCGATCAGCCCAAACGACGCCCGAGGGAGGATGGAATGCGGGCTCCGCAAAAAATGTAAATCAGCCCTTTTTTGCGGCGGGATCCACATTCCTGGTCGGTCTTAACAACAGATTGATTTTATTGCGCCTGAGGCGATACGATCCGACGGGAATCGAAACGACCACGATTACGCAACGGAATCGGGGGGTTTTGGGGAGATTAGAGCGCACCATATTTGGTGATAAAATCAATGTTTTTTGGGGTTTAGGGGGAAAAATTTAATTTTCGAAATTTGAATATTCAAATTTTTGGTTTTGAATATGCAAATTTTTGGGGTAAAATACGTATGTTCTATATTAGCAGACATTTAAAAATTGATTTACATCGAAAAAATCGGAAAAATCAGCCAAAAATTTGCATAAATTAAGAAAAATCTTTTGCACTGTGCATAAAATCTGATTTGAAGCAAAAATGGCAAAAAATCATGGTTCCCACATCAGCTAAAACAATGATAAGGATGGACATCGCAAAAGGAATGTTTGAGGTTCGTAAAATTATCATAAGACCAAAGCAGGCGGAGAATTATCAAAATTTCCCAAGATTGCACAGTGCAAATAAGCGAATATTGGAGAAAAAGCGGCGCAGTGCAAAGATCACGGGGTAAATTAGGTAGATAAAGTTATGAATAGTATTTTAAATCGATTAGCGTCAAAATTTCTTAATTTCACCTTTGCACAGTGCAATTTCGGGAATTGCACTGTGCAAAAGTTTGAGGTCGCCGCACAGTGCGGAGGGGCGAAGTTTAAATTTAAAATTGGATTTCAATCACAGTAGAGGATATGAAGTATTGAGGCAACAGCAGAATATTCTAAAAATCTCAAAATTTATTGAAGAAAATGGCTTTAAAAATTTTGCACTGTGCGAAAACCAAAATTTAAAATTTTGCACTGTGCAAAAAAATTAAAAGCCTATTGTGCGGAGACAAAGGTCAAATAACGTCCCAAAACGTTTTCCTTGAAGAAAAAAGGCTGGAGAATTTTTTTGGAACCCGTTTTTTATGATGAATATAAGGTCAGGCAGGAAGGGTTCGGTCTTTTTTCGCATCCCCCAAATTTCCCCAAAGACCGCTTTCAGCGTGCGCATAATGCTAATTCCTTATCGTTCCTAATCGAAACGGGGCCCCGTTTCGATTAGGAGGCCCCCAAAAGGGCTGGGTTTGTGGGGGAAATCACCCAAAAAAAAGCTAGAGAACCGAGGGAAAAGCGGCGACTTTTGCGGCGAGATGGCTGAAGAGAGGGAACGCGAGCTCCGA